GTCGGCTGCATGCAAGGCCAACGCCCTACCCGCTGTGCTGTTGCTCCAGCCCCAGAGACTTGTTACTGTTTTTTGGCATATCGAATAGGCCACAGGGAGCTTGCCAGGCTCTGCCGTGCGGGCGGGATACACTCGGTAGCTTGCCGGGCTCTCCGAGAGGGATGGAGGAATCGAACCTGGGTCAGCCGTGTGCAAGGCAAACGCCCTACCCGCTATGTCTGTAAATTCAAAAGGAAATCAAATATGATGGAGGAGGGGGTGTTAGCACCTATATAATGAGAAACAGGATGGAGGTTGGGGTGGGAATGGGGGTTCAGGAGAGGGAAACTTTGCATCAGAAGAAATGGCTCCATGCGACCAAGTTTGCCTCTGGACTTTCGCTCTGCCTGAAGAGCGTTTTTTTTTTTTTTCTGATAACAAAGGTTATTTCTGGAGCCGTGTCTAAATTTAGGTACCCTCCATTCTTTACGGTTGTACTAAGTTAGTCCGCGGATCTTCGGGCCCACAGCCCTTGACCTTCACCCCACTCACTCAGGTGACACTGGAAACAGCCTGTCTGCTCATTTCCTGAATGTTGATCCAAATCCACTGAAAGGTCAGCTTCTATGTGCGGACCTGGGACACCGCCCACCGGCTCTGGGATTGGTCAGCTTCTATGTTCTCGGTCCGCCGGCCACCAATCACTTCCCTGCTCTGGACCTCCAAATTCTCCTCCCTCAAACAGGGATAGAAAAATGCTGGGGAGCTGGCTTAAAGGACTGGGGCGTGTGCGTCACGTCCGGGAGACCCCGAGTTCCATCCCCAGCATCACACGCTCACCCCAGGACCAACTTCTGGCTCCCCCGAGCAATGTTGGGCATCAAAGCATCAACCGGAGGCTGGAATGTTCGGACATTGACCCATCTGGCTTGGTTGACTGAGTATCACCTGGATGACCTCCAGGTCCTCGATCATTACTGGAAGCCGCTCCCCACCAAATAATAAATTAAAAAATAAATTAAATCGGGAGAAAGATCCCAATTCTGGGAATCGCCGGATGAGTAGAGGAGCTGGTGATGGCCATGGTCCTCGATGTCCCCCACCTTCCCACACAAGGGGCCAGCCTGGAGGAGAGATGTGAACACTGGAGTCTGGCTGGGGTCCTAGGATGTCAACTTGTTCCCCAGACCTTCTAGAATCCCCCCAGGAAAGATTCAAGTGTCCTCCCACAGGTCTCCCCAAATGCAATCCCCATGTCTTCTCTTGCCCCAACCTCATGATCACCCACTCATTATTTTTCTTTTTGGTCTTTTGGGTCACACTCGGTGATGCTCAGGGGTTCCTCCTGACTCTGCACTCAGGAATCACTCCTGGTGGTGCTCGGGGGACCCGATGGGATGCCTGGGATTGAACCCGGGTCAGCCGCATGCAAGGCAAATGCCTTACCTGCTGTGCTATCACTCTGGTCTCCGTGTACCTATTCTTACAGATTTACAGGGATTGGGGTCGAGGCTGACGTCCCCAGAGGTCAGCCTGGGTTAACAGGCTCTAGTTGCTTTGAAGTGCCGTGAGGACTGGGGCTGGAATAATAGTACAGCCGGGAGGGTGCTTGTCTTGCACACAGCCAACCCAGGTTTGATCCCCGGCACCCCATATCGGATCCCTGTGCCCACCAGCAGTGATCCCTGAGTGTAGGCAGAGCCAGGAGTAAGCCCTGAACGTCACCGGATGTGGCCACAAACATAAGCCCAAAACAGTGTGCTTTGTAGAGGGGCCAGAAAGATAGTATGGTGGGTAGGATGTTTTCCTTGCATGTACCCCACCCAGGCTCAATCCCCGGGATCCCATACGGTCTCGAGTACTGCCAAGAGTAATTACAAGTAATCCCTGAGCATTACTGGGCGTGACCCAAAAACCAAAATATGCCAAAGAGACGGGGAGGATGCTCCCGTTGCATATGGCTTACCCTGGTTTGACCCTCAGCACCCCATCTGTTCCCCTGAGCATTGTCAGAAGGGATCCCTGAGCACAAAGCCAGGAGTAAACCCTGAATACCTCCAGTGTAGAAAAAGAAATAAAAAAGACTCACAAAGGAAACCTCAAAAAAAATAAATAGTCACACCAAGGGACTGGAGGTTAAAATGCTTGTCATGTTTGTGGCTGACCCTGGCACGACATATGGTCCCCGAGCACTGAAAGGAATGAACCCTGAGTACAGAACTAGGAGCTGGTATGATCCCCCAAACCAAAACTACCCCCCCAAGAACTCCTGCCAGCCCATAGTCGCCCTAAAAGCCACACAGGAAATGGGGTTTCATTTCACTGTAATAATTCATTTCAGTAATAAAAGAAAGCGAGCAAAGAGTTTCCCAGTACATATTATGTTGCAGCTTTTACTGAGGAATACAGTAAACAGGATACACTGTGCTGTATCATTTTAACGGCCTGCGGGGCAGAATTCCGAAAGTGACCCCAGGGGGCTGAATTGGTTGAGTTTCAAGGGGGAAAGTGACCGCGCTCCACCCCTGGCTCTCCCAGACGAGGTCACTGCGGTTCTCAAAGGCGAATCGAGGTCGTTGGTCAGGGCGGCTGCCCAGAGGAATCGGATCCTCCAGATTCCAGAATCAGATTCCCGCAAATTCTGTGCCTTTATAAAAGCCCAGGGTTGCTGGAGACGCCGCCACCGGCAGGTTCCCCGGCCGACCACCAGGCGGCGATAGAGAGTAACCGGTCGGGGCAAGGCGGTTTCCCTTGCGGTCCCTGGTCTTGACGTCACTAGGCTGATCCCCGGTACCAGGTCAAGATCTGCCCAAAACTGGGGAGCTGGAGAGACAGTCCAGCGGTTCGGGCGCTGCCTTCCACGCGACTGACCCCGGTCAGCTGACCCGGGTCCTCCCCCGATCCCCATACGTTCCCAGGACCGCCAGGAATACAGTCCCTGTATTGCTACTCTGGGTGTGACCTCCAAAATAAAAATTTAAAATTTTAGCCCTCCCGTTGATCGTCGATTTGCTCGAGCGGGCCCAGTAACGTCTCCATTGGAGACTTTGTTGTTACTGTGTCTGGCATATCGAATACTCTCGGTAGCTTGCCGGGCTCTCCGAGAGGGGTGGAGGAATCGAACTCCAAAATAAAATTAAAGAACTCCAAAATAAAATAAAATAAAATAAAAGAACTCCAAAATAAAATAAAAATAAAATCAAATTTACCTCCAAAATAAAATTAAAGAAAAAAAGTTGCTTTGCCCTCCCTGATTTCAGTCCACCAGGAGCTGTGCGCTGGGCCCACTTCCTTCTCTTTGTGCTGTACCCATCTGTGATCAAGGTTTTCCTGCAAGCCTGCAGGACACAAAGCCAGGAAGCCGGGTGCGTTTCTGCCAACAGTTAATGAGTTACAAACACTGGACACCAAAAACGATGAAAACAATAAGGTCCGAGACTCTTTAAAACCAGATGAAAGGACCAAGTGATCGGTAGATAACTCCGTACTTTATTGTATTCATACACACGCATCATTTTTAAATATCGCACCTGCTCATACCATGACAGTTTTCAATTACTAATGGTAAGTACAGGTGGGGGCCAAATTCTACGTGGCCAGTGGTACAGCAGGGCAGGGCATCTGCCTTGCAGCAGCCGACCCAGGTTCAATCCCCAGCATCCCATATGGTTCCCTGAGCACCACCAGGAGTAATTTCTGAGTGCAGTGTCAGGAGTAACCCTTGAGCATCACTGGGTGTGACCCAAAAAAGCAAAAAAAACCAAAAAGAAGTCAGGACTTTTGGGGAAGGGAGTGATAGCCCAGCCGGTAATGCAGTTGTATCGCATGCCTCGAGGCTAGGTTTGATCCCCAGAACCCCATATAGTCCCCTAAGCACCGCCAGAAGTGGTCTGAGCCCAGAGCCAGGCATAAGCCCTGAGCACCCCTGAGTGACCCAAAAGCCAAAAGAAAAAAAAAAGGGTTTGAAAGTTTGGGGGCCACACCCACTGGAGACTAAACCCACCCTCTGCCCCTCAGGTGTTCTTCTAACTGGTAAATCACCACCCTCAAAACTACCCTCTTGGGACTGGAGCAATAGCACAGCGGGTAGGGCGTTTGCCTTACATGCGACCAACCTAAGTTCGATTCCCAGCAACCCATATGGTCCCCCGAGCACCGCCAGGACTAACTCCTGAGTGCAGAGCCAGGAGGAACCCCTGAGCATCGCCGGATGTGACCCAAAAAGCAAAAAAAAAAAAAAAAAAAAAAAAAGACTTTCCTCTTCTCAGAATCCTGCATGAGATTTCAGATCTATTTCTATTCGCATGTAATCTGGAAATTCATTTCAAACAGCTGCCCCTCTGGGGCACCGTGTGCTACTTTCTGAAAAAGAAATTGTCAGTTATTTCCTCCCCTTACCCCTTACCCATGAGGGTCCCTGGCAACCAGCAGAAACCCTCCCCTGGCCGTCTGTGGGTTTACCCCATCAGGGATCGTCCCTGATGATGCTCAGGGGGCAATACACGGTGCCAGGTACGGACCCGGGTCACCTGCGTGCAAGGCCAGCGCCTTACCCGCCAGCTCCCCAGGCAGGGCAAATAGCTTGAGCTCGGATCAGTGATTTCCTTCAACTCCTGGACCAGGAATAGCTTTTATCCTCCGCAGATTTACAAGGAGAAACCAGACCGTCTTTTTTCCCGCTAAGAGCACCGTCTCGCTCTTTGGCAACACCTGCCTCAGCCTTCCGTCCATTCTGAGCTGGGGGCGGGCGTGGAGGCTTCTTTGTGTGGCAGATGTCAGACCTGGCCTCGAGCCCCTAGGGCCGCAGAGAAGGGCAGAGGCCGAGTTGCAGCAATGACTGCAGGATGCATGCGCGGGCACCCAGCCCCTGCCTCTTGCGCAATCTCAGGAGAAGCAATCATCTGGCTCCTGCGTGTGAAGTGGGGAGTGACTAGATTCATGTGCGAGGCCTGGGCCGTGTGCAAAGCCCCAGACAGCCTTCTGCGCTCAGCACAACTTCGCGGACCGGTCGTTTCTCTCACCGCCGGCTGCCGACGTCAGGGCCCCTTTAAGAGCCCCTCCCTCTTCGGCAGCCGAGCGGAAGCGCCTGGTCGGCGCGCCCCGGAAGTGCTCCCGGATCCCCGGAAGTGACCCCGCGCCCCTCACAAACATGGCCGCCGCGCGCGCTCCCGGAAGCGGTCACGCGCCCCTCCGTGACGACGCGGAACGGGCGAGCGCGTCCCCGGGGGCGGGTTTCCATAGCGCCGCCCTCGGCCCCCGGCCCCTCCGCGTCCTGTCCCGCCGCAGCGCCGTGAACGAGGGAGGCCGGCGGCGGGGAGGGGGCGGGACCGCCCGCGACGGACGACGACGTAGCGCGCCGCCGCCGGGGGGCGGGGCCGGGGCGCGGGCGGCGCTCTAGGCGCGCCCGCGCGCGACTCGATGGTCCCCGGCGGTCAGGTGCGCCGCTCCCGCGCGTCGGGGCGGACGTTGCCCCTTTAATCGGCCGAGGGCGGCGCCGGGGAGTCCCGCGAGAGCGGCGGGGGCGGGGGGCGGCGCCGAGCCGGGGGTCCCGCGGCCGATGGAGCCCGCCATGGAGCCGGAGACGCTGGAGGCGCGAATCAGTGAGTGTCCAGGAGGGGCGCGGGCCGGACCGGAACCGGAACCGGGGGGACGAGGCGGGCCCCGGGCCGGCGGGGGCGGGCTGCGGGGGGCGCCCCCTCCTCACGCCCCGCCCCCGGCCCGGGAGGGGCGGCGCCCCGAGCCCCCGACTCCCCTCCGTGCGACCCCCGGGGAGGAGGGGCCGCGCGGCGCCCCGCCACGCGCCCCCAGGCCCAGCGCCCCCCCACCTACCTTCCTTGGGGCGGGGGGCGCACGCGCGTGGCCCTCGGGGGACGCCGACCCCCTGACCCCGGGTCCCCGCGTCCCCCGCGGACCGCAGAGGTGGACACTAAGTCAGGGTCCCCCGAGCTGGCCTGCCTGACCCCTGGAACTCCGGGGTCCCTCCCCCGACCCTGCAGTCTCAAAGGCCCGGGAGTCAGTTAGGGTTCTCTCGCTAGACGCCCCCAGACCCTGGGCGACCCCCCACCCGGGTCCCGGGTCCTCAGACGCGGCTTCCTGCCGCGGAGGCCCTGGGCCACGCAGCAGCTCGCACCCGGGGGGCTTCCCCGACTCCCCCCTGCGCTGCCCTCGGCCCAGGCGGCGGCCCTGGGCGCTCCCACGGGCCCTGGCGGCCCCTAGGGGCCCTTTGATTCCGGTCCTGGGCAGACCTGGACCCTGATCCCGCGCTCCTGGGAGGCCTCCGGCCGGGCTGGCCCAGGAAGGGGTGGCCAGGAGGCCCCTGCGGCCACCAGGGCTGTTCTGGAATGCCCCAAGTGTGGGCCCTGCCCTGCCCTGGAGGTCAGCGTCTGGGGGGTGGGGAGGGGGGTGGACCCGAGGCTGCCTGGGAGCTCCTTTGAGGGTCACTGGCAGGCCCCCGGGGGTGCCGGTGTGGAGGCCCTCCCCTGAAGCCCCTCCCTCCGGCTTTGAGTAGAGGGGGTCCACCTGTCACTGGGGACGGGGAAGATGGTCCGGCCCCCCCATGCAGGGGACACATGCAGGGGACACATGGGGGACACACGAGCTGTCTCGTGATGCCTTGACCTTCCCCCCGGACCCTGACTCAGGCGCTCCCCAGAGCCCGCATCTGTCTCCTCTGGGTCATGCGCCCACACTGGAGGGAACTTCCTGTTTTAGGGTCCACCCACTGCTGCCCAGAGCTGATGGACCGCGGGGTCCCATCTGCCTGCTCCGCCTGGGGTCCCCCAGGCGGGGACTCCTGGAGCCAGCCCTACTAACCCTGGACATGGGGGCAGTTCCTCGGCCCCCCTTGGGGGCTGGCAGGAGTTTCGTGTCCCGGGGTCTGGGGGTCTCTGTGGAACTCGGGCCAATTTGTACTGGCCTGGTGGGCCTGGGTTTTGTCTGCTCTGTGCTGCGTGGGGCTTTCTGGAATCTGCGGGAGAGGAAGGAGCAGCCTTCGGGCACTGACTGGGTCCCAGGGCTCGTACCCCCTCCACAGCAGGGGCCCCAGACGGACCTGCCGTGTCGCCACAGTGGGACGCCCCCTCCCATAGCCCCACTTCCCTGTCTCGGACCACAGTTGTCCCTGAACTTGGGACCCGCAAAGCCAGGCCCCCCTGCCCCCTGCCAGGATGTAGTCAGGATGGGATCTGAGTGTCACAGGAGAGAGCTGACCCAGTGGGCTTCCTGGAGGAAGCGGCAGCTGAGCTGTTCCTGAGGGAGAAGAGCTGCCTGGCCCCCCAGCCCCCAGGGAAGGCCACAGTCCCACCCCCACCCTCCTGCCCTGCCCGCAGCTCGGTGGCCACACTCGCCTCCTTGGCCACGGAGCCGAGCGCTTTCGAGACCTCGAGACCTTGCCCGGTCGCCTCCTCCAGGCAGCCGTTCGTGGCTCCGAGATCCTCCTTCCTGGACCCAGCCCGGACGGGGCAAGCTGTGTAGGGGGGGTTCTTTTCCTGCGCGGGGAGGGGGCACCCTCTGGGCAGGTCCCCAGGAATTAGTTTTGGACGCAGCGTGGGGGCGGGGTGGCGCGAGGAGTCAGGGCTGGGCTCTGAGCAGGTCCCCCAGAGCCGGTCCACAGCAAGAAGCAGTGAGGACTCAGCCCTGCCCCCTGCTCACCCCGACTCTCCCCTGCAGACAAGGCCACCAACCCCCTGAACAAGGAGCTGAACTGGGCGGGCATCAACGGCTTCTGCGAGCAGCTCAACGAGGACTTCGAGGGGTACGAGTCCCCCTGCACGGCCCATGGGCCTCAGGGAGGTGCCGGCCGGGTGCTCAGACCCTCAGCACTCGGTCCCGGGGTCACAGAGCAGAGTAGCCCTGAGCTGGCTCTGGCCCTGCAGGGGGACCCCAGGAGACACTCTGGGGGCCCCCAAAGTGGGGGTCTCCACATGCCCAACAGGATGGGAGGGGGAACCTGGGCTTAGACCCACACGTTGGGGGGCCCCGGGTCAGCTGAGCCCTGGGCGGGGCTGGCACTAGGGAGTCTCGGCTCCATGGTGCTCCCCCCGGGAGGCCGGGCAGGGCCAGGGTGCTCCCTCGGCCTGTCTCGAGGCCCTGTGCCCAGGGCCCCCCTCGTGGGTCAGGGGCTCAGGCTCCAGCCTGCCCAAGACGCCCACCTGCCTCCCACCCTCCCTGCTTGGCCTTGGGGTCTCACCCTGCCGGGCCCCCCGGGACAGCTCCTGGGGCTCCCGCCATCCGCTCGTCCTCTCTCCCGCAGGCCTCCCCTGGCCACTCGGCTGCTGGCGCACAAGATCCAGTCCCCACAGGAGTGGGAGGCCGTGCAGGCTCTGACGGTGAGGCGTGGCGGCACCCTGCAGGGCCCGCGGGCACGGAGCCAGGGTAGCCTAGAACGGGGCCAGCCCCCCAGGACCCCCCCAAGCCAGCGTCCAGCCCCCTGCCCCCACAGGAGTTAGGCCTCTTGGACCAGAGCGATAGTATAACGGGTAGGGCATTTGCCTTGCACACGGCCGATCCGGGTTCGATCCCCAGCATCCTGTAGGGTCCCCCTAGCACCGCCAGGAGTGATTCCTGAGTGCAGAGCCAGCAGTCAGCCCTGAGTATCGCCGGGTGTGACCCAAAAGAAAAAAAAAAGGCAGGCCTCTTGTTGGTAGGAGGGGCCTTTGGACCCCCACCCCTGTCTGCAGTGAGGCGCAGGCCCACTTCTGCGGGGGGCCCTGGGTGGGCCAGTGCAGGCCGGCTGGCGACCTGTCTGTCCCTGTGCACGGCGGTCTCCACGGAGCTGATGTCGCTCAGGCGAGCCAGGTGGTCCTGTCGGAATTGCGCGCCTGTGCGTGTGTGTCCCCCCAAATCCTAGTTCCGGGGTCACACAGCTCCGGCACTGAGGGGGAGGGCCAAGGCGGTCCCTGCCCGCGGGGGGCCGTGGAAGGTCCATATGGGGACAGGGGCTGAGCCGGAGCACAGCGGGGAGGGCGCAGGCCTTGCACACGGCGCACCCGGGTTCGAGCCCCTGCCTCTCTGAGGGTCCCCCTCGCCTGTCAGGAGTGAGCCCCGAGTAGCGCCACGCGTGACCCTCGAGGAGTAAAGGCGACGCAGGCGTGTCGCCGAGCAGCCCCGGGGCCCCATCGCCCGCCCTGTTCCCCGGGGAGTGCGGGGTCTCCCGGGCCTCTGTGACCTCGGGACCCTCTTCCCTCCCTCTCCTGCCCACCCCTGGGGCCGGTCCCCGGCCGAGATGCAGGAGGACGGCCGCCGCCCGGCCCGCGCGGGGTCCCCTCACCCCCCACCTCACGCAGGTGCTGGAGACGTGCATGAAGAGCTGCGGCAAGAGGTTCCACGACGAGGTGGGCAAGTTCCGCTTCCTCAACGAGCTCATCAAGGTGGTGTCGCCCAAGGTGGGTGCCCGGCCCGCCGGAGCCCCCCTCCCCCTCGAGGTGCCAGGGCGCGGGCGCAGTCGCCCCTCCCCACGCCCCTTCCCCCCAGCCGGCCACTCCTCCCTCCTGGGGTCCAGCCAGAGGGGTCCACGGGCAGCCGGGCCCCATGCTTCACAGGCCACCACAGTCACCCCCACTTCTGGGGGAAACTGAGGCCCACAGGGCCGGCACAGTGAGCGCCCCCAAGCCAGGGGGCGAGCTTGGTCAGCACCAAGCTGGTTGGAGGCTCGTGGGGGTCCCCCTAGGGCGAAGGGAGGCGGCGCAGTCCGACCCGCCTGTCTTCTCTCCCCGTGCCCCAAGTACCAGGGCTCGCGCACGTCGGAGAAGGTGAAGAACAAGGTCCTGGAGCTGCTGTACAGCTGGACGGTCGGGCTGCCCCAGGAGGCCAAGATCGCAGAGGCCTACCAGATGCTGAAGAAGCAGGGTGAGCCCGCGGCCCCAGCTGTTGTGGGGGGTGAGGAGGTGGGTCGGGGTCACACTTCCGTGCGGGGGGGCCCCAAAGCGGTGCCTAGCCGGTCTCCCCCAGGAGCAGATCCCCCGGCCGCCCACTGGGTCCGGAGCCAGCGAGCGGGCTGAGAGAGCCTGCCACCACCCCCACGGCCTGCCCACCCCCCTCTCCCCAGGGATCGTGAAGGCGGACCCCAAGCTCCCGGATGACGCCGTCACCGCCTTCGCCCTCCCTCCCCCTCGGCCCAAGAATGTCATCTTCGAGGACGAGGAGAAATCCAAGGTGAGGCCCCCGCGGGCCGGGTGCAGAGGGGATGCCCCGCGCCCCTGTGGAGAAGCACGGCGGCTTCGGGCCTTTCCCCCTCCGGGGGCCCCCCAAGTGCACAAAGGCAAGATGAAGAGTCAGCCCCAGGGGTGAGAGAAAGTAGGGGCCTTGCACGGAGGCCGCTTTCCTGGAGGGTGACCTCCTGAGCTGCCCCTGCTGGGGGTCAGGGCACCCCGAGTCAGTGCCCCCTCTGTGCCCCCAGATGCTGGCGCGCCTGCTGAAGAGCTCGCACCCCGAGGACCTCCGCGCCGCCAACAAGCTCATCAAGGACATGGTGCAGGAGGTGATGCCCGCCGGGAGCCGGGGTGCCGGGGTGGGGGGGCCCCCCCGCCGCTGAGCACGCCGCCCGGGTCTGCCTTTACCTGGCGGACTGGCTCTCCCGTCCCAGTCGGAAGCAGTCAGGCCTTACTCTGAGGGACTCACTCCCTGTGGCACTCGGGCCTGTGTGGTGCCAGGGACCACACCAGGCCTGCGTCTGCACACGCGCGCTCTGCATTTGTGGAGAAGGATGGTGCAGGCATCAGTGCACACCCAGGCCTCAGTGCCTAGACGAGCACTCTCTGGGCCAGAGGGCGCTCGCCTTGCATGCAGAGGACCTGGGTACATCCCCAGCACGCCATAGGGTCCCCTGAGCACCATCAGGAGTGAGTCCTGAGTGTTGCCGGGTGTGACTGCAGAGACTGCAGCCCCAGGACAGGAGGGGGTGGGGGGGAGAGGTAGGGGTGGTCCTGCTTTGTCTGAGGATAAGCTGTGGGCTCGAGGGGCAGGCGAAAGTCGTGGTGTGTGTGTGTGTGTGTGTGTGTGTGTGTGTGTGTGTGTGTATCCCCCAGACCCCTTTAGGATGTTAGTGGGAAGCCGGGTGGACAGCAGCCCGCGGTCCCCCTGTGCCTCTCCAGGCCTGAGTCCCGGCCCTGACGGCTTACGGGCTGTACCCTGTCGCTTCTCACACATAAGGGGGCGCAGTGCCCAGGCTCCTGCCTGCAAAGGACTCTGAGCTCCGAGCCCTGTCTCAGCCGGGGCCTCCTGTCGTTGGGCACAGAGGCCACTCGGAGGGTCAGGTCCCCGGGGCAGGGCCCTGTGGGCGGGCTCCAGCTGGGGTCCCTGCGCCTCCCCGACGCCGAGGCCCGGCGCAGAGGTCCGTCAGTGGCTGGAGGACGGCTGCCCAGCTGGCCGAAGGTGGCCCGGGCCGGCCGCGGCCGCTCGCGCCCCTGGAGGTCCGTCTCGGCGCGCCCCGTCTCTGACAGCGGCTGTGCCGATGCCTCCGCAGGACCAGAAGCGGATGGAGAAGATCTCCAAGCGGGTGAGCGCCATCGAGGAGGTGAACAACAACGTCAAGCTGCTCACCGAGATGGTGATGAACCACAGCCAGGGCGGCGGGGCGGCGCAGAGCAGCGAGGAGCTGATGAAGGTGCGGCCGCCCCGCCCCCGGGCCCGCTTGGCCCCGCCCCCTGCGTGTAGCCCCGCCCGCGTGCCCCTTGGCCACGCCCCCTGGCCAGACTGGCTCCTCATTGTGGCCCTGCCCCTGGGCCCGCCCCCTGCGTGTAGCCCCGCCCATGTGCCCCTTGGCCACGCCCCCTGGCCAGACTGGCTCCTCATTGTGGCCCTGCCCCTGGGCCCGCCCCCTGCGTGTAGCCCCGCCCCCTGGCCCTGCTGTCCTGATCCCCGCGGCCCACTCACTACCTCCAGGAGTTGTACCAGCGCTGCGAGCGGATGCGACCCACCCTCTTCCGTTTGGCCAGCGACACAGAGGACAACGATGAGGCTTTAGGTGAGACCCCGGGAGAGGCCCTATTCCACCGTCCCCCAGCCCCCACCCCAGGTCCTAGGTCCTCCTCGGTCCCTGAGGTGCAGTTGGTAGGAGCCGCCGCTAGGGGCCGCCCCGTGCCTCCTGACCTTGGCTCTCTGGAGGAGGGAGAGGGAGGACCTGCAGGGGAGGAGCGCGGCAGGACGCAGGTCCCTTCCTGTCACCAGGCCCACAGGGGCAGCGAGCCGGGTGCCGCCTCCCCAAGCGCCACTCAGCCCCCCCCCCATGCTCTGAGCACTGGGCCTGAGTGGGGGCAGAGTGGGGAGTGAGCGGGAAGAGCCGGCAGGCCTGAGGCATCAGGGGTCTGGCCCTGGGGCCCGAGTCCCCCCACCCCTGCACCCCGTGGCCCTCAGCCTGCCCCCTGCCTGTTCCAGCGGAGATCCTGCAGGCCAACGACAGCCTCACGCAGGCCATCAACCTGTACAAGCAGCTGGTGCGGGGCGAGGAGGTGAACGGCGAGACGGCCGGGCCCATCCCCGGTGAGCGGCGGGCTCAGGGCCGCTGTGCTCCTCCCCTTTCCTTTCCTCTCCCTCTCCTCCCTCCTCTCTCTTCCGCTTCTTCTCTCTTTCCTATTCCTTTATTCTCCTCTCTCTCTCTTTCTCTCTCTCTCTCTCTCTCTCTCTCACTGGGGACTGGCCCTGGAGGTGGAGCCTGCACAGAGCTTCCAAGGGCAGAGGTGGGACGGGAGGGTCTGGTCTCCGGGACGGAAGTGGGGCGCTTGGCTCCCCACGCCCCCCAGCATGGCCTCTCTCCTCCCCCAGGCAGCTCCTCTGCCCTGTTGGACCTGTCAGGCCTGGACCTGCCTCCCGCGGGCACCCCCTGCCCCGCCGTGCCCACCCGCTCCTCCGACCCCAGCAGCCCGGAGCAGCCCAGCGCCTCCGTCTCCCTGTTGGACGACGAGCTCATGGCCCTGGGTGAGGGGGCGACTGTGCAGGGAGGCTTGGGGAGGGGGCAGCGGGCAGGGCAGCAGGCCCATGGACAGTAACGCACAGAGACGGTAGGACGGCCCAGGGTTCGGTGGGACAGCGCACAGGGGACAGTGTGAAGGCCCAGGGGACAGTGTGGAGGAAGCCAGGGGCCTGTGATGGCAGGCAGGGCACACTGGGACAGCGCATAGGGTCAGCCTGGCACCGGCTTCCTGGCCCTGGTGTCTAGGGGAACTGGGAAGTCTCAGGAACTCTCGAAAAGTCCTGAAGTCAGAGCTGCCCAGGCACGTGGCACTGTTCCCCTCACCCAGAGGACGGAGCACCGGGGGCCCACAGTGGTCCTGGCGGGGAGCGGGCTAAGGGCCCTTGGGGAGAGTCATCTGTGGGCTCCAGCCTCATCCCCGAGAGCAGCCGCGTGTGAGCTGCCCTGAGAGGACCCTCCTGCGGGTGCCGGGCACGGGAAGCCACACCCTGCAGGGTGCTGGGCAGTCCCTGTCACCTGCACACCGCTGCTCGGGGGCCCCCGTAGTCCCCTGCTGTTCTCTGGGCCCCTCCTCCCATCCTTAGCAGTGGGGCTGCCCAGGAGGACGGCAGGGGGGAGGCCCCGGCCAGCACTGCCCCGCTGCTGAGGGCGAGGCGTCCCTGTCCCGCACCCGCAGGCCTGAGTGACCCCACGCCGCCCACTGGTCCCAGCCTGGACGGTGCCGGCTGGTACAGCTTCCAGGTAGGGTGGCCGGCGGGGGGTCGGTGTCGGGGAGAGCCCCCCGCCCCTCCGTCGGGACTCACCCACCCTCTGCTGCACAGTCCTCCGAGGGCCCCGAAGCCCCCGGCCCGACCCCTGTGCCCGATGCGGCCAGCAAGGCCCCCGCACCGCCCCCCGCTCCGGCCAGCAGCGGCCTGGATGACCTGGACCTCCTGGGGAAGACCCTCCTGCAGCAGTCGCTGCCCCCTGAGGCCCAGCAAGTGCGATGGTGAGGCCCGCGTGTGGGCGGGGACCCCCCAGCAGCGGAGGGAGGGACACCGGCAGCTGGCGAGGGTCCCCGAGTAACCCGCCCCTCCCCGCCCTGGCTGCAGGGAGAGGCCACAGCCGGCCCCGCGCCTCACGCTCCGGGATCTGCAGAACAAGGGCAGTAGCGGCGCCCCCAGCGCCGGGCCCCCTGGGCCCCTCCACTCCGGCTCCCCTGAGCCCGCGGGACCCCCGCAGCAGCCCGCGGCGCCTGAGCTCTCGCTGGCCCACGTCACGGTGCCCCTGGAGTCCATCAAGCCCAGTGAGTGGGGACAGTGCAGTCCTGGCCACGACAGCGTGGGGAGGGGCTGGAGTGATAGCACAGCGGGGAGGGCGTTTGCCTTGCACGCAGCCTACTCGGGTTCGATTCCCGGCATCCCATAGGGTCCCCCGAGCAGCTCCAGGAGGGATTCCTGAGCGCAGAGCCAGGAGGAACCCCTAAGCATTGCTGGGTGCGACCCAAAAAGCAAAAGAAAGACACAGTGTGGGGTGCCCCTGTGCCCCCCGGTTTTCCAGTGGCGGGTGGGGGCCCCGCGAGCAGCCGGGGAGCCGGCCCAGCGCCCTCGCCCTTGCGTGCCCGCAGGCAGCGTCCTGCCGGTGACCGTGTACGACCAGCATGGCTTCCGCGTCCTCTTCCACTTCGCGCGTGACCCGCTGCCCGGCCGGGCCGACCTGCTCGTGGTGGTGGTCTCCATGCTGAGCACGGCCCCGCAGCCCATCCGCAACATCGTGTTCCAGTCGGCCGTGCCCAAGGCAAGCCCGGGTGCGGGGTGGGGGGAGCCAGGGTAGGGGCCCGGGGTGGGTGCCCAGGGCAGTCCCGAGCAGCCCCGAGCTCACCGCTGTCCCCGCCGCAGGCCATGAAGGTGAAGCTGCAGCCGCCATCCGGCACCGAGCTGCCTGCCTTCAACCCTATCGTCCACCCCTCGGCCATCACCCAGGTCCTGCTCCTCGCCAACCCCCAGAAGGTAAGAGGCGCGGCGGGGGGCGGGCGCGGGGGGTGCGGGGAGGCCCCCCCGACGCCCCCCTGACCCTCCTGCCCCCCGCAGGAGAAGGTCCGTCTGCGCTACAAGCTGCTGTTCACCATGGGCGAGCGGACCTTCACGGAGATGGGCGACGTGGACCAGTTCCCCCCGCCCGACACCTGGGGCAGCCTCTAGGCCGGGGGCGGCGGGGGCCCAGCGAGCCGGGGGGGCGCCCGCGGGGGCCAGGAAGACCCTGCGTCCCCACTGCCGCCCCCCATCCGGTGCTTCTCCCTCCTGTGGCCCCCAAGGGACTCGGTGCCACCACCCGCCCAGCGAGAGGCCGAGGGGGCCCCTGGTGGGAACCTGATGGGAGCCTGGAGGCAGGACCGCCGGGTGCCCCCGCGGGACTTGGGGTCCGGGGAGAAGCTTGGTCGCGGGCAGCCCGGCCCCCTCGGGGTGCGGCCGGCCCTGCCTGTCTCTGATGCCTTACGGGAAGGCCCAGCCATAGCGGGGGGCCGGCAGGGGGCTGGCACTGCCCGCACCCCGTCTTTGCACTCTGGTGTGTGGTTTGACTCTTTGCTTTCCTTGCGCAGGGGCGGCTCTGAGGTCCTGTCTCGGGGCGCCCAGGACGGGGGAGGGGGTCCCACCTCCTCCCTCCCCAGCCCCCGGAATGCGGGGGCCCACACTGCTCTTCTCGCTCCGAGTGGGGGGATCGGCGAGCGTGAGAACAGGAGTATTTATGGAAATAAACGTCCTTTTTCCTGGAGCGCTGCTCTGTGGCCCTTCCCGGGCGGCGGGGCCCCACAGCGGGGGGTGGGGTGCGGCACTGCAGCCTCCCCGGGGCCGGGTCACATGCTGCTGTGCCCCTGGCCTGGCTCGGGGGCCCGTGGCTGCTGGGGGGTCCAGGGCACCCCAGCCTGTGTGGACAGAGCAGCAGCACGCCTCGCTGCGTCCTCCCCTGGCCAGCCCGCAACCGGGCCGCAACACAGACTGGAGGGCCTGGCTCTGGGGCTCCTGCTACAGAGGGCGCCTGGAGCTGGGCACTGAGCCCTGATTCCACAGGGGAACTGCATGTAACAGGTGTGCACACTTGGGCCTGTCTCCTCACGCACTCGAGGCCTCTCCTCTCTCACAGTCGGGGCATCTGGGCATCTCCCCTCCCACTCGGGGCGTCTCCCCTCCCACTTGGGGTGTCTCCTCATGGGGGAGCCTTCTGTCACAGCTGTGGTCTGGAGTGACAGACGGGGCAACCCTTTCAAGTCCCCCCTTCAGCCTCAAACACTACCCCAGGACCAGGGGTCTGTGGGGTTCCCTGTACCCCACCTTTCTCTTCCTCAGATGAGCTTCTGAAGGCCTTGGGGGTGCAGCCTGGGGGCCTGGAGACTCAGTCCCTGCCTGGAGCCTCCCCCTGGGCAGGGCAGCCAAGGCTGCTGTTTGTGTTGTGTTTTGTCTTGTTGGGGGTGGGTTGCAACGGGCTCAGTGCTTACTCCTGGCTCAGTGCTCAGGGGCCACTCCTGGTGGTGCTTGCGGGACCCTGTGGGGTGCCGGGGAGGGACCCCAGGTCGGCTGTGTGCAAGGCAAGTGCCCTCCCCGCTGTCCTGTTGCTCCGGCCCCTGAGCCAAGCCCTGCTGACCATAACTCCCCTCGGGGGTCCCGGGAGCTGGCAGCTGCGCCCTGGCCGACGCTTTCTCCTGGGTCCTGCTGGGCCCTGTAACGGGGTGGAGGCCCCTCAGACCTCAACAGTCCTGGGGGGTGGGCAGGATGGAAGCTCGGGGGACCAGTCTCTGAGTCCAACCCCCAGCACAGCATCCCCAGGACCTGCCATCAGGTGCACAGAGCCGGGCTGGACGTACCCCGGGGGGTCCCTGCATTCTTGTACCCCCACCTGCCCACCTGCAAGAGCTCAGCGCTCAGGATGGGCACGCCTGCAGGAAGGCACAGTGTCACCCCGGCTTCAGTGGCTGGAGAGGTGCCCTGGGGTGACCCCAAGGCCGGGCCGCAGGTGCCAGCTCAGGACCCGCCCAGGGCTGCCGCCTCCCCTGGGAAGACAGGTCAGCTTGGAGAACTGGAGCGCCAGCCTGGGAGTCCCCAAACCCCGAAGTCCCCCCCGAACAACCGCCCCGGGCCTGTCCAGATGGCCGGTTCCCCCGCCTCAGATTTCCTGCAAAGTCCTTTTTTAGCTGAGGAGGAAGCAAGGACCGTGCAGAGCCCAGACGGCCATGCCCGGGGCGGTGTGACCACTGAATGGCCGGCGGTCAAAGGGCCGCGTCTCTGCCTCACGCCGCTGCCCGCCACTGACCCCAGCTGCCACCCACCGCCTCGGCGCCTGGCCACTTGTCGCCCTGCCCACATCCTGCTCGGGCCCTGCGAGCCGGCACTTCCCAGGCGGGCAGGCCACCAAGGCCCCTGCAGTCTGGAGGGACAGCCACAGGGGGCGGAAGGTGCGACTGCTGAGCTGCAAAGTGGACGCAGGGCCAGGGCCAGCCCCCCCAGAGCCCTCGCCCTCCACTGCTGATGCCCCGGCCCGGGCCCCCTGTTTAGCTTCCAGGCCACTGCAGAGATAACAGACCACAAACAAAGAACTGAAAAAAACGGCTCATAAGACAGTGGGTAGGCGCTTGCCTCACATGCAACCAAGCCTGGGTCCCATCCCTGGCATCCGGGTCCCTGGCATCCCCTACAGTCCCCTGAACACCAGGAGTCACCCCTGAGCACTGCCAGGTGTGGCCTCCAGAACAAAAAGCACTAGGCAGTTAAGCAACTGTTGCCCCTAATTGCTATTATCCCCCTAATTGGCTGTCCCCAGGCCGGGTGAGCAGCCTGGGGCCCCTAGACCGGCCACCCACAGCCCCAGCCCCGCCCCCTCACCGCCCACAGTCTGGGCTGGAGGGACTGTGGCTGGCGCCTTCACACCTCACACACTATGGCTTCCTGAGCGGGACCCTCTAGCCCAGGACACAGGGACTGGGAGGTGCTGCTGGGTGACCAATGAGGACCCCTTTTTCCTTTTTTGCTTTTTGGGTCACATCCGGCGATGCTCAGGGGTTACTCCTGGGTCTGCGCTCAGGAATTACTCCTGGCGCTGCTCAGGGGACCCTATGGGATGCTGGGGATCGAACCCGGGTCGGCTGTGTGCAAGACAAACGCCCTACCAGCTGTGCTATCACTCCAGCACCCTGTTGTTGTTGTCGTTTTTTAAAGGACATTATTTTTTAGGTTCGGGGCCAGACCTAGCAGGGTTCAGGGATCCCTCCTGGTGGGGCTCAGGGAACCAGACCCCCAGGATCCAACCCAGTCCCGCTGTCTCTCTCCAGTCCCCACAGCAGGTCAGGGTTAAGGTGTTTGCCTTGTGCCTGGCAGGTTCAATCTGGCCCCTTCTGTCCCTATCTGGTCCCTCGGTGACCCCTGAGCACAGAGCCAGGAGTCAGCCCTGAGCATTCCCAGGTGTGGCCAAAAAAAGCAGAAAACAGAACAATTAAATGACAGGAGCCCGCAGAGCCTCCAGGCTGGGATTCCAAACCCTTCCCAGGTGCCCAAGGAATGTTCTAGAAACCCATGTTCAGGCTCTTCCGCCTCCGGAGGCAGCAGGCATGTTCCAGATGCCCACAGCAGAGGAAGGGCTGGCTGGGACTCCGGGCTGCAGGGAGCACAGCGTAGCCCTGGGTGGGGGGCGGGGGGGGGCAGAGGGGAGACCCAGGTGACCTGTGGCTGGGGGGGGTCTCCCCAGCAGCCAGGGACAGGGCCCCGCCCTCTACCCCCCCCCCAGGGCCAGGTTGGGACGAGCCCCCCCTCAAACGCTGGCTCTGTGCAAAGCTCAGAAGTCTTGCACATCCTTGCCGACCGGGGTTCAATCCCCAGCATCTCATCTGGTCCCCAGAGCCTCTCGCCAGGAGCGATCCCGGAGCGCAGAGCCAGGAGCAAAGCCCAGACCACCGGCGAGGGTGGCCCCCAACACAAAAAGCAAACCCCCCAAAAGCAAAAGCAGGCTTGGCTGGGGCAGCGGGGAGGGCGGGGCCGTGCGGAGGGGGCGGGGCCGATCTGGGGGCGGGCTGGGACCTGGGGGTGTCTGTCCCGCCTGCAACCAGGGCTGCAGGGCCCGGGGCACGTGACGCTGAGCTCTGCTCGGCAGCCCGGGAGTCTGCAGAGAAGGTGACAAGCCGCAGAGACAGTCACCAGCCACCACGTCTGGGGGCGCGTGCAGTGAGGAAGAGGAGCAGGAGACCCCTGCAAGGCAGGGGCCCCCAGTGGGGTGGGGGAGGAGCCTGGCCCAGTCCTCCCCCCATAGCTGAGTCTTTGGTTTTTTGGGGTTTTTTTTTTGCTTTTTGGGTCACACCCGGCGATGCACAGGGATCACTCCTGCTTCTGCACTCAGGAATCACCCCTGGCGGTGCTCAGGGGACCCTATGGGATGCTGGGAATCGAACCCGGGTGGGCCGCGTGTAAAGCAAACGCCCTCCCCGCTCCAGCCCCATAACTGAGTCTTTGATTCCCCCACAGCAACTGGGGGTTCCCCACAGCGCTTCTCCCTAGGTGCCCTTCAGGAGCGGAGGGCCCCGAAGTGCCAGACCCTGGGCCAGGCAGCTGGCCAAGGTGGTTCAAGGGAAGTGCTTTTCAAGGCTTTTCCCTTGGGACCAGAGGTGCAAGGTATTTCGGTGCAGGGGTATTGGGGTGCAGATATGAGGGTGCATGAAAGTGCTCACGAGGCTCCCGACCCGGGTGGAGGGGGGGAGCAGAGGACTAGCACCCTCCTCGCGCCCTGCAGGAAGGAAGTTCTCCCCAGGGCTGCCCCCAGGGGGAAAGAAACTCGGAAGGGGGGGCGGTTCTCCGGGAGCCCTGGTGTGGTTGGAGGGTCGCGGTGGACGCCCCCTCTAGCAGGGCGCTGGAAATCTGGGTGCGGGCGGGGCCGGGGCACGCACGGAGCCCCGACGGTGGCCCACGGGGGCCTGTCCGGGGGTCGTCGCTGCAGAGCGCGGCCGGAAGCAGAAGCCCCCAGCCCTTGCTGCAGCGGTGGGGCCGGGTGGGGGCTCGGCCGGGCCCGGGTGCGGGGCGCGGGGCGCGGCCCCCTACCTGCTTCCCGCCCGGCCGGTGCGTCGGGCCGGGTGCGGGGCGGGACGGGGCGGGGCGCGGCGCGCACAACCTGGGCCGGGCGCGGCGGCGCGGCCACACGCGCGCCACGGACGGCCGGGGGCGGCCGGGGGGCCCGGAAGCCGGGCGGAGAGGAGTGACCGGGGGGCCGGGGGCGGAGCCGCGGGCGCCGGGGCGGGGAGCCGCGCCGGGGCCCAGGAAGCGCCGCGCGCCGCCCCCCATCCGGGCCGAGCCGCCGGGGCGCAGCGGGCTGGGCCGGGGGGCCACGCGCCACCCACCGCTGCCCCACGATGATGAAGAGGCAGCTGCATCGCATGCGGCAGCTGGCCCAGACGGGCAGCCTGGGGCGGTGAGTGACCCCCGCTGTCCCCTCCCGCTCGCCCCGGAGCCCCCCGGCCGGGCCCCGCGCCGACCCGGGCCTGCCCGCCCCGTCCAGCGGCAGGGGCGCCCCCGATGATCCCCCTGAGCGCAGGGGTGCCGGAGGGGCGCGGCGCAGATCAGGCCTCTGCGTGGAGGGCCTGGCCGGCCTCAGTTGTCCCTCCGGCGCAATGGGGACAGCGACCCCTCTGGGGGCCGGGTGGGGGAGGGGACGGCCGTCTGGGCTGCGGGCGGGGGCGGGGGGAGCGGAGGAGCCCTGCGGGGCCCCGGCCGGGGAGGGGTCCGGCCCTCCGCCCCGCCAGCAGCCCGGAGCCGCTTGCTTCTCTATCTTGCTTCTGCTTTTGGCGCCGCTCAGATGGGAACAGCCCCGCTCTGGGCTCCCCGCTTCCCGCCAGGAGGCCCCTGCAAGGCTGGAGCGGAAGCCGGGAGTTTGGGGCGCGCCCCTCTCCCCCCCACCCCCACCCCCACCTCCCAGCATGTGCGCTTCCTGTTGTCTGAGCGCCGGGCTGGGGGGATCCGGCCCGAGTCTCGCTACCCCGCCCTGCACGGAGGCCTGGGCCGGCGGGACCCCCGACCCCTGCGCCCCCCGGGTCTCAGTGGCCCCCTCGTCCCGGCCACCCCCGCGCTGCAGAGTCGGGGGCTGAGCTCACACACTTCCGTGCCTGGAGGCTTTCTTGGGGGGCCGTGCCGAGAGAGGGCGGACCCCAGGGTGGGGGCTCCCCAGGGCCCCTCCGGGGACTCAGCCCTGACTATGGAAGAGGCGGAGCACAGATGTGCTGGGACCGGAAGGGGCTGGTGGGCGGCCCCCAAGCAGGTCCCGGTCCGGGGAGGCCCTGGAAGAAACTGGGGTCCAGGGGCCTGTTGGTGGGGGGCCACTGCCCCGGCTCAGCACAGGCTCCCCCGCCCCCCGCAGCACCCCGGAGACGGCCGATCTGCTGGGAGAGGAGCTGCAGCAGGTACGTGCCTGGGCGATGCGCCGGTGGCAGGACAGGCTGGCGCAGGTGCCGTCCGCTGGGCGGGACAAGTGTCGGGGGCCCCGGGCTGAGTCATCCCCAAGCTGTGGGCTTATGGGTCCCCAAAGGAGGAGAGATGGCAGGGGAGGCGCCGGGGCCTTGGCACAGCGGCCAGGGGCTGACTGGCCTTGCATGCGGCCAGCCCGGGCTCCATCCCGGCATCCCCCGGGGTCCCCCGAGCCCTCCGGAGTCAGCCCCAAGCACCTCCTGCAAGGACAGCCAGGGTGGGGTGACTGTTCCTGTGACCCGGTGTCCCGCATCCCATCACAGGTGGAGCAGCGGCTGGAGCCAGCCAAGCGGGCAGCGCACAATGTCCACAAGCGACTGCAGGCCTGCCTGCAGGGCCAGAGTGGAGCGGACATGGACAAGCGGGTGGTGAGTAGGGCATGAAGACCACTGCGTCCCCCCAGGGGCACCCCCTCAGGCAGCCTCATCTTCCTGGGTACCCTCCCCCTGCTGCGTCCACCGGTCTCCTGACCCCTGACCCACGGCCTAGCCTGGGACAGCACTTTGAACATCTCTGGCCAGTCAGCACCCGGTGCGGAGCAGACGCCTCTGCCCAGACAACCCGAGGGGACTCCCTGGAGGAAGTGGCACCGAGCTAGCTGGTCTTGGCTTGTCTCTCCCTGGGGTTTGTTAACCCACCCCCGGCATTCATGGAGCGATGATGGCTCATGTGTCACTAAGACACGCTGGTACTTGCTTTCACAAGAATGCCAGTCCTGGCCCGACGAGCGCAGAGTTCCCCAAGGAAGTAGGGGCTTGGATCCAGTGACTCAGTGAGGTATTCAGGGAGTCAGTGGCCAGGCCGAGAGTCGAACCCAGGTCTCTGAGCCCGCAGCTGTGTTCTCTGGGAGAGAAGGTGTGGTGTGGAATGAGCTGGCAGCTCAGGCAGTCTGGCTGAGCACTGGAGGTTGGGGAGGAGAGAGGAGTCAGCCCGGGAGGGGCTGGACTCAGCCTCAGGAACAGCCGCACAGCCGTGACCTTGGGCCAGCCCCCCCCCCCACACACACACACACACACTCTTCCAGCCTGACATGTGATTCGACATTCCTGCCCCTGCCAGTGGCCCCTGGGAGGGGGAGGCCACTTGGGTGGGGCCCTGCACAGGGTCGCAGGGAGGTCCCACCCCCAGCTCTGTCACCACCTATGACATGATGTGACACACCCCAGTCTGTCCTCCTGGGCCTGGGACCTGCTCTGCCCCAAGGGACTCAGGTGTGTGCCTGCTGGCTTCCGGACATTCGCGCTCAGGCTGGGCCCCCTCCCCCCTTCTCTGCAGAAGAAACTCCCTCTCATGGCTCTGTCCACCACCATGGCCGAGAGCTTCAAGGAGCTGGACCCGGACTCCAGTCTGGGGTGAGCACGGGCCCCCTGGAGGCTTGAGGGGGCGGGAGGAGCTGGCCGGGGTCTCGGTGTCCAGGCCTGGGGTGGGGTCGGGGGGTACCCTGAGCGGGGTGCAGGGCTGGGGGAAGCCCACGGCTGGCCGTGCCCACAGGAAGGCCCTGGAGATGAGCTGCGTCATCCAGAACCAGCTGGCCCGCATCCTGGCCGAGTTCGAGATGGCGCTGGAGAAGGACGTCCTGCAGCCGCTCAGCAGGCTGAGCGAGGTGACGTGTTGCCGTCCATGCGGGCACACGCGTGCACACGAATATACACGCATGCATGCCGACACATACTCATGCACGTATACACGCACATACATGCAGACCCGCACATATGCAGACCCATGCACACATGCGTGCACAGGTATGTGTACTCACGCACACATGCATACATATATACACACAATATACACATGCACACGCATGCACGTGCACACATGCACACGAATATACACGCACAAACATGCATGCACACTTGGACTCATCTGCACATGCACATATATGCACACTTGCGCGTACACACGCATGCACTCAGACATAGACGAATGCACACAGATGCATGCTCACAAGTACATGCAAACTCACACGTGTACATGCACACATACACACACGCGTGCACACACGCACGCTTCCCCAGACGCTGCAGCGCCTGCCCCGCCCCTGACGCCCTCCCCGCTGCCCCTAGGAGGAGCTCCCCGCCATCCTCAAGCACAAGAAGGGCCTGCAGAAGCTGGTGTCTGACTGGAGCGCCCTCAAGAGCAGGTGGGCGCAGTGGCCTCCGACGGTGGGGGGGTCCCGGCGGGCTGGTGCCACAGCTGGGCCCGAAAGCACCGTGTGGGCAGCTGCCCGTGAGGGAGCTCTGGGCAGACATGTGTGCACGTGGATCTGTGCCAGTGGGGGGACCCCTGGAAGTTGAGTGCTATCCCCACCCCCTCCCGCACCCAGGCACCTCTATGCTGCAGGATGGCTGTGATCTCCAAGCCCACCACCAGGGGCGCCCCAGAGCACTGTCGGATCTCCATGCAGCTTTTTTTTTTTTAATAGTATTTATTTTCTTCCATCGACTTTACTTATTGCTTTTGGGGACATCCCCAGCTATGCTCAGGGGTGACTCCTGGTTCTGCACTCACGTGGTGCTCGGGTGACCATGTGGGATGCCGTGTGAGCCTCTTGAAAGGGAAACGCCCTACCTGTGGTTCTAGCTCTCTGGCCCGTTGCTGGAGCTCTTGAATCCATGTCTGGGAGGTGGAGGTGGGGTCCTCCCAGGCAGTGCTCGGGGCTCGGGGGCCACTCTGGAGATTCTTCTTTTTTTTTTCTTTGCGGGTCACACCCAGCAATGCACAGGGGTCACTCCTGGCTCTTCACTCAGGAATTACTCCTGGCGGTGCTCAGGGAACCCTATGGGATGCTGGGGCTCGAACCCGGGTCAGCTGTGTGCAAGGCAAACGCCCTCCCCACTGTGCGATCACACCAACCCCTCCCGGTGATTCTTAGCCTGCTGGACTAGACACTTCAGTGGAAGGCCTGGGATATGTTGCCGGGATCACCGAAGTCCCACTTCGCAGTGCTCGGGGCCTCTAGGGCTCCACCTGGCAGTGCTCTGGGGTCCATGAGCCGGGGAGTAACCGGGGTCTGCCCTAGGGCAAGGCCTTGGCTTTCCTGCAGAGTCCCCCTTCCAACCCTGGATTTTCTGCATGTGTGAATTCACAAGGAGGGGACATGGGGCTTCTGACCGGCAGCGGGTCAGTGACCGCACTTCCCCGGCATTGTCCCCAGGCTCAGCCAGGCCGCGGGCAGTGGCCAGGGCGCTCACAGCTCGACCGCCACTGCCAACAAGGTGGAGACGCTGAAGGAGGAGGAAGAGGAACTCAAGAGGAAGGTGGAGCAGTGTAAGGTGTGTTGGCGGCTGGGGGCGGTGCCCGGGCGGGCGGCTGGGGGTCCGGGCCCAGGAAGGGGGTGGCTGAGTCGCATTCCCAGGTCACAGACTCCTGAGCACTGCCAGGGCTCGCCCCGGGGCCACAGAGCGTGAAATCCAGCTCTGGACCTAGCCGGGGCCCTGGGCTGTCCTCACTGAGGGGGTCAGTGAATCCGGTGATTGGTCCTATGCTCTGAGCCGGGTACGCATGGACACAGGTTGGTTTTGGGAGCTGTAGATTCCACACTCGGGGATAGTCCAGCGGGCAGGGCGTTTGCCTAGCATGCACTTTGATCCCGAGTTCAATTCCCAGCATCCTATAGGGTCCCCTGAGCACCGCCAGGAGTGATTCCTGAGTGCAGAGCCAGGAGGAACCCCTGAGCATACCCTCCCCACCCTTCAAAAAAAGAAAAAAAGGCAAAAAGAAAAGAAAGAAAGGTTACTGTGGGGAGCGGGATCAATAGCACAGCGGTGAGGGCGTTTGCCTTGCACACGGCCAACCCGGGTTCGATTCCCAGCATCCCATATGGTCCCCTGAGCACCACCAGGAGTGATTCCTGAGTGCAGAGCCAGGAGTAACCACTGTGCATTGCAGGGTGTGACCCCCAAAAGCCAAAACACATAAATAAGTAAATTTCACACTTGAGTTCAGGTGGCTGGCCTCAAAGGCCTCTGGTTTGCGTGCGGGGCTGGGTTTGATCCCCAGCACTGAGTGGCCCTCCAAAAAAGTGTGAGAGGTTTCCCGGGAGCTGGTCTCTCAGTGCTGGCTGAGTGGCCGAGCTGGCCGGGACCCTCTCTAGGTCAGTCTGAGCAGGCCACTGGCCCCCCAGGCCTATTTCCCCTCTCTGCCCCCCTGAGTCACCCCCCTCTCTGCCCCAAGGACGAGTACTTAGCCGACCTGTACCACTTCGCCACCAAGGAGGACACATACGCCAACTACTTCATCCACGTGAGTGAGCCCAGCCCCAGGCCTCAGGGTGGGAGGTGGGAGGTGGGAGGTGGGGGATGGGGGGTGAGCTCCGGGGCTGGGTTCCCCTCACTCACTCCCTCTGGGGGATGCCCCCGTGCCCACAGTTCATGGAGATTCAGGCCGATTATCATCGCAAGTCCCTGAGCTCGCTGGACACGGCCCTGGCCGAGCTGAGAGAAAACCACAGTCCAGCAGGTGGGTGGTCATGGGGGCCCTGGGGGACCCTAGCTGGAATGAGGGGCGTGGGAGGGTGAGGGGCGCCGGGGGAGGGGGGTGCTGTGGATTATGAGCCCGGGAGGTGGGGTGAGACTCTGGACCCCAGGGGTCGGGGAGCCTGATCTGTCTCGTCCCCGCAGACCCCTCCCCCTCGATGACGGCCACCCCCTTCTCCAGGGTGTATGGGGTGTCGCTGGGCACCCACCTGCAAGAGCTGGGCCGGGACATCGCCCTGCCCATTGAGGCCTGCGTCCTGATGCTGCTGTCGGAGGGCATGAAGGAGGAGGTAGCGCCCCCCTCTGGCCTGGGCCACACACTGCAGCCGGGGCTGGTGCCCACACCCGCCACCAGGGGTCGCCAGACACACACACGCACACGGGTCACCAGACACACACACACACACACACACACACACACACACACACACACACACACACACACCCTTGCCCGCCACCAGGAGTCGCCAGACACACACACACACACACACACACACGGGTCACCAGACACACACACACACACACACACACACACCCTTGCCCCTAGCACTGGGATGACCCTCAAACTTTTAGCAGTGAACCCCAAAGCTTGGCAGGACCTCCCGGCTGCACTGACCTCGGCTACCACTTAAGATACTAGCGGGTGGGGGCTGGAGCGATAGTACAGCGGAGAGGGCGTTTGCCTTGCACACAGCCGACCTAGGTTCGATTCCCAGCATCCCATAGGGTCCCCCGAGCACCGCCTGGAGTAATTCCTGAGTGCAGAGCCAGGAGGAACCCCTGTGCAACGCCGGGTGGGACCCAAAAAGCTAAAAAAATATTTTAAAAAGATACTAGCGGGTGGACACTGGGGTGATAAACTGAGGGACCCCCTCATAGCCCCTTATAAGAGGGGAGATGGGACCCTCACGAGCTGGGCTCCTGTCCTGTGCACCTTAGCTGGGCTCCATCAGACCCAGGAGGCAGAACACGCGCCCCCTGCGGCCCCCCGAGCCAGACCCCCTCTCCCCACAACTCCCAACTTCTCCCACCAGCTCAGAATTCCAGATCCTTCCAGCACAGGGCACCCCACTGTCCACGCTGCCCTCCGTCCCGCGGGGCCACTGAGGCCCCCCCAGCCCTGGGGTGCCCTCCCAGCCCTCGCCGTGCCTGACATCCCCCTCCCACCCCGCGTGTCCCCCCCAGGGCCTCTTCCGCCTGGCCGCTGGGGCCTCTGTGATGAAGCGCCTCAGGCAGACCCTGTCCTCAGACCCCCTCGGCCTCCAGGAGTTCTGCTCCGACCCTCATGCTGTGGCAGGTACGTGAGTCACAACTGGGTGGGGGGGGAGTCTCCAGGGCTGCTCCCCGGGGCTGCCCCGGCTATGCACAGGGGTTAGTCCTGGCTTCACACTCAGTAATTACTCCTGGCGGTGCTCAGGGGACCCTATGGGATGCCCTAAATCGAACCTCGGTCTGCTGCATGAGAAGCAAATGCCCTACCTGCTGTACTATGGCTCCAGCCCCAAAACGTTGGGTTTTGGGGGGCATCTGCCTGGCTCTCGGATTGTTTCTTGGTGTACCCAGGGCACCGCTCCCAGGCGCCAGGGACCAAACTACATTTGACCACATGCACAGCAAGCACCTTGACTACTGACTAGTAGTTTCATATTTGGATCTTATTTTTTTTTTTTTTGGCTTTTTGGGTCACACCAGGTGATGCTCAGGGGTTACTCCTGGCTCTGCACTCAGGAATTCCTCCTGGCGGTGCTCGGGGGACCCTATGGGATGCTGGGGATCGAACCCGGGTCGGCCGCGTGCAAGGCAAACGCCCTCCCCGCTGTGCTATTGCTCCAGCTCCTATTTGGACTTTTTATCTCTGGAATTTTGATCTCTTGGATTTTGGCCGTGCTCAGGGCTGCCGCCTGGCTCTGTGCTCAGAGATCACTCCTCACGGGGTTCAGGGGAGCCGGTGGCGGTGCCAGGTATCAAATGTGGGCCGGCCGCAGGCAAGGTGACCATCTCTGCTGCCACCGTAGTTTCTCTCTGGCCCCAGCCCAGGGATGCCCCTGTGGGGTGGAGACCCCCGAAACGGCTGTGCACTTGGGGCAGATGGCCACTGGCTTGCTCGTTTTCTCCAAAGAGCCAGGAGCCCCCCAGAATCGAGTCGGTCATAGAAACATGAGCAAGAGGGAAGACTGGGGACTCTTCCCAGGAGAGAAGAGTCCGGGGGTGGTTGGGGCTGGGGGCTGCTCTGACCCCTCCACTCCTCCCTCCAGGCGCCCTCAAGTCCTATCTGCGGGAATTGCCGGAGCCCCTGATGACCTTTGACCTCTACGACGATTGGATGAGGGCCGCCAGGTGAGGGGACAGTGGGCCTGGGGGAGGGTCAGGGGAGGGGGCGGCCACAGAGGTGGCTCAGCTCCCCGCCCCGTCCCCCTTCCCAGCCTGAAGGAGGCCGGCCCGCGGCTGGAGGCCCTGAAGGAGGTGTGCGGCCGACTGCCCCCCGAGAACCTCAGAAACCTCAGGTGAGCCCCAAGCTGCCTCCACTTCCCCGGTCAGGGCCCTGGGCTGGGCTGTCGCTTGGTGTGACCGAGATGATGAAACCAGGACTCTATGGTCCTTTGTTTTAGAAAGCCCTCTTGGGGCTGGAGCGATAGCACAGCGGGGAGGGCGTTTGCCTTGCACACAGCCAACCCGGGTTCGAGTCCCAGCATCCCATAGGGTCCACTGAACACCGCCAGGAGAGATTCCTGAGTGCAGAGCCAGGAGGAACCCCTGAGCATCGCCGGGTGTGACCCAAGAAGCAAAAAAAAAAAAGAAAGCTGTCTTATTTGGGGAGGGGTTTATTTTGTTTGGGGGTCACTCCTGGCAGTGCTCAGGGGTCCCATGTGCTGCCAGGGCTTCAAACGGGGCTCGGCCACAAGCAGACAAAGTGTCCTGCCCTGCGCTCACTCTCCAGCCGTGTGGGGGCGGGGAGGGAGGAGCCCGCTTGTACCTGCGCCATGGGGTGCCAGACCCTGCCTCTGTGGCCGGGTGGTCCTGAGGGACCCCCGTCTCTCTGCCCCAGCCCCCTCATTGGAAACGGGCACAGCTGTGCCCATCTGCAGGGTGACTGGCTGGTCTTCAGCACCTGGCATGCAGTTGGCACCAGTATCCGACGATTATTTTTCTTCTTGGCAGTCCAGTGGGTGGCTGTCACCGGGGGGTCAAACCTGGCATCCCGGTGCCCTCAGCTCTCTGGGCATCTCCCCGGGACTCTGAAACGCCCGAAGCCCCCCTGTATGGTCGCTGTCTGTCCGTGGAAGCCCCCGCTGGGCAGTTCTCAGCCCCCGTGGGTTTGGAGCGGTGTGGGGGGTGCCGGAAGTCCCCCGTGGCCCTGACCCCCTGACTCTCCCACCCAGGTACCTGCTCAAGTTCCTCGCACGGCTGGCCGAGGAGCAGGAGGTGAACAAGATGACGCCCAGCAACATCGCCATCGTCCTGGGCCCCAACCTGCTGTGGCCGCCCGAGAAGGAAGGGTGAGGGGTGGGCTGGGGAAGGCGGGGCGGGGCTCTCTGGGGGAGGGGCGCTCCGGGGGAGGGGTGGGGTGGTGATTCCTGGGGAGGGACAGGTTTGGGGGTGAAGGAATGAGACCTGGGGGCTCGGGGGAGGGTTGTGGGGGTCGCTCCGGGGGGTGGCGGGGGCTCTGGATGGGGTGTTCTGGGCGTCTGCTCTTGGAGCCCAGAAACGTCGCTCCACCCCGCCCCTCCCCCTCCCGGCCACCAGCGCCCCAAGTCCTCGCCAGAGGGAAATGACACACGCTGCAGGATTTTTGCTTTGGGAACGTGATACAGTAACGGAGAAATGCCTCCTTTTGGAGGCTCTGTGCAGCTGGAGAGATTTTTTTCTCTTCTTTTGGCTCGGGGGCCACAGCCAGCCGTGCTCAGCGCTTCTCCCGGCTCAGTGCTCAGGGGTCACCCTGGTGGTGCTTTCTCTGGAGACCCCAGTGTCGTGCCTGGCTGGAGACCACATCGCTGAGCAGCCCCTCCCAGACAGGCCTGGAGCTCCCGGGTCCCGTCACCCCCCCCCACCCCGGGGCCGCCACCTGCTGTAGGGGACAGTGGGGACTCAGGGCCTTATACCTCGTTTCCTGCCCCGCCCAGGGACCAGGCCCAGCTGGACGCGGCATCCGTGTCGTCCATCCAGGTGGTGGGCGTGGTCGAGGCCCTGATCCAGAGCGCGGACACCCTCTTCCCCGGAGGTGAGCATCTACCCTGGCGCGCGTGGCCCTGGGTGCCTTCCTGGGGGGGTTCAGCCAAAACCCCCCAGCAACTGGGGGAGATGTTTTTCCGGGCTGTGAAATGGGAACGTCAGGCCGGGCGGCTGGGAGGCCCCAGGACCCTAATCGGGCAGGGCTGGGAGTGAAGGACGTCGTCGTGTGTCGTCCCCCACCCTGTCTGCAGATGTCACCTTCGACGTGTCTGGGCTCTTCTCATCCCTGGGCCCCCCGGACAAGGTGAGCGACCGGCCAGCCTCCGGGGAGCTTCCTGCCGCTGATGTGTCAGGCCCGGCCAAGGAAAGGTAGGGAACGGCAGCGGAGGGCCCGGGGCCTACCCCCACGTGGCCCCAAGGCTCACCTCTCAGGCTCCTTGGGGGACCCACCCTGACCCGGCTTCCCAGCTTTGGGGGGCCAGGAGCCCCGGAGAAGGGAGCCAAATGCATCCCTTACCTGTGATGGCAGCTCGCACCAGCAGGGGGCGCTGTTTCTGCCGCTGGTGATTGAGGCCACTGGGCGGGTGTCTGGGGGATCCTTCTGGAATGGGCAGGGCACCTCCCACCTGCCTCTCCTTGGCGCGTTCCCCCAGGCGACACACGTGGCTCTGCCCAGTTTCCTCTGAGCAGGATGTCCCCAAGGGCACCCGCGTGGGCCAAGTGCATGCAGGGCTGGGGGGAGGTTGGGGGCAGGAGATTCCATTGCCAGCACCAACGGGTGTGGCCCCCCCAAAGAAGTGCGATAGTCCAGGGGTGAAGGCACTGACCTCACATGAGGCTGACCCCATTTGATACCCGGCATGTTAACATTCACCCAGATAACACCAGGAGTGACCCCCCGAGCACCACAGGCCAAACCCAGCCCTTGTGGGGGAGAAAAGTGGAGAGTCCATTTCTGGGGGACATGGGGTAGCTCAGAGGTAGAGTGCTCGCCTTGTGGGAGACACCTGGCTTGATTTCTGGCACTTTCTGTGTCTTCCTTGCCCAAGAAGAAAGAATAAGTTTGGGACCAGAGCGCTAGCACAGCAGGAAGGGCGTTTGCCTTGCATGCGGCCGGCCCAGGTCCGATTCCAGATGGTCCCCGAGCACCGCCAGGAGTGCAGAGCCAGGAGTGAGCCCTGAGCATTGCCGGGTGTAACCCAGAAAGCATTGTACTGTAGCACTGTCCTCCCGTTGTTCATCGATTTTTGCTTGAGCGGGCCCAGTAACGTCTCCATTGTGAGACTTGTTACTGTGTTTGGCATATCAAATATGTCACGGGGAGCTTGCCAGGCTTTGCCGTGTGGGCGAGATACTCTCAGGCTCTCCGAGAGGGGCGGAGGAATCGAACCAGAAAGAAAAAAAAAATAGTTGATTCGTAACAGAGCCTCAGGCAGATTTGAGGGTCCCATGGGGTGACAGCATCAGCCGTGTGGTCACACAAGACCTCCCAATTAGGGGCCTGGAAAGGCAGGCGGGAGCTGGGACCCTGTGTGCTTCGGAAACTCGGGCCCACGGGATGTCCTGCATGGGGTGCCCGGGACCCTGCCTTCTGCTTTCCGCCCGTGGGGGCGCACAGAGCCAGGGACTCGGAGGACCCGGGGCCTGGGTGCTATCCTGGTATCCGCGTCCGGGAAGGCGCTTTGGGGGACAGACCCCAGGCAGAGCTCAGGGGGATGGAGAGTCACCACCTGGAGGACCCGGACGGCCTGCGGGCTGGGACACCCGCATGCTGATGACTGACCTTTGCCTAACTCAGCAGGACAGAGGCTGCGCCTCCACCCAGGCCGGCCTCCCCCAGGGTGAGCAGGGCCACCCCGGATGCGGCCAGCCCAGCGGAGGACACGGCCCGGAGGAGTGAGTGCACGGGGGGTTGCGAAGGGGGACAGAGGAGGGTAGGAGGGGCCGGGCGACCCAAGGTCTCCCCCTGACTGCAGGCTGGGCCTTGTCTTATGTGGGGGCTTGGCATGGGACAGCCAGACACACCTGCAGCACCCGGACCCTAAAGCCAGTGGCCCACGGAGCCGCCGTCAGGGTGGGGGGGCAGGAGGGTCCCCAAAGGGCCGGGACAGAGGCTGGCGCTGGCATTTGGGCCTTCCTGGCGCATGCTCCAGGCTCTGGGTGTGATGTCTGGTGCGAAGGGTCCACGAAGCGCGTGTACTGTTTATACTGGGCGCCTGGGTCCATCCCTGGCTCCAAGAGGCTGAGCACAGAGCTGGGAGTAACCCAGCACTCCTGGGTGTAGCCCAAAAGAGGGAGGGCGGGCCTGAGAGGTAGAACAGGGGTTAAGGTGCTTGCCTGGCACCTCCCGGCACCCCCTGCGGCGCCCTGAGACCCCTCCCAGGAGTGCGCCCTGAGCACAGAGCCAGGAGTCAGCCCCGAGCACACAGCCGGGAGTCAACCCTGAGCACGGAGCCGGGAGTCAGCCCTGAGCATAGAGCCAGGAGTGACCCTGAGCACCACTGCGTGTGGCCCAGACCCCCCCTCCCACACCCCCACCAAAGCAAGAGAACAGGGAGGGGAGGCAGGAAGGACCCACGGACCCCCCAGGCCCTCTCCCTGCACGTTTGAGAGGGCAGCCCCTGTGGAGGTCATGTCAGGTGTCACCGGAGCTGCCCTCTCGTCTGCCTGGGGGAGTGCAGCCTTTCACCCTCATCTTACCAAGGGGGAACACTGAGACCCCTGAAACTAAGTCTGTACCCCACTCTGGGTGGAGGGAGACCCGGTCCAGTACTCCCGGTGGAGGGATGGTTGGGAGCCGAGAGGGGCAGTTCTGGTGGGCTTCCGGGAGGAGGTGAGCCAGACCCCGCATATGGGTAGGAAACAAGTCACTCGTTGGCGATGCCAGACGGGAGGTGCCCTCGTGCTTGGGGGCCCTGGCAGAGACCAAGATGCCCTGACCTTCCTTCCTTCCTTCCTCCACAGCCAAGCGTCCGGCACCTGCTCGGCCCTCGGGGCCGCCCCCCCAGATCTCCGGCTCCCGCACGTCCCCCCCAGCCCCCTCTGGCAGCCCCGCGACCCCCCGGGCCTTGCCTCGCCGGCTGGTCGGCAGCAACCTCCGGGCCCCCTCTGTGCCCCCACCTCTGCCCCCCGGACCCCCTCAGCCCGCCCGGCGCCAGAGTCGCCGCTCCCAGACCTCCCCGGGTGGGCCTGAGCGGGGGGACCCGGGGGGCGGCCCCGAGGACGGAGGAGCCTCCTCGCCCCCAGCCAACCCCCCTCAGCCCAGACCCCGGAGCCTGGCCTCCGAGACCGACTGAACCGTCGGCGGGGGACCCCACTCCCCGCACACGACAGCCACGGCGGGACCCCAGCCTGGACCGACCGCCACGTGCCTTGGTGCCCGCTGGGCCGGCCCCCGGCCAGGAGGACCCAGAACAGACCCCCGCACCTTGACACCTTCCCTCTCCCACCCACCCCAGACTTGGGGACCTCTGAGCCGACGCCCCTGGCAGTGCCACCGGGCGGAAGGAGAGCTTCCTGCCCCCCCACACACACCCCAGACTTCTATTTTTCTCTTGCCAACGTATTTTTTTGTAAGGCTGGTGAATAAATTATTTTGCGCAAAACTGGAGTCTGCATCTGCCTGATCGCTCGCCCTCTTCTGGGGAAACGGCCACCATGGGCATCCCTCAGGGCTGCATGGTCAAGGGCCGTTGGTTGCTGCTGCCCGCGGGGACTCGGCTGAGACCCTCCTGGGCCGGGATTACAAGGTCACCACGTGGTCGGTGAGGACTGGAACTCGAGTCACGACAGAGACCAGAGTGATAGGACAGTGGGGAGGGCACTTGCCTTGCACAAGGCAGACCCGGGTTCGATCCCCAGCATCCTGTAGGGTGCCCTGAGCACTGCCAGGAGTGATTCCTGAGCATCACTTGGGTGTGACTCAATCACGATTATCCTATTGTTCGTCAATTGCCTCGAGCAGGCACCAGTAACGTCTCCTTCACCCTAGCCCTGAGATTTGAAAAAGTGCCATATTCAAGGCTCTCTCAGGGTTAGGAGATTGAGACCCATCGTTGTTACTGGTATTTGGCATATTGGGTACGCCACGGGGAGTTTGCCAGATTCTGCCATATGGGCAGGTTACATTCAGTAGCCTGCCAGTTTGTCTAAAGTAAGAAAGAGATAAGATGTCGCGCAGCCGCAAATGCGGCCATGCGCTTCCGGGAGCTGGGTTTTATAGTCTCTGGGTCTTGGCCGTTGACGGGATTACACGGCACAGGGGGAGGGAGGGGGCAGTTGGTGTGTGTGACCCCTGCCTACTGGAAGATGGAGGATCTGGGTGGAGGATGCTCAGCCCCGATCCGAGCAGGCTTGGTGTGACTCAAAAACAATAAAAGGACCAAAGAAACGTCCTGGCTCACGGGAGCATCCCACAAGCATCGGTGGCTGTGGGTCCCGTCCCTCCCAGACTCTGGTGGTCCCAGACGAGACCCGACCCTGGGGAGACTCATCTGCCAGGCTTCCTGCCGCCACTCCGTGCCAGCCACCAGGCTCGGCCCTAACTCAGCCCATCACCACAGAACTACCTAGCCGTGGGGGACAGACGGCGGAACTGACCATCGGGTCCAGATGTCGGGCCGGGCGGAGAGTAAGAAGGCAGGTGCACAGGCTTTGCACATGCCCAGGACAGCAAGGCTCCCCGAGCACCAGCAAGAGCAGACCCCTGAGCACTGAGCCAGGAGTACTCCTGAGCCCTGCTGGGTGTAACTTAGCAAGGGGGTGGAAATCAACTCCCAGCTGTCTTGGTGGTCGTTAGGTGTTGCAGGTGACGGGGGTGTCCCGAAGTGAAGGGTACAGGATCATCGGCTTTTATTTCAAGTAGGTGAGAAAGTTGGGTCCTTGGCTTCCCTCAATCAATCCTATAAGTCAGCATTTTTGCTGGAGTTAGAAGTTGGGGGGCTCTACTGGCGGACGGATGGGTGTCGATGACTGAAACTCAGTCATGGAAACTGTAACTACCTCACGTTTCTTCATTAATAAATAAAAATTAAAAACAAAGGAAATAGAAGGGGTAACATGAATAAATAAATGCGTGAAAGAATAAATAGAATAAATGATATGTCTTTCCTCTTGAATCCCCCCCAAAAAGAAATTAGGGGCTCCTCAGGCCTAAAGTCTGCTAACTGGCTTTCAGCAGGACAAGGCTTCTCTCCTTTCTGTCCCTGTGGTAGGGGGGATGGGGGAGGTCAAGGGAGGCTTCCTGGAGGAGGTGTCCTAGAAAAGTCTTTCCAGGTCTGCCCCAAGTGAAATAGTGAGGAAAGAAGAGACAACTCAAGCCGAGCTCTGGGGCTGAGTCACTGAGGTTGGGTGACAATTGCGACTTTCCCCAGGTCTTTGGAAGCACGAGGAACCTTCTCAGAAGTTGGCAGACAACCTCAGAATTTCAACACCCCACTTCCCCAAGCAGTCCGGTCACCTGTCACCCCTCAGCAACTGGTCACTGTTTCCCTGGCTTCTTCATCCCAGGTACTACAGTGAAAGGCTGGCGGGGTGCCCAGTCACCCTGACTTTCTGATTATGATTTAGAAATAAGGAAATCCAAAAATAGCCTGGGGTACTCTCTCAGAACAAGTCAGAATCTCGGGGGTCCTGCCAACTGGTCTTTTCACTTTTGTGGGCAGCACCAGGCACCAAAGCAGTGCCAGCACAAGCAAAGCAAGGGCCCTAACTTTTTTTTTTTTACTTTTTGGGTCACACCCGGCGATGCACAGGGGTTACTCCTGGCTTTTCACTCAGGAATCACTCCTGGCGGTGCTCAGGGGACCATGTGGGATGCTGGGAATCGAACCTGAGTCAGCCACGTGCAAGGCAAACACCCTCCCCGCTGTGTTATCACTCCAGCCCCAAGAGCCCTAACTTTTGCTCTTTGTCTCAGGCCTCTGACTGGTGCGTCTTTATTTTTGTTTGATTGACTTTGGGATACCCCCGGCTGTGCTCGGGGGTCACTCCTGGTGGTGCTGGGGGCCCCTCTGTGGTGCAGAGAATCCAGCCGGGGTCGGTTTGTGCAAGGCAAGCTCCTAACCTGCTATCCTGTATCTCTGGCCCCCGACTGGTGTTTTAAAACGGGTGTTGTCACGGGGCCTTGCTTGTTACTGTGTGTAAATATAGCTTAAGAAAACAAACACCGGGGGGCGGACAGATAGTAGGGCGCTTGCCTTGCGCGAACCCCGGCATTCCACATAGTCACCCAAACACTGCCAGGCGTGATCCCTGAGTGCAGAGTCAGGAACGTTGCCTGTGCCATCTCCCACCTCACCCCACCCCCCAAAAATTCAAAACAGAAGCGAACAGCACAGCCAGCCAGGAGAATTACTGGCCTAGTCCAGGGGGGCCCAGCACCGCAAAAGGCACCCAGCACCTCTCTCCATCACACTCACACACCCCGCCGCGCACCCGGGCCTTGCACGGTTCAGAGGCCATTGAGATTTGACACAAAAAGATGCCACCTCCTCCAGCATCTCTTCTCCTAGCAACCGGCTCGCCTCCGCTTCCGATTGGGTGAGGCGCTCCGCGAGCCGCGGGGCTAGTTTCCATCCCTCGACTTTTATTGGTCGGCCGGCACGCCCGTCTCCCAGCCCCGAGGGCCCAGACTGGGTTTTTTGTTGGTCCCCCGCCGCGCGTCTCGCCTTTCCTCTAGGCTCCGCCCACCTCTCCGCGACTCTCCCCGCCATTGGCCGCGGGCCAGGCAGGGGCCCCGCCCCCGGGCCCTGGCGGCGCCGCGATTGGTCGCCGCGGGAGGCCGGCGGGGCGCGCTCCGGGCGCGGGCGGAGAGCGGCGCGGACCGGCGGGCGGGCGGCTGCATGGCGCGCTGCGAGCGGCTGCGCGGCGCGGCCCTGCGCGACGTGCTGGGCCGGGCGCAGGGGGTCCTGTTCGACTGCGACGGGGTGCTGTGGAACGGCGATCGCACGGTGCCGGGTGCCCCCGAGCTGGTGGAGCGGCTGGCGCGGGCCGGCAAGGCGGCGCTGTTCGTGAGCAACAACAGCCGGCGCGCGCGGCCCGAGCTGGCGCTGCGCTTCGCGCGCCTGGGTTTCGGGGGGCTGCGCCCCGAGCAGCTCTTCAGCTCCGCGCTGTGCGCCGCGCGCCTGCTGCGCCAGCGCCTGCCGGGGCCCCCCGACGCGCCGGGCGCCGTGTTCGTGCTGGGCGGCGAGGGGCTGCGCGCGGAGCTGCGCGCCGCGGGGCTGCACCTGGCCGGGGACCCCGGGGACCCCCGCGCCGACCCCGCCGCCGCCGCCCCGCGCGTGCGCGCCGTGCTCGTGGGCTACGACGAGCACTTCTCCTTCGCCAAGCTGAGCCAGGCGTGCGCGCACCTGCGCGACCCCGACTGCCTGCTCGTGGCCACCGATCGCGACCCGTGGCACCCGCTCAGCGACGGCAGCCGGACCCCGGGTGAGCGCGGGGCCGGCGGGGAGAACGCGCGGGTGGGGGGGTGTCGAGGGCGGCGCCCGGGGGAGATGGCGAGGAAGGGACCGGCTGATGGCTGGACCCCCACCCGGCCAGAACCTCGGGCGCCACGGTCCCCCTCCGGGAGCAGCGCTCGCTGTCACCGCTTTGGGGGGGGAGGGGCCCGCTGTGGGGGTCCCCGTTTGACAGATGAGGGCCTCTGCGGCCCAGGGCAAAATGCAGAAGGGATCGGGGAACCCGGCCCTCAAGGACTATCTTGCTGCCAAGCCCGAAGGGGTGTCCGGCAGCGGGGGGCTTAGTACCCCCTGCCCCAGGAGGCTGTGTGGGCAGCGGATGGAGTTTGACCAGAGATCAAGTTCCAGCGCCAGGGCCGGGTCAACCCCTTCAGTTACGTAAGTTGCAAGTTCACGTCCGTCTCGGGTGTGAAACGGGGATCCCGAGCCCCCGGCACGTCTGTCCCAGGCGAAGGTTCCGTCCGTCGGGGGTCACCGAGCGCGCACGTGCTGCGGAGCCCCAGGAAGTTCCCCAGAGCCCACACTTCGCGGCTCTCCACATCTCTCTGGAGATGGGCGTCAGCGGCCCCTCTCTCAGGGAAACCGAGGCCGGGGGCCAGGAGAAAGCTGCGATCGGGGCTGAAGTCCATCCCAGCTCTGGACGATCCGCGCTGCGAGCCGGTTCGCTCGGGGCAGCCCCAGCTCCGCCCACACCCAGCACCTCCAGGTGTGGCTGAGAAAGAAGGGGCTGGAGCCACAGTCCGGCGGGGAGGGTGCACTTGCCTTGCATGTGGTGGACCCGGGTTTGATCCCCAGGACCCCATATGGTCCCCTGAGCCCGGTAGGAGTAATCCCCAAGCACCATCAGGTGTGATCCCCTAAGTCAACAACAACCAGAAGAACACAAAAGAAGGAAGAGAGGAAGAAAAGAAAGGGAGAGAGAAGGAAGGAAGGAGGGAAGGAAGGAAGGAAGGAAGGAAGGAAGGAAGAAAGGAAGGAAGGAAGGAAGGAAACAGGGAAACAGGGTCTGGAGGCGGCTCAGGAACTTCGACCTGCACTGGGTTTTTGGGAGGTTTTGGTTTTGTTTGGAGGTTCACACCCGGTGAAACACAAGGGCTTCCTCCTGGCTCTGTGCTCAGGGATCACTTCTAAGAAGCTCGGGAGACCACATGGGGTGCCAGGGATTGAGGTTGGCCACATGCAAGCCAAGTACCCTCCCCACTGTCCTATGGCTCCGGCCCCCTGAACTTGGTGCTTTTTTTTAAAAAAATGTTTATATTTTTGCTTCTTTGGGTCACACCCAGCAATGCTCAGAGGTTCCTCCTGGCTCTGCACTCAGGAATTACTTCTGCAGTGCTGGGGGACCCTATGGGATGCTGGGGATCGAACCCGGGTTGGCCATGTACAAGGCAAACGCCCTCCCCGCTGTGCTATCGCTCTGGCCCCAGAATTTGGTTCTTGGGGCCCTCCTGTTCCCTGTCCCTATTCATCCAAGGGACTCTTCCTGGCTTATTTTTACCCTCACACACTCACGAGGCCTGTGCTTGCCCGCCAAGCCGCAGTCCCCACGCCCCGGCTGTCAGCCGTGTCTCCAAGACCTGCAGCTGAGGCAGGAGTTGAGGCTCTGCAGGGTTTGACTCAGACAAGCGCAGTGGCAGAGGGGCTAACTTGGTAGGATTGTGGGGGGCAGGCTGCAGAAAAGGTCAGAACATTTGTCTCTGGTGGTCCCTGATCCAACAGAGGCATTGATTTCCCCATTCAGGGGACAGGGTGGTACTGATCAAACAGATGCAGTAGAATGATGGCTTGGTGCACAGGACCTAGAGTTCAAGAAATCTGGGAAGACGTCCTGGAGGAGGCATTTATTTATTTATTTGTTTTAGTTTGTTTGGGGGACCATGTGAGGTTGGGGATCAAACCCGGGCCTCCTGCGTGCAAAACTTGCGTTCAGCCCTTTCAGTCTTGGGCTTTTGTCCCTCAGTACCCCTGTGTCCGCACCTTCTGGCGCTGCTGGTCATTCAACCCCACAGCCAGTAGGGGGCAGCAGGAACCCAGCACAGCCACGAAGCCGTGGCTGCTTTGAAAAGGGCTGCAAAACATTCCTCAGGACTTGACAGATGGTGCGGGGGTTAAGGTGTTCGCCTTCCCCGCGGCGCATACGGATTTGATCCCCGGAACTGCATGGGGTCCCCCCTAGCCCCGCCAGGAATGATCCCTGAGCGCCACCAGGTGTGGTCCCAAACCAATAATAACATATTGTAGGTGAGTGGAGGAAGTGGGAGGATCCGTCTGGGGGGGGGGGGGCGTTCATAGCGATGGGGGAAGAAGCTGGCAGCTGAAACATCCTTTTTCTTGCTTTGGGCCACACCCAGCTGTGTTCAGGCCTTGCTTGCTCCTTCCTCTGCTCTGGGATCAATCCTGGCAGGGCTTGGGGACCCAATATAGTATCTGGGGCTGAGGATGGAACCCAGGTGGACGCCCTCCCTGCTGTCCTGTTGTTCTAGCCCCTCGCTAGGTGCGTGTCCAGCCCTTCCCATTCTTGAAAACAAAAAGTTGTTTTTTTTTTCTTTTTTTTTTTTTGCTTTTTGGGTCACTCCTGGCGATGCACAGGAGTTACTCCTGGTTCATGCACTCAGGAATTACTCCTGGAGGTGTTTGGGGGACCACATGGGATGCTGGGAATCGAACCTAGGTCGGCTGGGTGCAAGGCAAACGCCCTACCCGCTGTGCTATTGCTCCAGCCCCTTTTTTGGTATTTCTTAATGGATTTGGGAAACATATTCTCTTCCTATATTCTTTTGGGGGGTAAGGAGGGTGGGAGTTTGGGTCACACCGGCGATGCTCCGGGGTTATTCCTGGCTCTGCACTCAGGAATTGTTTCTGGCAGTGCTCAGGGGATCATCTGAGGATCGAACCCTGGTCTACCGCGTGCCAGGCAAACACCCTGCTAGCTGTCCCACTGCTTGGCCCTTTTTTTTTTTTTTTTTGATTTGGGTTCCACACCCGATGGGACTCAATATCTGCTCCGGGCTTGAGGGTCGGGGGCTGCGGGGAGCACAGGCCCCCAAAGAAGTGTCTCACCGGGGCTACCGGATGTGCTTTCCTGCCCAGTTCTGGAGTAAGCCAGAGGGTGAGTTCTTGGCTGAACACCCAGGGCTGCTGGACCAACACTTTCCTGGGTTTTGTTTCTGGGCCACACCCAGCCCTGCACAGGCCTGACTCCTGGCTCTGTGCTCAGGGATCACTCCTGGCGTGGCTCGGGGGACCGTATCGGGGAACCACAGATTGAATTGCATACAAGGCAAGTGCCCTCCCCACTTTACTATTTCTCTGGCCTAGACAGACCCTGAGTCCCCTTAAACCTTCCAGGCCTGGGGCCAGAGCGATAGTACAGCGGGGTAGGGCATTTGCCTTGCATGCGGCTGACCCAGGTTCAATCCCCGGCATCCCATATGATTCCCCAAGCACCGCCAGGAGTGATTCTTGAGTGCAGAGCCAGGAAGAACCCCTGAGCATCGCTGAGTATGACCCAAGAAAGAAAGAAAAAAAAAGTCTAGACCTTTATCTTAAGTACACAGCTGCCAAGGGGATGCAGTGATAGCAGAACGGGTAGGTCATTTGCCTTGCACGCAGCTGACCCGGGTTCGATTCCCAGCATCCCATATGGTCCACCAAGCACCGCCAGGGGTAATTCCTGAGTGCAGAGCCAGGAGTAACCCCTGTGCATCACCGAGTGTGACCCAAAAAGAAAAAGGAAAAAAAAGTACACAGCCACTATGAGGACGAGGGAACAGGCAACAAAAACATTCGGGGTCGGGGCTGGAGTGATAGCTTAGCGGGTAGGGCATTTGCCTTGCATGCGGTCGACCCGGGTTCAATTCCCAGCATCCCATAGGGTTCCCTGAGCACCGCCAGGGGTAATTCCTGAGTGCAGAGCCAGGAGTAACCCCTGTGCGTGTGACCCAAAAAGCAAAACAAACAAACAAAACCATTCGGGGTCAGTGGGGGTGTGTTTGACACATTTACTAACGGGGCAGCCCTGATTCAGGACTCCGGTAGCTACTTCCTGCCACCATCCAGAAATCGGATGGAAATCTGAAGGCCACGCTGGGAGGGTTGCCCAGACAGTTCTGTAGAAACTTCTTTTTAATTTTTTTGGAGGGGTTCACACCCAGAGATGCTCAGGGATGACTCCTGCTTCTGCACTTGGGAATCACTGCTGGCGGTGCTTGGGGGACCATACGGGGTGTAAGGGGATCGAACCGGTCTGTCACATGCGAGACCAGCACCCTCCTGACGGTTCTGTGTCCCTCAATTCTGAAGGATTTTCCTCCCCACCTGCGTAACCTGCAGAGCTGAGGAAAGCAAAGGATACATTTTGAGAACGTGTTGCCATTTGTTTTGACCTTAGTTAATTTGTTTGTAAATTGATGCCAGTGAGGATTTCCAGACTGGTCCCTAGAGACGTGCTCTAGCACCGAGGGCGGGGGAGATCCCTGCCTTGGCTAGGGACTGACCCCCCCTGGGGACCCTTCATGGCGAAGCAGCACACCCAGGACTGACCCCTGAGCAGCGCCAGGCGTGGTCCCAGAACCCGAGCTTGACTTCTGCTGTTGTCTTGGGGCCCCGGCCGGCAGTGCTCAGCCTTCCTCCTGTCTCAGCGCAGGGATCCGTCCTGGTGGGGCTCAGGGGCTCAGATGAGGTGCTGGGGATTGGAACCCGTGTCCACGTGTACAAGACGAGTGCCTGGGGCACTCTCCCGGTTCCAACCTGATGTTTTCTCATTGTTTTTACCTGTGTTCCCTCCCAGATGTTGGTCTTTTGTTTGTGGACCATAATTGGTGGTACTTGAGACTTACTCCACATACAGTGCTCAGAGACCCATCTGGTGCCAGCACTGGGGACTCGAGGCTCTGGCTCTGTGCCCCGATCTCCCTGGACCAATAGGTTTTTTTTTTGGGGGGGGGTCACACCCAACGATGCTCAGGGGTAATTCCTGGCTCTGCACTCAGGAATTACTCCTGGCGGTGCTTGGGGGACCATATGGGATGCCGGAGATCGAACTCGGGTCGGCCGCGTGCAAGGCAAACGCCCTCCCCTCTATGCTATCGCTCTGGCCCTGTTTTTTTTTTTAACGTAAACTTTATTTTTATTTTTTTGCTTTTTGGGTCACATCCGGCGATGCTCAGGGGTTACTCCTGGCTCATGCACTCAGGAATTACTCCTGGCGGTACTTGGGGGGCCATATGGGATGCCGGGGATCGAACCCAGGTCGGCCGCTTGCAAGGCAAACGCCCTCCCCGCTGTGCTATTGCTCCAGCCCCGCCATGTACCTATTCTTACAGACTTACAGGGATTGGGGTCGAGGCTGACGTCCCCAGAGGTCCGTCTGGGCTAACAGGCTCTAGTTGCTTTCAAGTGCAGTGAGGGTTGGGGTTGGAATAACAGTACAGCCGGGAGGGTGCTTGCCTTGCACGTAGCCAACCCAGGCCTGATCCCTGGCACCCATATGGGTTCCCTGTGCCCACCAGGAGTGACCCCTGGGGACTGAACCCAGGTCACCCTTGTGCAAGGCAAATGCCCTCCCTGCCGTACTATCGCTCCAGCCCCTAGTTTGGTTTGTTTAATTGACACAAGACTTCATCCTGTGTTGTGTGTTCAGTAAAATGTCCTTTAACTTTTTTTCTTCCCCTTTTTGGATCACACCCAGCCAGTGCTCGGGAATGACTTTTTTTTTTTTTTTTTTTTTTGCTTTTTGGGTCACACCCAGCGATGCTCAGGGGTTACTCCTGGCTCATGCGCTCAGGAATTGCTCCTGGCATGCTCGGGAGACCATATGGGATGCTGGGAATCGAACCTGTGTCGGCCATGTTGGCTGTGTGCAACGCCTTACCCGCTGTGCTATCACTCCAGCCCCGGGAATGACTCTTGGCAGTGTTCAGGGGACCCTACGGAATGCCGGGGATGGAACCTGGGTCGGCCACATAGAAGGCAGATGCCCTCCCTGCTGTGCTCTCGCTCCGGCCTTAACGGTGCCTTTGTGTAACTGCTAACTCACTACACTCCCGATGGTGAAACCTTCAGCATTCTGAGGCCCTGGGCCAGCTGCTCATTCTGGCTGGGCCGCGGCCCCTCCCGACGGCCACAGAGCACGCATTGTGTGGGGCACGATGGTCCCGAGCTGGGCCGCAGACCGTCCCCTGGAACAGCCCTTGTATTGTTCCACCCAGGCCGCATTCCACAAGTTTGCTGCCGGGAGCCAGTGGCCGTGGGCAGCTCTGCTGCGTCTGTGACTTTCGTTCGCCTGGTTGAGCTGGCCACCTCGGTCCGTTTCCTGGCAGAGGCTTGACTGGGTCAAAGGTGCCCGCTGTCCGGCGCACATTCTTTTTTTTTCTGGTTGGTTTCTGGGACATGTGCCACGATGCTCAGGGGTTACTCCTGGCGGTGCTCGGCGAACCCCATGGGATGTCAGGGAGTGAACCCCAGTTGGCCTTGTGCAAGGCAAGCGCCCTGCACACAGTACTATTGCTCCGGCCCCAGAAACCCACATTCTTTATTTTTTTTCTTTGCTTTTTGGGTCACCCCTGGTGATGCACAGGGGTTACTACTGACTCTGCACTCAGGAGTAACTCCTGGCAGTGCTCACGGGACATATGGGATGCTGGGAATCGAACTCGGGTCGGCCGCGTGCAAGGCAAACGCCCTACCCTCTGTGCTATCTCCCCAGCCCCAGAAACCCACATTCTTGCAGCGATCAGCATGACTCTGAGGATTTCTCTGAGCCCAGAGCACACCCTGTCCAAGGACGTGGGCAAGACTGAGGTCCACCCCCAGGGTCTGGAGCGATAGGACAGCAGGGAAGGCGTTTGTCTTTCATACGACTGACCCGGGTTCAATCCTCTGCATCCTATAGGGTCCCCCAAGCATTGCAAGGAGAGATTCCTGAATGGAGAGCCAGCAGTCAGCCCTGAGTATTGCTGGGCGTGACCCAAAAAGAAAAAAGAAAAAAAGAAAAAGACTGAGCTGAGCCCCCCTTTTCCAACCAGTCCCAGGGAACAGAGAGGCTCTGTGGTCTGTCTGGTGACACACAGCCAGGGGCTCACTCCAGTTCCCAGTGAGACGAACCCCATCAGCACCCCCATATTAGAGATTAAAAGACTGAGGCCCAGAGGGGAGTGGTCACCTGACCACGAAAGGTGGACATAGGACATGGACATAGTCTCTGTTGTCCCCCATACGGAGACGCAGCCATGGTCTGGAACCCAATTCAGGGTCTCATTCCCCCCAAGCCCTGCCGCCCTCCTGGAACCCCGACGTCCCCCTGCCCAGCTGCCCACCGTGACCACTTGTCCATCTCCTGCAGGCACGGGGAGCCTGGCTGCGGCCGTGGAGACGGCGTCAGGCCGGGAGGCCGTGGTGGTGGGCAAGCCCAGCCCCTACATGTTTGAGTGCATCACGGAGCACTTCAGCGTGGACCCCGCCCGCACGCTCATGGTGGGCGACCGCCTGGAGACCGACGTTCTCTTCGGCCACCGCTGCGGCCTGACCACCGTGCTCACGCTCACCGGCGTCTCCCGCCTGGACGAGGCCCAGGCGTACCTGGCAGCCGGCCAGCACGACCTGGTGCCCCATTACTACGTGGAGAGCATCGCAGACTTGATAGAGGGACTGGAGGACTGAGCCCCCCGCCCCACCCCAGAGAGGAAGGCTCTGGGCCGAGAACCCCATGAGGCACCCCCAGACCTCTTCTGCCCCCAGGGTTGGTCTTAGGGCCTCCCCCGAGCAGTGGCCGGAAGTGATCCCCTCCAAATCCCCAACAGCTGACCTTGGCCTGACCCAGCCAGGTGGCCTCAGTTCCAGCCCCATCCCCGTGTCCTCCTCTCCCGTGAGGTCTGGACCCTCATGCCAGCTGGGGGGGTGGGGGGGATTCCTCCAGCTCTGCCACAGCCCCCTGTCCCTGCCCCCACTTGGCCTCACCCTAAGCTTTGCCACCTCCCCAGGTCCTGGCCTTGGGCTCCTGCGGCCCAATCAGAGGTCCTGGTCTCCCGGAATCAATCCTGACTGTCTGAGGCCGCCTGGACCCATCAGAACTCTGAGCCGTAATGACCTTACCTTGTCCCAGAACAGCCGATAATGGCGATGCGTTGATTATCCTGGGTGATGTTGGGTGGAACAATTCCGAAGGACAGCGGCCTCTGACAGTCTGGACTGGATGGGACCAGCCAGGGGTGCAGACGTCTGTCCGTAAATCAAGGTCCAGTGTGGACGGCGCCCTCACACTCACGCAGACTGGGGGCCGGCGGGGGCTCTGGGGGGCCTGACCGTGAGCTGCTCGTCCTGCTCGTGGCCCTGCTCCAGGATTGCCTGTGCCACAGCTCGAGGGGGGGCATTGGACCCCTCCACTGTCAGTGTTTCCCGTGCCCCCTCTCCCCGGGCCCATCCCCGCTATTTATTATCATGTGCCACCGTCGGGGGTGTGGGGCCGGCCTTCCCCGCCGCCCCCGCCCCTGCTGTGCCCACGGACTTAATAAAGTGCGTGCTGAGTGTCACTGTGGGCTTCTGGCTGTGGCCCGGGGAGGTGAGTGGACCTCCACCTGGGTCTGCTCTTCGGGGAAACTAGCCCAGCAGGAGGTGGGTGTTCTCTGTTCCAGAATATTCTGTGGGGGTGGGAGTGTTGCTGAGGAACTTTGGGTCACACTCAGCAATACTCAGGCTACTACTGGGGCTTCTCGGGGGACCTTGTGGTGCCAGGGGCGGAACAGGGGGTCGACTGACACCCTTTCTATGAGCGGTCCAGCTTCGACTCTGCTGAGAATGCGTGCACCGTGCCCCCTTGACTTCACAGACATATTATCGAGTTTATTCTTAGCCCTCTTTACAACGAGGGACTGAGGTCAGAAGTATCACTCAGGGGCCGGAGAGATAACACAGCAGGTATTTCCTTGCCTTGCACGCGGCCGACCCATGTTTGATTCCTGGCATCCCATGTGGTCGCCTTGTGCACTTCCTGGAGTAATTCCCGAGTGCAGAGCCGGGAGCCCTGAACAAACTGGGTGTAGTCCCAACACCCCCCCAAAAGAAGTGAATCCAAGCGTCACACCCAAATGACTCCAGCAAGCTGGGCACTTTCTGTAGAGATGAAAGGGCGGCGTGGAGGACGGGGGCACACTGCGAACCCCCTGGCGCCTGGGCTGACTGCTGAATGTCAGGCCTGTCGCTAGAGCTTGTGCGAGCCTCTCGCCAAGCCTCCAGTGCCGCGTTCATCTGCAGCGAGCCACCTTCCCACTTTGCATTTTGTGCTGCCCGAGAACGAGCGCGAAGGGCCAGCGTGAAGCTTTGCATGCTGGCGCCGCACAGTCCCCCACACTGCCAGAGGTACTGAGCACTCCGAAGTACTGTCCTAAAACAAGGGAAAAACTGCAAGGTGAGACGAGACCCCGGGAAAACAGCGGGAGGGACTCCTCCTGGGAGGAGGGGGGCATGACGAGCCGGAGTGCTGCCCCATGAGGTAGCCCAGGGCCCCCAGATGTGCCACACTCAGCAGTGCCCTGAGCCACTTCCCAGGCTCCTGGGTGCCCCTCCCAGCCCCTATCTCCCAGGGCAGATTTTCATTGGTTTAGTCCGGTCACGTGTTTGTTGTGGAAGGGGGCGGGAAACAGCCAGAGAATGGAGCATGGCTATTGGCCTGCATGGGTCACGTGTGCCCTGTGGGGCGGGGCTTGACTCCCAGGTTCCTTTCTGGACCATCTTCCTTGCTGAAAGTCGAGATTGCCTCAAAAGGACACAGGTGGCACACGTGTCACTGAAAACCAGGGTGATGGGTGTACCCTTGCTTTGTGGCGCACAGACGACGACAACTGGGAGATTTGGAAAATATTGGGCTCCCTCCGAAAGAAGGACTTGCTGGAGGAATTCCCTCTCTGGGTGTGGGAACTTTTGCAGCCATGCTGTGATCTTGAGGCATCATCCAGGGTCTTTTTGTTTTTTCCTTTTTGGGTCACACCCGACGATGCACAGGGGCTACTCCTGGCTTTGCGCTCAGGAATTACCCCTGGCAGTGCTCGGGGGACCATATGGGATGCTGGGAATCGAACCCAGGTCGGCTGCGTGCAAGGCAAACGCCCTACCCGCTGTGCTATCACTCCAGCCCTCATCATCCAGGGTCTTTATTTCGAGACTCTGGTTTGGGTGGCAGAGCAGAAAAAAAATGAGGTGAGTTAAAACATGGGTTGAGAAGAGCTTCAATCCCAAAAAGTACAATGGCACAATGAAGAAAAATCCAGAAAAAACCCCCAAGCACTACCCAGTATGGCCCCCAAGTCTCCCCACAACTTCCCCCCCTCCAAAAAAAAAAAAAAACCTTGGGCTGGAGTGATAGCACAGCGGGGAGGGTGCTTGCCTTGCACGTGGCCGACCCGGGTTCGATTCCCAGCATCCCATATGGTCCCCCGAGCACTGCCAGGAGTAATTCCTGAGTGCAGAGCCAGGAGTAACCCCTGAGCATCACTGGGTGTGACCCGAAAAGAAAAAAATAACGCTTTCCAATAGACCCTATTTATTTTTCCTTTGGGCGGTGAGGGCACACCTACCTGTGCTCAGATCTGAGTCCAAGATCATTCCTGACAGGCTTGGGGATCTGAGGGATCCAAGGGTACAGGGGTACAGGATTTGAACCCGGTTCAGCTGCATACAAGGCAAAAGCCTTCCCTCCTGTATTATATCTCCAGTCCTGAGGATCGTGGTTTTGCACACAAACTCCCCAGATGCACAGATTTTGACTTTTGATCAAACTGGGTTCCCACATGCAAATCATGTGCTTTGACCCTTTGCTCTTTTTGTTTGTTTGTTCTTTGGGGTCACACCCAGCGATGCTCAGGAGTTTCTCCTGGCTCTGCACTCAAGAATCACTCCTGGGGCTGGAGCGATAGCACAGCGGGTAGGGTGTTTGCCTTGCCACAGCCGACCAGGGTTCGATTCCCAGCATCCCACAGGGTCCCCGAGCACCTCCAGGAGTGACTCCTGAATTTATGAGCCAGGAGGAACCCCTGAGCATCACTGAATGTGACCCAAAAAGCAAAAAAAAAAAAAAAAAGAAAAAGAAAATCATTCCTGGTGGTGCTGGGGTGGGGGTTAGGCATATGGGATGCCGGGAATCGATCCCAGATAGGTCAAGTACAAGGATGTCCTCCCTGCTGTACCGGCCCCTGACCCTTGGCTCCTGAGCAGCACCTGAGGCTGGCTGTGCCGCTATCTCTGCAGACATCAGTGAAATCTGATCCCACTCTTACCTCAAGGTCCTTACCTGCTGCTCTCCTGGTTCCATTTTAGCTGTCTCAGATAATAATCAAAGCACTGGACATTTTGCTTTCTTGGCATTTCCTTATCGGGTCACTAGAGCTGTGACTCCCTCTGACTTCTGCCCGGGACCAGTTGGCGCAGCTTCTGTTCCTGACTGGGAGGTGTGTGTGTGTGTGGGGGGAACCACGGGGCCACCCAAGAATCGCTGCTTCCTCATTCCTGGCCTCTCATCCTTTCTCTTCCCAAACCACAGACTCCGGGAACCCAGGCCCATTCTGAACTCAACTAGAAAGAAAAATTTAGGGGCGGGGGAGCAGAGAGAGAGCACAGTGGATTGGATGTGGCGTGAGCACAAGGCAGCTGGAATCGGATCCCAGGCAGCATAGAGGGTCTCCCACAGAGCGCTGAGTAAGAACTGAGGAGGCAGGAGCCGCTCTGCACTGTGGAAAAGAAAAAGAAGAAAAGGGTCCGAGAGCGGGGAGGGCGTTTGCCTTGCACGCGGCTGACTGGGGTTCGATCCCCAGCATCCTCTAGGGTCCCCCGAGCACCACCAGGAGGAATTCCAGTAATTCCTGAGACTCACTCTGAGTGCAGAGTCAGGAGTCACCCCTGAGCAACGCTGGGTGTGACCCAAAAAGCAAAAAAAAAAAAGGGTCAGATGTATAGTAGGGCCAACCCGGGTTCCATCCCTATGGTCACCAGGAGTGACGAGCAAGGCCTGAATACAGCCAGATTTGACCCCAAAACCAAAAAAAAAAAAAAAAAATTTAAAATTATAAAATTTGAATGATAACTAATCTTTTTTTTTTCTTCTGGGTACACTCCTGACCTCTGAGTTATCTCTCCTGCCCTCCCCCCCAAGACTGGCTAGGAAGGGGGTCATGGGGTGAGGCACCCTTCAGAGCTCAGGATCCCTGGAGGGTAGGAACCAGAATGGGCGTGGTCACGCGTGGGCGGGTGGTCAGCGCTAACTGGCCGCTGTCCCCTGGGGTTGGAGGAGCTGAGCTCACCACAGAGGCTCTTGGAAACCTTTCAAGGTCCAGCCCGCAGGAAGAAGGAATTCCAGAGAATTCCCTGCCTCTGCCTCAGGGATGGAGGAGAGGAGGAGGAGGGGCTGAGAACAGTGGGGGGGGGGGGTGGCCTTGGCCTTGGGGGGGTGCGTAGAGTGGACTTTGAGCCCATCACATACGGAATCCTCCAGCCAGCCTGGGAATGGAAACTTTCCAGGCCTCAAAGGGGATGGGGACTGAGGGTTCCTGAGCAAATCCCAGCCAGGCAGCCCCAAAACGGGGACTTCCCTTTCTGTCCCGGGGCTAATGGCCAAAGCAGATGTGTGTGTGTGGGGGGGGATGGGCAAGGGAAGTGGGGGGGAGGAGAGGAAATACTGATGTCCAGAATGCAAGCCTTGAGCAGCGCCACAGAGAGTGGCCCTCAAGTGGGCACGGGGGACTCGAAGCAGGGGACACTTGTCCCTGTCTCCCAATTCAGCCCCTCCATCATGTTCCTGTTTGAGGGACACTGGGCAGTCTCCCTCCCGCCCCTGCCTGGCTACGAGAGAGACTGGACCGGGGGACCCCAGGGGTGTAGGTCCCCAGAGGTAACTGAGCCAAAAGGAAAGCCAACACTCTGCAAGGGGGCTGGAGCGATAGCACAGCGGGGAGGGCGTTGGCCTTGCACGCGGCCAGCCCGTGTTCGATGCCCAGCATCCCGTAGGGTCCCAGGAGTAATTCTTGAGTGAAGAGCCAGGAGGAACCCCTGAGCATCGCCGGGTGTGACCCAAAAAAGAAAAAAAAACACAAAAAAAAAACCTCTGCAGGGAGAGAGAGAGAGGAAGAGAGAGAACTGCTGAGTTTGCAATAAACTCTCTTCCTCTCCTGCAAGAGACCCCAAGCCCCCTTCTCCCGCCTCCAGAAAGGAAGACAGTGGCAAGCAGGAACAGGGGATATTCAGGTTGCCTTGGGAAACGCAAAGTTGGGTCCATCTAGAACCCCAAAGGGGCCGTCCTGGTGTTTGCTGGCCCATGCCCTGCCCTGGGCGAGCTCAATCTGCAGCAGACAAACCCCACCCCCCTCACCCAGCACACTAGGTCTTCCAGGATGGGGGAGATGCCCCCACAAAAGGCAGTAACCGGAAGCCCAGGGCAGTGGGCCGGGGCTGAGCTGGGGTTACCTCAGGTTGCAGCCTTCAGGGGGCTCTAACACTCCCCTCCTGACACCTCATGCTCCAAGAGCAGGCCAGAGGGGTGAGGGGTCAGGAGGGGGGAAGCCCAGGAGGAAAGGAAGCGAGTGGGGCCCCACCCGACTGCTGAGGTTTGGGAGAGGGAAACGTGAAGTGGTTGCGGCTGTTTGGAGGAGGCGGGGCCGCTCTCCTCCGGGCCTGGAGGCCCCATGACACCCCAGTGTTATTTCGGGGGGCAGAGGGCTTGTGAAGGAAGGGGGTCTGTGGCATGGAAATCCCTTCGCGGGGCGCCAGCCATGGAGGGGGGTCAGGGATGGGGAGTGGGGAGGAAGTCGCGGGAAAGTCCCCGCTCTGGTCCAGGCTTTGCCCAGAGCTGCTCCCAGCCCCGCCCCGCCTTCTCTCTGCCCCTTTTCTGGATGGAAAGTGAAAGTTTCTGCAGACCGACCCCGCCCTCCCTGGAACCTGTGGGGATGGGAGGTAGCACCCTCAGAGGCCCTTAGAATCCCGGGCTGGCAGGGTCCCCTCACCCAGGCGGCCCTGACCCCTGCCTTGGGCCTCGCTGTTCCCCAGACACTCTGAGCCAGCGCCCCTGCTGGAACGCGGGTCCCGCTCCTCTGTCCATCTGTCTGAGCTGGACCTCCCTTACCGAGCAGGGAGGCCCCAGCCCCAGTGAGGAGAGCACGGTCGCACCCACTTTAACCCCATCCGGTCCAGATGCCACCTCAACAGAAGCCACTGGCCAACAGGGACGAGGAGGCACTCAGCTCTGCCTGCCAGCAAACCCCTCAACTCCCGGCCAGCAAAGGGTCAGGCGCCCAGCACCCTAAGACTAAGTGCAGGACGAAAGCAAACACTCGTGAGCAGAGGCCTGAGCCCCGGGCAGCGGCTGGCAGCCTCAGGCCTGGCACCGGGCCCAGCCTTTCTGCAGTGAGAAGCTGTGGGCCCAGCAATCCCTGCTTCCGGGGGCGACCTGGGTGGGGCCCAGGCCTACCGCCTGGGGTGCTGGTCCTCTGCTGAGCCCCGCAAGCCGTGACCCCTGCCAGGAAGCAGCCTCAAGGGACCCCAGCCCAGTTCCCCTGGCTGGGGTGTGGTGGGGTGAGGGACATCCCAGCAACCCACTTCCACAGCCTGGGAGCCCCCACCCCCCGCCCCTTTCCTGCCAACTCTGGACTAGAACTCATCCTCAAACTATTTTCCATTGGCTTCCCCCAAATCCCTGCCACGGCACTGGTTTTTTTTTAGGAGGCAGGGGGGGTTGGGGAAGGGATGGAGTAAAAATGGGAGGCGGCACCTAGACCCTGAAGGAGGGGCTTATAAGGCCGGGAGGGGGATCGGCCATTCTGATTGGCTGCCCCCGCTCCAGAACTGGCTTCAAAATCCCCTTGGCCCCGCCCCCAGCGGCCCCCATCCCCATCCCGCCTTCCCATTGGCTGAGCCTCCAGGGGGCGGGACCCACCGGTTGGGTCCACTTTAAAGGGTGGGAGCGGTCTGGCCCCGGTTCCCGGGTGGAGTCCTCCTCAGCTAGTTGGTGCCGACAGCTCCTCGTGTCATCCTCCTGCGCTCAATCATGGCTTGTGTGAGTGTGGGGACCCCCCCCCCCACGAACTCCCCCCAGGCTCAGGGAGGGCGCTGGGGCAGGAATCAGGGAAACCCTGGGGCTCTGAGTTCCAGTTCTCCAAGCGTCGCCTGGAGCAAGTGTCATCTCTTTTCTGGGGTCTCTTTTCTGAGCCTCTGTCTGTAAAATGGGGGTGGGCGCCGTGATCCCCACCTCGGGGCCTTTTGGGGGCTTACCGAGTTTCTGGATGGCCCCAGGTCCTGACTGCACCAGGACCAGGGTTCCCTGGGCCAGGGTCTGACATTCTGCAGCTCTGGAGAAAGGGAGTAGGAAGGGTGTGTTCGGCCGGGCAGCTGGGTGCCCACTGCTATGGCCTGGGCCGATCCTTTCCCCCTCCTCCACCCAGAGCCTCCGGCCCGGCCCGGCTGTCCTCTCCCGGCAGCTGTCCCCAGTCACCGGCCGAGCCACCCTCTGCTCCAGAGAACTCTGAACAGTTGCCAGGATCTGCCTGCAGGCCTGGGGGGTGAGCAGGTGGGGACCGGCTCACTGGCTGGTCAGGGGGCACTGGGGGATTCCCCACCCCCACATGCTGGGGGTAGAGTGCCAGGGGGAGGCAAGAGTTTTCCCGAGACCCCAGGGGAAAGGATTCGAAGTTTCTGGCAGGAGGACCCAGTCACACAGTTAACCCCGCGGCCTTCTGGGTTCTGTTAACCCTGAGAGGGCCGGGCTGCTCTCAGTTCTGTGCTGGGGTCCTGTGGGGGTGTCCGCTGCAGGCCCTGCCCCAAAGCCCGCCCTGGCAGGGGTGGTGGCCCCGGGCCAGAGCCCCAGGCTGCTTTTTCTCAGCCCCCGAGCTCAGCGGCCGGCTCCTTGCCCTTTCTCTCCCCTTCCAGGGCTGTCACCAGCACTGAGCCTGCCTCTCCCACATGAGGCCGTGGGGGCCACACCCCACGTCCTAGGATGCTCAGCACCCCCAGACCCACCCACGCTGTCCACCCAAAACTTTTATACCCGGAGAAGACGTCCCCAAACCTGACACCCCCCCACATACCTGGTTGGGGCAGGAACCCGGCCGGTTGTAGGAACTGGCTGGGACCACGCAGAGAGAGAGGCTGGAACTCGGCCCCAGCCTCCTCGGGTGCGGGGCTCTGGATGGAGGGTCCGGGATGAGACCCCGCCCCTTGACCGCTACTCCCGACCGTCACAGTGCCTCCTCTATCCCGCAGGGCCTGGTCGCCAGCAACCTGAACCTCAAACCTGGGGAGTGCCTTCGAGTGCGGGGTGAGGTGTCCCCGGACGCCAAGAGGTGAGGGGGGGTGAGGGCCGGGGCGTGGTCGGCCGGGGCGTGGTCAGCGGGAGGCCCCGCTCCCCCTGACGGCGGGGAGGGGGTTAACGCGCCCGCAGCTGCGGCGTGCTCGTGCTCGGGGGTGAGTCACTTCCTCCGCGGGGCCCTGGACGCCCCCACCATTGTCGCCCCCTCCCCTCCCTGGCTCTTAAACGAAACCAGCTGCGGACACGTCATCGACCTGGGCTGGCCACGCCCACTCCCGCCCGCGGGCGGGGCCGGGCCGGAGGCGCCCCCCAACCCGCCCTGGGCCGGCCCCCAGGGTCTTATGCTCTTCTCTGGCTCCACCTGCATTCACTGCCCCCGACCTTGTTTCTTGTCCCCCAGGTGACCCCAGGCCCAGCCTCGTAGCCGCGGGCCGCACCTGGAGCCGCGGCTGTGCCGTTAGCGCAGAGGGTCAGCGGCCGGGGTGATGTCCCGCGGCCCATATAAAGAGCCCCGCCCTGTTCCTTTCATCCTCCCAAACCCTCAAGGGGTCACGGGGCTTCAGCGTTGCTCGGCGGAAATATTATCATGATTAGTTTTTGTTCACTTGCGAGAGGGGTGGGACTTGCCCTCCCAGAGGTCATCTGGAGCGAGTCTTGTTATTTGGGGGAGGGGGCCCCACACCCGGCGGTGCTCAGGGGTTACACCTGGCTCTGCACTCAGGAATTAATTCCTGGTGGGATTCCAGGGACCATATGGGTTACCCGGGTGCGTGCAAGGCTAGCGCCCGACCCGCTGTGCTGCCTCTCTGGCCCCCTGGAGCGAGGTTTTTTCTTTTTGTTTGTTTCCCCTGCTGCTGTGGGTGGCACCCAGGACCTCACACATGTGACGCAGATGCTCTGCCGCCAGCCACAGGTCCCCTGGAGGGGTCTTTGTTAGGGGGCAGGGGGTGTAGGGTCACCTCGTGTGATGCTCAGGGGCTATTCCGTGCTCAGGAGTGCCCCCTGGCGGTGCTGGGGGAACCGAATGTCTGAGCAGCTGGCGCACGGTCAAACCCTACCTAACACCCGGTACTACCTCCTTCCTCGGCCCCTGGAGGCAGTCTTGACCTTGACCAAAGGGGCTGAGACTCAAAGTCTGCGGGGCTCTTGGCACCGGGAGAGCCTCCCGACGCTCTCCTCGTTCCGCTTCCTTCCTTCCTCTCATTGTGCAGGTGGGGAGATAGACCCAGAGCGGGGCGGCAAAGTGTGCCCAGGGCCTTGGAATCCAGGCGCTTTGCCCTGCGGCTCCGCAGCTCTTTGGGTGGGGCTCGGGGCGGAATAGACCCTCTGCCGCAGGCGGGGAGGTGCCGGTCCAGAGAGACACCCCCCACTCCACCCCTTGCTCCCCAGCTTCGTGCTGAACCTGGGCAAAGACAGCGACAACCTGTGCCTGCACTTCAACCCTCGCTTCGACGCTCACGGCGATGCCAACACCATCGTGTGCAACAGCAAGGACGGCGGGGCGTGGGGGGCCGAGCAGCGCGAACCCGCCTTCCCCTTCCAGCCTGGAAGTGTCGTGGAGGTGGGCGTGGCGGACCGAGGGGGCGTGGCTGAGGGCTGGCAGAAAGGCGGGGCTTGCACTGTGGGGTTGACCTAGGGGCGGGGCTTGCATGTTTGGGGCGGGGCTGTGATCAAGGGGGCGTGGCTGAGGGCTGGCAGAAGGGCGGGGCTTGCACTGTAGGGTTGACCTAGGGGCGGGGCTTGCATGTTTGGGGCGGGGCTGTGATCAAGGGGGCGGGACTGAGGGCTGACAGAAGGGCGGGGCTCGCAGATTTGGGGCGGGGCTGAGGTTTGGAGGCGGGGTCTAGGGCGGGGCTTGTGGGGCTGGGACCAGAGGGTGGGGCTGACCGAGGGGCGGGGCTGGGAATCTGCGTCCACACACTTAGGTCCCTTGGTCCCATCCCTCTTTGTGACCCCTAGTGAGGATCATTCACGCCCACCTTCAGCCACCTCCCCAGGGGGGTGGGGTTCTTTCGGGGGTCCAACTGAAGCCCTTGTTGGGAGTGAGGTTCCCTTTGCGGGCCGCACGACCCTCACTGCCTGCCGCCCCGCCCCCCAGGTGTGCATTGCCTTCGACACCGCCGACCTGACCATCACGCTCCCGGATGGGTACACATTCAAGTTCCCCAACCGCCTCAACCTGGAGGCCATCAGCTACATGGCCGCCGACGGGGACTTCAAGATCAAGTGCATGGCCTTTGAGTGAACCCGGCCAGCCCGTAGCCCCCAATAAAGGCAGCTGCCTCTGCTCCCCCTGAACCAAGCCTCCTGTGTGCATGGATGGGGCCACGTTCCGCCTGATCCCCTGGGTCCTGTCCCTTGAGCCCCACATTTCTCACCCCCCATACCAGTAGACTGGGGTGCATCTATTTATTTACTTTTGGCTTTTTGGGTCACACCTGGAGGCGCTAAGGAGTTACCCGTGGCTCTGCACTCCGGAATGACAGCGGTGCTTGGGGGACTATATGGGATGCTGGGAATGGAACCCGGTCAGCCGCCTGCCAGGCAGACCCTCTCTGCTGTACTATCTCTCTGGCCCTGAGTTAGGGGGTTCAATGACTACATGAGACCCTCTGACAGCCCCTGGGATTGGCAGCACGTACCAGTACTTAGAGATGTCGGGGAGGGGAGCTCCAGGGCTGGAACCCGGGCAGCCCTCATGCCATGGCAACTGGTCCCCACGGAGAGATCGAGGAAGAGTCACCCTCACTTATTTTTTTCCTGAGCCAGAAGGAAGCTCTGCACCAACACTGCTTCTCAGCGCCCCAATTCCTGCATTTGCATGGGGGGGTGGGAGAGTGGGAAGGAAGGGGGTGACAAGTGACAGTGGGTGGCATCAGAGGAGCCCTGTGAAGAGGCCAAGGTCAGGGCCAGGCACTAGCCACCACCCAGCGACTTCGGGTCCATCTGGCACTGTGCCTTGGCCCCAAACTAAAGCAAACGGAGGGATGCTTTAACTCCCTGACCTGTGCCAGCTAATTGAGTTTGGTGGACACCCTCGCTCTGTGCACCCAAGCCAAATACCCGCTTCTCAAGTGATGCAGGGTGCCTGGGCGGGACCCTTCACCCCCACACTGGGGTGGAGGATGAGGGCGATGTCCTTGGCCAGTCCATGCGGAAGGACTGGGGCAGGGGTGGGGGGAGCCGTGCGAGAACCCAGAATGATGGCAGGGCTCCATGGCAGAGGGCACACGGTGCACGCAGGGGGCAACCTCATGGTCCCTGCCCTGCCCCCAAAGCGGCTCTAGAATAAAGGCAGAAACACAAGCCCAGAGGCCACGCCCCTTCCCGAGCACGAGGGGGCGGGGACTCAGCCGGCCCCGCCCAAGGCTCCTCCCCCAAGGACCTGCCGGGCGTTTGCCACTTGCTGGGGCAAAGGGAGGGCAATGCCCAGGGAGTCTCCTCGCCCGCCCGAGTGGCTGCCAGCCAGCTGCGGTGACAGCGCTTTCTCCTGTGCCTTCTGCCTCCCCACCCCCAATCACAGTCATTCCCAGGGTCCCCTCAGACCAAGAATGTTCTAAAGGGATGCAAATCAGAACCTCACCCCCCCCCCCCCCGCCCCAAACCCCAGGGCACGTCTCCAAGTATGGGGGGCGCTTAGCCAAGCTCCAGGGAGCACCAGCCTGATGATGGGGGGGGCTTCCCACCCCGTCGGAGGGTCTTCCTCCATAAAATGGGTTCGCGGTAGGGGCTTAGACCCTTTTTTTTTTTTTTTGGTTTTTGGGTCACACCCGGCGATGCACAGGGGTGACTCCTGGCTCATGCACTCAGGAATTACTCCTTGGTGGTGCTCGGGGGACCCTATGGGATGCTGGGAATCGAACCCGGGTCGGCCGCGTGCAAGGCAAACGCCCTACTCGCTGTGCTATTGATCCAGCCCCGGGCTCGGACAACTTTGAGGCAGATGGTTTCCCTGTCAGTGCGCCCCGAGAACGGTTCTTCTAAGTCAGCGCAGGGTAGTGGGTTACGCCCTGAGCTTACCCGCTCTCCAGTCGCACGCGGGAAATAGCTTTAAAGAGCGCGCCCTCTGCTGGCCAGGAGCGGGAGTGCCCTTCCTCGATTGCCTTCCTCTTCCAATCCTTCTCCCCACACACAGGTTAAACAGCCTCAATTCTCCACTCTGACCCGGAGGAAAGCTCTGGAGGCAGAGAGACTGGGTGAGGAGGAAAGAAACTGGTCTCAGCGCCAGGGCGGCCCCTGTTCAAACCTCAGCTCCCTCACTGTGTGCGCTAGCATCAGTTCCCCAACCTCTCTGAGCCTTTTCTCCTCCATGAAACAGCACGCGGGGCTGGAGCAATAGCACAGCAGGTAGGGCATTGGCCTTGCACGCGGCTGACCCGGGTTCGATTCCCAGCATCCCATATGGTCCCCTGAGCACCGCCATGGGTAATTCCTGAGTGCAGAGCCAGGAGTAAACCCTGTGCATTGCCGGGTGTGACCTAAAAAAAAAAACAAAAACAAAAACATGAAACAGCACGCAGGCCAGTTGTAAGGAGAGGCTGCTGTAAGCATGAGCCCGCTCTGAGCAATGCAGGGTGCCTGTCCCACAGTACGGGCTCTGGAAATTCTGGCCCCAGCCCCACGACCCTATGGAAGAAGAACCAAGAAATGAAGAAGTGCTTGGTGGAGACCCTGTGTGTAACCTCCAGCCTCAGCACGTGAGCTTTTTTGTTGCTGTTGATTTTTTTGGGTCGCACCCTGTGATACTCAGGGGTTCCTCCTGGCTCTGCACTCAGGAATGACTCCTGGCAGTGCTTGGGGCAGCATATGGGATGCCGGGAATGAAACCCAGGTTGGGTGTGTGCAAGGCAAACATCCTTCCTGCTGGACTATCTCTCTGGCCCACACCTGACCTTTTTGTCCGTGTGATCTTGGACAAGTGATTGTATCTCTCTGAGTTCCGGTAAGATGTGACTCAGACCTTCAAGGCAAGGAGAATCATCTGGAGAGCAGAATAAATACCAACAACTCTTCATTATTCTTTCTGCACAACTTAACCTTCTCTTCTCTCTCTCTCTCCATCCCTCTCTCTGTTTATGGACCACACCTGGTAGTGCTCAGGGGCTATTCCTGACTGTGCTCATGAGTAACCCTTGGAGATCATATGTGGTGCTGGGTTAAGACCAAGCTTGGCTGCATGCAAGGAAACCATCTGATTTCCTGTGCTATCTCTCTGGCCCTTGTCATCCTGACCATTAAGACATGTGCCACCGGTGCTGGAGCGATTATACAGCGGGGAGGGCGTTTGCCTTGTGCGCGGCCGACCCAGGTTTGGTCCCCGGCATCCCATAGGGTCCCCCAAGCACCACCAGGAGTGATTCCTGAGTGCAGAGCCAGGAGGAGCCCCTGAACATCGCTGGGTATTGTGACCCTCCCCCCAAAAAAAGACATGTGCTACCACAAAAGCTCAGCCCCCAGCAAGCACTCTGACTAAGTATTTCAGCACCCAAAGCAAGGATGTGTGAGCATCTCAACAACACCATCAACACAGGGAGGGTGATGACAAGAGGAAGTGCCGGGTCAGAGAGATAACCCAGGAAGTAAGCACTTGCCTCACATGCAGCCAACCCGGGTTCGAACCTTGGCACTGCATATGGCTCCCCAAGTACCACCAGGAGTATTCATGTATTCAGCCATGAGTAAGTCCTGGGTGCTGCTGAGTGTGGCCCAAATTTTCTCTGCCTGGACCCCTCTCCCCCCCCAAAAAAAAAGAACATGCCGTCTAGATCCGTTCCTGGCACTTAGTACCTACTCAATAAACTTCACTGTATTGTTTGGGTGTTTGGGTCACACTTAGCTGTGCTTGAAGATCACTCCTGGAAGCCCACCTTATGCAGTGCCAGGGATCAAACTGGAGCCGGACCCCTGCAAGGCAAGTTCCTAACACCTGTACTATCTCCCCAGCCCCAGAGTTACATTTTCTTCCTTAGGGGTGCAAACCAGAGAGCATCATAAAGATGCATGAGGACAGAGATAGCCGGAAGGGCTAGCACACCCACTTAGCATGCAGGATGGACACCTCGTGGCAAGCACTGGGTTCCTCCCTGCACCATAGGGTTCCCTAGAACTTGTGGAAAAGACTCCCAAATGCAGAGCTGGAGGTAGTGACTAAGCATCACTGGGCATGACCCCCGTATGTCCAAGAGGAGAAAAAAAGAACTATAAGCAGTGCTAGAGAGATAGTACAGATGGTAGGGTGCTTGCGATCCTGGTTCAATCCCGGGCATCCACTAGGGTCCCCCAAGCATCGCTAGAAATAGTTCCTGAGCACAGAGCTAGAAGTAACCCCTGAGCTTTGCTGGCTGTGGCCCGCCCTAAAAAATAAACAAATGGGGCCTGGAGTGATATCACAGCGGGTAAGGCATTTGCTCTGCATGCAGCCAACCCAGGTTTGATCCCCAGCATCCCATATGGTCCCCCAAGCACCGCCAGGAGTCATTCCTGAGTGCAGAGCCAGGAATGACTGCACTCAGGAACGAATTATAATATTATTATAAAAGATTATAATAGTATCTAATTATACTGTAATATTATTATCATTCTTCTTATTAAAGCAAATAATAAATCAGCCAGAAAGCGCGAGCTCCACAGCGACCCCTGGCGGGTACCACAGCCATAACCTGGGATTCAACTATGCACACGCGTGTGCGCGCATCGTCCAGAAAGGAACGTGTGCTCGGAGGGCCGCGCAACCGGGTGTGAGAACCCCGTGCGCACGACAGCTGGAAAAGCAGGAGACCCCAGCCAGGGCACTGGGTAACCCCCTGGCCCCAGTCATCGTGATGTCACAGCAAAGGGAAGGAAAGTAGAGGCCGAGAGACAGTCCAGCTCGCGAGGCGCTCGCCTCCTCTGGCTTCCTTTATTGGATAATCTGCAAGAGTTGTTCCCGGGTGGTTTTTTATGTTTTATGTTTTGTTTTCACCGTAAACAACAACATTGCATCTTTTCCCTCTCGAAGACTGTTTCCTTACAAAAATATCCGGCTTCTTTCGACAATGAGAAGAATTCAGCTTTTTTATACAATATGGACAACTTATACGACATGAGAATTCGGCTTCTCCATACACTATGCGGCTTCTTTATTCAGTTGACTCATCCTGTCAATGGGGACTTGAGTTGTTTACTTTTTTTTTCTTTTTGGGTCACACCCAGCGTTGCTCAGGGGTTCCTCCTGGCTCTGTACTCTGGAATTACTCCTGGCGGTGCTCGGGGGACCATATGGGATGTCGGGAATCGAACCCGGGTCGGCCGCGTGCAAGGCAAACGCCCTACCCGCTGTGCTATCACTCCAGCCCCTTAATTGTTTACTTTTAACGTGAAATAATGTTGCAATAAACAGCGGAGTGATTACAATGCCTTGTTACTATTGTCGGATTGTTTTTGGTTGCTCCCAGCCTGGTGCTCAGAGGCATTCCTAGGCGTGCTGGCAGTGGGGGGCAGGACACTCTGGCCGTGCACATCGAATAAAAGGCTTCACAGACAAATTTCAGGCGTCCACTAAGCAACAGCTCCTTAGAGTGCGCCCACCGTGTGTCCAGCGTCCAGAGGGCGGCGACTCACGCCCAGAGGGCGGCGACTCACGCGTTCCCAGCAGGAGGCGGGAGGGGCGGAGAGCGCGGCTTGGGCAGGGCCCCTTTAAGAGGCGGGGCGCCGCCCGGAAGCGGAAGCCGCCGCACCCGGAAGTGCCGGCCGCCGCGCCGCCGAGGTGTCGCCGCCATGGGCCGCAACAAGAAGAAGAAGAAGCGCGACGGCGACGACCGGCGCCCGCGGCTCGTCCTCAGCTTCGACGAGGAGAAGCGGCGGTGAGCGCCGAGGCGGGGCGGGGCCGGGGGGCGACGCCGCGCGCCCGCCACGAGGGCCCTTCCGGCCCCGCCTCCCCACGTGGGCCCACGCCCCCGGGCTCCGCGCGCCCAGACTTGGGGTCCCCGCGCCCAGACGTAGGGTCCGCCCGCCCAGACCCGGGTCCCCCGCCACCACACTCGGGTTCCCGCGCCCAGACCCGGTTCCCCGCGCCCAGATTCGGGACCCCGCGCCCAGACTCGGGGTCCGCCCGCCCAGATTCGGGTCCCCGCGCCCAAACTTGGGGTCCCCCATATCCGAGTCCCCGTGCTCAGACTCTGGTCCCCAAACCCAGAAGCGGGGTCCACACACCCAGACTCGGGGTCCGCCCGCCCAAACTCGGGTCCGCTCAGCCAGTCTCGGGGTCTGCCCAGTGGACTGACCACCGCCTCCATCACCCCCACCCACCCAGGCTCGCCCACCCCACTTGTGCCGAGCTTACCCAGGACCCCTAAGTCTCCGCGATCCGTCCGGGCAAGTGACCCCCTTCTCCGACTCAGTTTCAGCCCGCCTTGATCCCTGGTGCTGGGTCGGGAACCTGCTTATGTTTGGGGTCCCGGGAAAGGCGCGGGATCGTCCTGGGGAGGGGAACTTGGGGTGCATGGAGAGGACCTAGAGGTGGGTCCGAAGGTCTGGGGAAATGGGGTGTCGGTCCAGGAGGAGTGGAATTCCTGCTGGGGGTGGTCCTGGAGCTTGAGGAAGAAGCTTTGTTCATTGGATGGGGGCATGGCAGGGGGCAGGGTCTGGGGGTTCGACCCCAGACTGACCTGTAGGCAGCTCAGGGCCCGTCAGTGTCAGTGGTGATGCCAAAGGATAGAGGTGGCAAAAGAGCATCTTCTCCTGGTTGGGGGGTGGGGGAGTTTGGGCCACGCTGCGTGGGGCTAGGGGCTCCCTCCTGACCCTGAGCGTCTGCTTCCTGTTAATCCTGGCTGGATTCGAACCCAGGTTGACAGAGTGCCAGGCAAGGGCCGTACCAGCTCTGCCATCTCTCCACAACCCACCCCTCTTTCATTTGTTTTGTTTTGGGGGCCACACCTGTCAGTGCTCAGGGCTCACTCCTGACTCAGCACTCGGGGATCACTCATGGTGGAGCTGGGGGAACCATATGGGATGCGGGAATAGAACCCAGGTGGGCTGCATGCAGGCAAGTGACCTACCCACTGGATTAAGGCTCTTTTTTTTTTTTTTGTCTTCTGTTTTTGGGCCACCCCCTAGTGGTGCTCAGGGATCACTCCTGGCAGACCTCAGGGGACCCCATGGGGAGGGGGCCCCGTGCATACCAAGCGCTTTCTTGGCTAAACTGTCCCTCAGCTAACCACTCTACTTCACGGTCTCATCTGTGAAAAGGAGAGTGTGAGGCCGAAGTGGAGCCATGACAGGCTCCACTTTAAGGCCGAAATTCAGCAGGCCTGAGTTTCGGTTTCCTCCATCAGAAAGTCCCGACTTCTCAGAAAACAGTATCACCCTGGGCAGATACACCGACCCGTGGCAACAGCCTACCAGTGTGGGGGCCTGGGCTCTGGCGCCCAGCCAAACAGAGAGGGCGAGGGAGTGGAGTCACAGGACCGGACAGAGACCAAGACTTGGAAATAGAGTGTTGGTCCCTGGAGTCACAGGACAGGACTGGGAACAAGAAGTGGAAACATACTGGAACTTCTTGGAAAAATGCTGTGATGTCACCAAACCCTAACTTAGCTGCTCAGAATTCGGAGTCGGGGGGCCCTTGGATGAGTCTCGGACCCTAGCTCGAGCTAGCAATCAAGCGGGCCTGGCGTTTGCATCCTCGAGTCTGGTCTGGTCAATGGTGCGAGCGAAACTCCCTTCCCAGGAGTGGCACACAGAAGCCGTTTGTCCGCTGCCTAGAGTAAGGCCACCCCCAGCTTGGGCCCCCTGACCCGCTCGCCCCCCGCTGCAGGGACTACCTCACCGGCTTCCACAAGCGCAAGGTGGAACGGAAGAAGGCGGCCATCCAGGAGATCAAGCAGCGGCTCAAGCAGGAGCAGAAGAAACTGCGGGAAGAGGTGTGGAGGGTGGGGAGGGGTGTGAAGGGCCGGAAGGGGAGGAGGAGAGGGCCCCCCCCCCACCTCTGCCTTAGGCCCAGGTCTTGACCCGCCCCCTCCCGGAGGGGGCCCAGAGCCAAGCCCCCTGGAGGCCGAGATGCCGGACTCACTGGGTACCGTCTTGTTTCAGCGACATCAGGAGTACTTGAAGATGCTGGCGGAGAGAGAGGAGGCTCTGGGTGCGTCTGGGTGCTAAGGGGTGCTTGTTTTCAGGCCCCCACCCCCGGCAGGGTCAGACCAGGAGGAGGTGACCCCCAAACCTGGCCCAGCAGAAAGACCCAGTTTCTGAGTTCGGGGTCAGGGCAGAGCAGTTCCCAGCAGGGGTCACGGCCTTGTCTCTGGGGGGACTGGAAGGGGTGTGGGTCTCTCCTGTCGCGGGGAGGGGGGGCAGCCTGCTGACCCCCGCCCCCGCATCCCCCGCAGAGGAGGCAGATGAGTTGGACCGCCTGGTGACCGCCAAGACAGAGTCGGTGCAGTACGACCACCCCAACCACACGGTCACCGTCACCACCATCAGCGACCTGGACCTCTCGGGGGCGCGGCTGCTGGGGTTGCCCCTGCCGGAGGTGCGTGTCGGCCCAGCCCGGGGAGGAGGGTGGGAGCCCGCCTGTCCCCCACTGTGTGTCAGGGGTCAGAGGGGTTCATCATCTCTCCCCGGGAAGCAGGTCCCTTGGGTCCTTAGGGGTGAAGGGGCCGTGCAGTGTGGTCAGCGTGGAGACTGGCCTGTCGGGGCAGGAACCCACGGGCAGGTGCACACGGTCACCTGAGGTCACCAGTGCTCTCTGTTTCCGGATTCCTAGGGTCCCAGGCTCCCTGGCTCCTCGTCCAGGACCCGGGCTAGACCCCGCCTGGTCCCTTCCCCTCGGAGCTGGTGGCAGCTGCTCCCTGGGGCCACGGGCACCCGCTGTCCTCCGTGGGTGTCAACGTCGGGACCCGGCTCCTCTCCCTGCGCCCTCCCTGCCCCTGGACTCACCCCCCCCCCACTGACGCCACGGTGGTTCACTCGGGGCGTCACCCCCCTGCCCTGTGACAATCCCTTCTAGGCCGGCTTTTCCTTTCTTTTTTTTAAATTTTTGGGCCGCGCCAGGAGGTACTCGGGGCTTATTCCTGACTCGACACTCAAGGATCTCTCTTGGTGGCGGTCGGGGGAGCCCATGGGTTGTCAGGGGCCAAACCCAGTTCAGCCACGTGCAAGGCAAGTGCCCTACCCGCTGTGCTATCCCTCTGGCCCCACTTGATTCTCCTCCTTTTTGGATTTTTTTCTTTTCCCTGCTTTTTGGGTCACACCCGGTGATGCTCAGGGGTGACTCCTGGCTCTGCACTCAGGAATCACTCCTGGCCGTACTCAGGGGACCCTAAGGGATGCTGGGAATCGAACCCGGGTCGGACGCTGCAAGGCAAACGCCCTCCCTGCTGTGCTATGGCTCCAGCCCCTCTCCTCCTTTCTGTTCTTTGCATCTTTAGCAGGATCCGGAGGGAGAGACGCCCAGTAAGGAGAAGATGGCCAGAGCCTTGCCCCGCAAGTCCAAGGACCCCCTGCTGTCCCAGCGGTGAGCCCTGCCCTCTGGGAATCGGGTGTGGGGCCCGGGCGGGTGGCGTGGGGCACCTCAGCCCCCCATCCCCTCCACCGCCCACCTTGTGTGTGGCCCGGTGTCCCCCGTGCCGGGCGAGTCCCTCCCTCCCAGCTGGGAGCCGGCAGCCCTCGGGGTTGGAGCAGGCTAGCCTCTCCCCTGTGTCCTGCTCCCCCGGGGAAACTGAGGTCGGGCTGCCCTCCCGCCCGCCCACAGGATCTGTTCTCTCACGGCCTCGCTGCACGCACACAACCGCAAGAAGGTCAAGAGGAAACGTGCCCACCGGGCCCCGGACTCCAAGAAGCCACCCAGCGCCACGAGGACCAGCAAGACCCAGCGCCGCCGGCTGACGGGCAGAGCCCGGCACAGCGGGGAGTGAGCCCCGGTCACCGAACGGCTTCCTGGCTTATCCCACGGGGCCTCTCTCCCCGGGGCCCCATGAGCCGCCATCGGTCCCCTGACTCTGCGCTGAGAACCAGCCCTGGGCCCCGCCCGCTGTCCCGTGGCAGACGCAGACTTCGTGGGGTGGGCCAGGGACCAGGAGGGCGCCCATCATCCCCCCGACACTTAAGCCGATGGGTGGGAAAGGGAAGTAGAGGGGGGTGAGGGTGGGGGGACACCTGTCTTAAACCTCATATGGGCTCATGTTCCTGAGTGTGGAACAAACCCTAAGGACTGGAGAGTGGGTGATGGGGTGAGAATGTTCACTTGTCTCGCGTGTGTTGGGATTTCATTCCAGACATCACCAGGAGTGATCCTGAGCACAAAGCCAGGAGTAGTCTCTGAGCACTGTAGGGTGGGCCCAAACCCCCTTCCCAAGTTCCTTTTAAAATAAAATTCAGACCGGAGCAGTAGTACAGCGGGTAGGGCGTTGGCCTTGCACGTGGCCGACCCGGGTTCAATCCCTGGCACCCCATGTTCTTGGTCCCCTGAGCCCAAGAGGAGTGACCCCTGAGCACTGCCAGGTGTGACCACCAAACCAAAAAATAAATGGATAAACTCGTGACTTATTGTTGGTGAATGGTTTGTATGCCTGTACACCCAGAGTTATGTCAACATTTCCCGAGAAACATAATAGGGTCTCTCTGGAGGGCTAGGGTGACGCAGCCGCTGGGCAAACTTGAGCTTCGGGATCCCTGAACAGTCGCCACCCAGACCTGAGGGCCTCTGGGGAGAACTCCTTTTTTTTCTTTCTTTTTTTTTTTTTTGCTTTTTGGGTCACACCCGGCTATGCACAGGGGATACTCCTGGCTCTGCACTCAGGAATTACTCCTGGCGTTGCTCCAGGGACCCTATGGGATGCTGGGAATCGAACCCGGGTTGGCTGTGTGCAAGGCAAACGCCCTACCCGCCGTGCTATCGCTTCAGCCCTGGGGAGAACTCTTAAGGGCTGAGCACACACTTTCTTGGGTGGGGGTATTGCCATACCCAGCAGTGCTCAGGGGTTACTCCTGGCACTGTGCTCGGGCGTCACTCCTGGAGGGCTCAGGGGAGTATATGTGGTGCTGGGGATCCAACCCGCATTAGCCCAGCGTAAAGCGAGCACCCACCCTGCTGTGTCTCCAGCCCTGTCGCTTGTTCATCTTGTTGGGGTTCTGGGCCTCGGAAAGAACATAAGTACCAGGGCTGGAGTGACAGCACGGGGGGGAGGGTGTTTGCCTGGTATGCGGCCAACCCGGGTTCGATTCCCAGCATCCCATAGGGTCCCCCGAGCACCGCCAGGAGTAATTCCTGAGTGCATGAGCCAGGAGGAACCCCTGTGCATCGCCACGTGTGACCCAAAAAGAAAAAAAACATAAGTACCATGAAAACTGGGGTGTCGGGAGGGGGGTTGCATTTCCTTTCCCTGAGGCTCAGCGGGGCTGCAGCAGGGCCCAGACTGAGGGGGCTCCAGGCTTTGGACCCGTACGGCTCGAGCGCTAGGGCCATGCCCTGAACAGCAAAGGCAAGGTAATAGCTGGCTAGTGCCAGGCTCAGAGATAGTGAGTAACTTCCTCAGATGGCACAGCCAGGAAACTAGAGTCCGATTCACACCTCACAGAGGTGGGGACCAAGCGGAAGCTCCTCCAAGTGTAGCTTGGCACAGGCCAGGCACGAGAGTTAACGGTCAGCGGGCGAGGTTTATCTGGGGGCTAGTGAGTAAGATACACCAGGGTTTGGATTTATTTATTTATTTTTGCTTTTTCGGGTCACACCTGGCGATGCTTAGGGGTTACTCCTGGCTTTGCACTCAGGAATCACTCCTGGCAGTGCTCAGGGGACCATATGGGATGCTGGGAATCGAACCCGAGTCGGCCGCGTGCAAGGCAAACGCCCTCCCCGCTGTGCTATCGCTCCAGCCCCTTGAATTTATTTTCATTGTGAGAGCCACGCCCAGCAGGGCTCAGGGCTCACTCCTGGCAGTGTGCAGGGAACCGTATTGGTGCTGGGGGGATCGAACTTGGACAGACTATGCAAGGCAGCTGCCCTCCCTGCTGTACTCTCTCTGGCCAGAGGGCATGAGGTGCTGGGAATCAGACTCAGGATCTCCTGGCATTAGGCATGTCCTCGACTACCGAGCCACATTCTGCTTGTCACGGATCAAACCTTTACTGACAGGCATGAGTGCCCGTGGTTTGAACTATTTCCTGGTCCCCACAATAGGGTTTAGTCTTCGGTGGGGGGGGGGGGTCTGGGGGGTAGAGAGCTCACCCTGGCTGCTCAGGGGCTACTCCTGGTTGTGTGCTCAGAAGTGCCCCCTGGTGGTGCTCAGGGGAACATACATGTTGGGATTAGGACCGGGTCTGCAGCGTGTATTTAAGTGCCTTAATCCCTGGACCATGTCACGCCCCAGGAGTTTAGTCTGGACTCTATTACTTTTCAGTTGAGAGCTTATTTCTCAGATTGCTGTGAAGTGGGGGGTTCCATAACTCCTTGGGGTTCTGATGTCTCCATGAAACGTCTGGGAAGAGAAGCTGGCAGGGTAAGTGTAGGCGCCATCTGTGGAGCCGGTTTGCACGGGCTAGGGGAGGGGCACTTCTTGAGGTGCAAGAAGCCGACTGGAGCGGGTGGGAGCCGTATGCTCTCTTAGGGACGATCCCTAGGATGCAACCGGGTCCGCTGGGGACCAGGTTTCAGAAAAGAACGGCACTTGGGTGTCACTCTTAAGAGCTCAGGCTAGGGCAGGAGTGATGGAGATGAGGTGAGGTGGGGAAGGCGGAGTGGAAATGGGGGATGCCCCCATTGGGTGAGTATCCCAAGGCGGCTGAGAGTCCCAATGGAGCGGGGGTCAGTATTCTTGACCAAGGTCCGGTTTCCCATCCTGGCCAATAGATAAATATGTATACATAGGAGAACTGTGCATCTTATGAATGAGGTCTGGGTCAGTGGCAGCTTGCAAATGGAGGCTGAAAACTGCGTTTCCCTCCGTGCTCACGGCTACCATCACGCTCCTTGTTTTACGCGTAAGAAAACCACGTTCCGGCAAGGATATGTCTCTAGCGCTGTCAGTTAAGTCTCTAGCACAAGGTTTGAGTTTAAGCCACCCTCGGGAATTTCCTCAAGGGGAACTAGATCCCTAGGAGCCAGACCCGTCCGTGCCACCTCCCTGCAGAACCCCCGGGGACGCGGACCCCGCGGAGGGATGGATGCTGCTGGTACCCAGCTTCCCGGGCAGAACGCGCGGCGGGTCCCGCGCTCGAAGGCATCCGGTCACCGCCCGCCTCTGCCCCGCCCCTTGTCCTCTTCTGTCCAATCGCACGGCGCTCATGCAAATAAAGCGCCGAGAGCGGGCCTATGGGGGCGCGGCGGGGTCGTGGCCTTCGCCTCACTCCGGGTCCGTGTTCTGATTCATTGTTAAAATCAAGAGGCTTTGACCCCCGCGCCCCGCGCCCCGCCACCCCCCGGTGCGTGGAAACCCGAGCCCAGGTGAGGACTGGCTGGGGCAGGCGGTGGAGAGGAGGGTGGGGGGAGAAGAGGAGACGGCGGCGGATCCGGGAGGGATTGGCCGCCGGCTGGACAGGTCCAGGGGTCCGTTCCCCGGGTGGGGCATGCCGGTCCGCTGCCGGCTTCCCACGATCACCACGCTCAGACCCACGGTTCATGTGCCTTTTCGAGAAGAAATCTGCCTTTTGGTTGGGCGAAGTGGGAGCAGGAGGGGGGGCGGCACGTGGAGTAGACCCTCTCGGCAGCTCCCCGGGAAAACCATCGCCTTGGGGATGAAGGCGTCTTGGGGATGATGCTTTTTTTGTATCTGGGATCCGGAAAGAACCGCCCAGGTGGGATGGAATGAATGCGCGCCCCCTTCCCCACGGAGCAGATAACGGCGCAGGGAGATGACATCAGAGACCCCCGAGTCACCAAGGAACCGGCGTGACCCCACCGCGACCACCGTGTGGGCGGAGGCCGGAAGAAACTGCCCTGGCTGCCCCCGGGGAGAATGTGAGATATTCCAGCGCTCAGCTGAGGCTGGTGACCAAAGATCCATCCTCTCAGCATCCTCTGAGATGCTCTGAAGGAAACTCCAGGTGAGGACTGGTGGGAGGTGTGGGGGGAGGCGTGGGTCAATTTAAGGTAAGTGAGTTCAGGACTGTGTCGTGGGGTTCTGTCAGTAAGAAGGTTATTATTTTCTTTCTTTCTTTTTTTTTTCTTTTTGGGTCACACCCGGCGATGCTCAGGGGTTATTCCTAGCTCTGCACTGGGGAATTACTCCTGGTGCTGCTCAAGGGACCATATGGGATGCTGGGAATCGAACCTGGGTCGGCTGCGTGCAAGGCAAATGCCCTACCCGCTGTGCTATCATTCCAGCCCCCAAGAAGGTTATTTTCAAGTCAAGTCGTTTTGCTGCCCCTGGCCCTCCAAGGCCCTGAAGTGTGAGGGAAGGATGGAGACGGGGATCAGGTGAGAGAGAGCACGGGCTTTCTCTTCAGTTGGCCTCAGCCCCTGGGATCTTGGTCGGCTCCCTTTGTCCACAACCCTCGCCTCAACTGAAAAATACCTCTGGCCTCACTCCCAGTGTTTCTTTTCCAGTGGCCCCAGTGCCCTTCCCTCCCACCTCCTGAGGGACACAGTTCTGGATTTGAACCCAGCTCAGCTGCAGGTAGCAGTTATAGGCGCTCAGTGACCTTAGATGGCTTATGTGAAATGGGCAAGAATTTTATGGGCAATACAGGATAAGAGATTCTCTGTGGGTTTTGCTTTTGGACCACACCTGGCACTGCTCAGAGGTTACTCCTGGCTCTGCACTTAGGAACTACTCCTGGCGGTGCTTGGGGGACTCTATGGGGTGCAGCTTGCCAGGCAAATGCCCTAACTGCTGTGCAATCGCTCCAGGGGCCCCAGGAGGCTCTCTTTGGGATGCATTTACTCCTGACTCTGCTCTCAGGGGCCACTCCTGGTGGGACTTGGGGGACCAGGTGGGATGCTGGGGGGTTGAATCCGGGTAAGCCCACTGTGTGCAAAGCAGGCGCCCCACCAGTTGTACTGCTGCTGCTCTGGCCCCTAGAGTGCTTTGTGTGTATGTGTGTGTGTGTGTGTGTGTGTGTGTGTGTGTGTGTGACACCCAGCGATGCTCAGGGCTTACTCTTGGCTTTGCACTCAGGAATCACTCCTGGCAGTGCTTGGGGGACCCTATGGGATGCTGAGGATTGAACCCGGGTCAGCCTCATGGAAGGCAAACATCCTACCCACTGGACTCAAGGGAACTGATTTTAAACGCACACCCAAACCTCCACCGCAGAGAGTCTGAGTGGGTATCCCCGGGCAGGGAACTGACCATGAGCATTTTGCGAGCAGTCCAGTTGATTCAGAACCCACTGAACAGCTTCTGTTTTTGGGGGGTTTCATTTTCGGGTCACACTTGGTGGTGTTCAGGGCTTCCTCCTGGCTTTCCTGGGGGCTCAGGGGACCCTCTGAGGTGACGGGGCTTGAACCCAGGTCAGCCCCACGCAAGACAGGTGCCTGGCCCGCTGTCCTCTCCTTCCAGCCCTGGTAGCAACAACTTCTAGAAAGCACGAGGGAAATGTTTGATGTCATTCATGACATTTGGCACTGCTGCGGAGTGTTTGAGAGTGACTAGATAGACAGGTGACCAAGTGGGTGACAGCCGGACTCCTTGGCTACTTGTGCATCTAGGGGTGAGCTTGGGCTGGGGTGCAGATGGGCTGCCTGCCAGCCCTTGTCCTTCTCCCATTCTTCCCAGGCCCCGCCATCAGGTCACAGAAGCTGCCCGAGACTGACTCAGCCAGCATGGAGCGGGGGGCTGTGCGCGCCCCCTGCGAACACGCTGAGGCTGGAGCGCTGGCCCAGGGCTGCTGCAGAAACCGTGAACTTCCGGAGGAGGCTCATGGAACCGGGAACCAGGTAGGTGGGCTTCTGTGAGCGGTCAGGGGTCTCGGGATGGGGGAGTCCGTCATGGACTGAGCCTGGCTACCTCGCACTGGAACCTGGGCTGACCCTCAGTATCCCTATCTGGACAATGAGGTGGTCGAACCATAGGCATCTTCTTCTCTTGGTTTTATAGTTCCCCACCCCAGCCTCGCCCGCCACACACACACACACACACACACACACACTCACACTCACACACACTCACACACACACTCACATAATCCATGACTTAGCTTTTCAGTTTCTGCGCTGTTTTGGGGGCCCCACCCGGGGGGTGCTGACTCCTGGCTCTGCACCCAGGGATCACTCCTGGTGATGCTCAGGGAACCCGATGTGGTGCCAGGGATCGAATCCTTGTTGGCAACATGCAAGGAAAACTCCATACCCACTGAAATTATCTCCTCAGACTTGTTTCATCGCTTTTAATTTTATTCAGTTATTGATTTTGGTCTTGGCGCCGCACCCGACAGTGCTCAGGGCTTACTTCTGGCACTTGTGCTCAGGGATCACTCCTGGCAGGCTTGGGGGACCCTATGGGATGCTGGGGATCGAATTCAGGCCGGGCGCGTGCAAGGCAAATGCCCCACCTGCTGTACTATCGTTCTAGCCCTGCTCAGTGCTTTTCTTGGGGGACCCTCACTTGGCAGTGCTCTGGGGGTTGATGATGATGGGATGATGGGGATCGAACCTGGGTCAGCAAGGCAAATGCCCCAGCCCACTGTCCAATTGCTCTGGCCCTGTTTATTGCTCTTTTAAATCCCCTTCTCTCTGGAAGGAGCGCAATGGGCTGAGTGCAGGCTTGCCATGCAAGAAGTCTGGGTCCCATCCCCTGGGTCCCATCCCCATCCCATATGGCCCCCTGAGCACTTTGAAGAAGCAAGTCCTGAGCACAGAATCTGGAGTAGCCTGAGAACCTCCAGATATGGCCCCCCACACCCCCCCCCCCCCAAATAACATACTTTCTACTTTTTTTTAATTTATTTTTTTGTTTTTAGGTCACACCTGGCGATGCACAGGGATCACTCCTGACTCATGCACTCAGGAATTACTCCTGGCAGTGCTCGGGGGGACCATTATGGGATGCTGGGAATTGAACCTGGGTCGGCCACATGCAAGGCAAACACCCTACCTGCTGTGCTATCTCGCTCCAGCCCACATACTTTCTAATTTAGGGGTGCACACAAGGGCACATCTAGCTCAGGCGACTCAGGAGTACACAACAGGAACTCAGTTCACTGAGCGCCCTCCCCAGCCAGCACCATCTTTACAGTTACAGTCAAGCAAAGCTTTATGTCACAGCCACAAATAGAAATCAGCTCAGATCCCCGATACAGAAGTATTTTTTTGGGGGGTGGGTCACACCTGGCGATGCTCAGGGGTTCCTCCTGGCTCTGCACTCAGGAATTACTCCTGGCGGTGCTCGGGGGACCCTATGGGATGCTGGGAATCAAACCCAGGTCGGCTGCATGCAAGGCAAATGCCCTCCCGCAACCTCCACACAGAAGTTTCTAGAGAAAAAAGAGCCAGAGCAAATGGTACAGTGTGGAGGGCGCTTGACTTGCACGCGGCAGACCCAGTTTGATCCCTGGCATCCCATAGGATGCAGCATCCCCTCAACACCACCAGGAGTGATTCCTGAGCATCGTCCAATATGGGCCCCAGACGAATAAAAAAAAAAACAAGAGAAAAATGGAAAGGAAATGCTTCAAGCTCTACTGGGGGCCTGAGTTCTTCTGTGAGACTGGGAGGGGGCGGAGGCTGTCGGGGTTCCCCACCCTTGCTGGCCACTTCCTCCTGTGCAGTGATTTATGTGGCCTGAGGCTCAGCCCGACCATCCACCCGGGGCTCCCCGGGTTCCATCACCCGAGGCGCCTCTGTGCCCTGTTTTCCTGGCCAGGACGTGGGCTTTGTCTGAAGTCGCTTGTGACCTCTGGGTCCAGGCAGGCTCGAATTCCGCCCTTGTTTGTCGTCTGTCGCTCTGTGAACTGGGTCACTTGCCCTCTGTCCCCATGGGCGAGACTCCTCACCCAGGTCGTCAGCCCTGCTCTGCGCAACTCGCATTGGGCAAATCGAATGCAACCTGTTCCCTCTCTTCCTCTGGACGTTTCCCTCTGAGCTGTTTTCCTACCTCTCTCCACCGTCCACTACAACTTTTCTGGGCTCGTCCCTAAGGCCAGGGAGCAGATGCTTACAAACCCCCGAGTCCAGGTAAATGACCTTCTTCTTTTTTTTTTTTCTTTTTGGGTCACGCCCACCCAGCGATGCTCAGGGGTTATTCCTGGCTCATGCACTCAGGAATTGCTCCTGGCGGTGCTCGGGGGACCATATGGGATGCTGGGAATCGAACCTGTGTTGGCCATGTTGGCTGCATGCAAGGCAAACTCCCTACCCACCGTGCTATCGCTCCAGCCCTTAAATGACCTTCTTCTAATGGCGGCAAACTGTGTACCACGCTGAGCCCCGTTGATTTCTGGCTGAGACCTTGAACTAACTCACCAGTTCACACCCACTGAACAGGGGGCGGTGGTGGTGGTCTCCCACTATGCCAGGCATTCGGCTAGAGGCTGGGGACACAGTGATAAACAGAGACACAGGCCCGGGATATGGCCCAATAGCAGAGCGTGTGCCTTGATTGTACAAGCCCTGGTCCCGCCCTCAGCCCCGCATACTCACAATCTCACATTACACACAATCCCTGGCTCATGGGACTCAGAGTCTAGACAGGGAATGGAGACGAAGGAACCAATGATGCAGGGTCAGAGGGACAGTGTAAGGGTTGTGGCCCTCGCCTTGCATGCAGTTGATTCTGGTTTGATCCCTGGCTCTGGATGGTTCCTGGAGCGGATCTTGGGCACTGAGTGAGCCAGGAGTAATCCCTGAGCTTGTTGGGGGTGGCCCAACCGCAGCCTCTCCTCAAAAGTAACTAACAGTGCAAATGATGATTTATCATATATGTGGGAGTGTCGTAAGGGAGCTGCAGGTGGTAAGACATTGTAGCTTGAAAGCTGATTGACGGGGACATTGGAATGAGGTGAGGAAGGGAAACAGCTGTGCAAAGGCCCTGTGGCAAGGGAACAGTTGTGCAAAGGCCCTGCGGCAGAAAGGAGGCAGCAGCTTGACTGGAGACAGGCAAGAGAGGTGGAAAAGCATGGAGGATGGGGAGGGGGCTCTTCTGGCCTTTTGGGGGGTCTATGAGAATGCTAAGGACTTCAGACTTTCCCCCCAGAGGCACCAGGAGCACCTGAAGATGGGTACTGGGAAGGGAACCAGGACATCACCCATCAAGGAAATCACCTCCGCCCCCCCCCCCGCTGACAATTTTTTGTTTTTGTCTGTGGGTCACCCCTGGTGGTGCTCAGGGGCCACATGGGGTGCTGAGGATTGGATCCTGGTTGTTCATGAGTGCTGTATCACTGCTTTGCCCCCACCTCCGAAGTTTTGAAGCTGGGAGGCAGATTCGTTGTTTTTTTTTTTTTTGCTTTTTGGGGTCCCACCTGGCGATGCTCAGGGGTTACTCCTGGCTCTGCACTCAGGAATTACCCCTGGCGGTGCTCGGGGGACCCTATGGGATGCTGGGAATTGAACCTGGGTCGGCCGCATGCAAGGAAAACGCCCTCCCCGCTGTGCTATTGCTCCAGTCCCCAGATTCGTATTTTGTCACCCCGACTCTGAGGCCAAGGATGGGGTGCAGGGAATGCTTAGATTGGGGGACCCAGGGATGAAAATGGTGCAGTTCCTCCAACCGGGGGTTGACAGCGGCTTGGAGAGGGACAAGTGGGCTCATGGAGGAGCTAAGGAAGGACTGCCATAGGGCGACGACGCTGAGACAGGTGGTGGAGGTGGGGGGGAGGCGCCTGCTGAGTCCCCGTCCCCCCCCCCCAGTTTCTGGAAGATGAGAGGCGGGGACAGGGGTGGGGGGCAGGGGGGTGTCTCTGGGGCTCACATTGCTCGGAGTCCACAGATCTCAGGTTTTTATTTTATTTTATTTTATTTTGCTTTTTGGGTCACACCCAGCGATGCACGGGGGTTACTCCTGGCTCTGCACTCAGGAATCACTCCTGGCGGTGTTCGGGGGACCCTATGGGATGCTGCGAATCGAACCTGGGTCGGCCACGTGCAAGGCAAACGCCCTACCCGCTGTGCTATCTCTCCAGCCCTAGATCTTCGGTTTTTAAGATTTTTTATTTTTTGGCTTTTTTGGTGACCACACCCAGGAATGCTCAGGGGCCACTCCTGGCTCTGCACTCAGGAATCACTCCTGGCGATGCTCTGGGGACCCTATGGGATGCCGGGGATTGAACCCGGGTCGGCTGCATCTAAGGCGAACGCCCTCCCCACCGGACTATAGCTCCGGCCCCTCCACAGATCTTAAGCGTCCCGGGGTGGGGACAGCGACCAGAGGGCCTTCAGGTTCTGGCGCTGCTGGGGGACTTGGCTCATGGGGAATAGACTCAGAAGGGTGCAGGGAAGAATGCCCTTGGGATGGAGCGCGCCCCTGGGGCCTGAGGAAGGATGTCCCCGCGGCTCGGGGATCCAGCCAAAGCCTCGCGCGCGGTCACTGCCAGTTTGCTAAGGCACCTCCTGGCCCCGGTGGCCGGTTCTTATTATTGCTTGTTTGGGGGCCACAGCCAGAGGTGCTCAGGGCTTACTCCTGACTCTGCGTTCAGGGGTCACCCTTGGCAGGGATCAGGGCACCATATGGGGTCAGCCGTGTGCAAGGCAAGGGCCCTTCTATTGTGCCATCGCTCTGGACGGGGCCCAGTTCTGTCATCTTGTGCTGGTTATTCAGCAATACCTCAGGTGTGTGCGCGTGCGTGCTTGCCTGTGCGCATGCCCGTGCGCGTGCCTGGCTGCGTGTGTGCGTGCATGGACCCGTGTGTGTACGCGCGTGTCTGTCTGCCGCTTACCTGTGTGCGTGCACGTGCCTACCTACCTGGCTGCAGACGTGCGCGTGCCCGTGAGCCTGTGTGGGTGCACATGCCTGTGCGTGCGCGTGCCTGTGCACACGATGCGTGCAAGTGCGGGCCTGCGCGCCTGCCTCTGTGCGTGCGCGTGCCTGTGCGCCCGCTGCATGCAAATATGGGGCTGTTGTGTGCGTGTGTCTGTGCGTGCGCGTGCCTGTGCCCCCGCTGCGTGCAAGTGTGGGCCCGTGTGCGTGCGCGTGCACACCGTGCGCCTGCAGGGCCACACCCAACTCCAGGGTGGCTGACCTAGTAATTATGCAGAAATGCCTTTGGGAGCTCACTAGGACCCTGGATGGACTCTGGGTCTCAGTTGCCCACTGGCTGGGATGGGGGAGGGGTCGACCCTGGAAATGAGGCCACCTTGGCCTGTCAGGGCCTGGTTGGGTGGAGTGGGGGGGGGGGACAGGTGGACGGGTCCTGCTGTGACCAGCCAGCCAGCCTCCCCCCATAATTGGACTTTTTTTTTTTTTTTCTTTTTTGCCTATTTTTGTATTTGAGGGCCTGGTGGTAGAGGGGGGTCTCTTCTCGGCTCTGCTCTTGGGTGGGGGGACCATGCGGGGCGGGGGCCCGCGGGGACCCGCCCTCCAGCGGCGCGCGTGAGCCGTCTTCCCGGTCCGGTCCGGTGCATTTGTCTCGAAGGACACAGAACGCGTCTCCGTGCGTGGGGCGTTCTGCGCCCAAGGCGCGCGACGGACGGTTTCATTATTCATGAGATTTAGGAGGCCGTGGCGGTGAAGCCCTTGACAAACGGCCTGAATTCCCGCGGTCCCGAAGGCGGGCCTGCTCTGAGCCAGCCCCGCCTGGTGGATGAGAAAAGCAGGCCCTGCAGGGGGAGGGGGCGCCGGGGTCACCCAGCGGGGAGGTGCGGCCCCCCCCCCGACAGGAAATCAGAGGCAGGAAGACGGGGAGCCAAGGGTGGGGGACCCCGGGGCAGCTGGGACTTAGACTGGGGGCCGCGGCCGCGTTGGCCGGGACCCCTGGGCCGCGCCCAGCGCGCTGCGCCCTCGTTCCTGCCGCGAGGTCCCCAAGGCCTGGCCAAGGTTCCAGCGGGGCCGAGGATCTGACACCTCCTTGCGCGAGCGCTGATCAGAATCTGGTGCAGGGCAGGGGGCGAAACTGAACCCCACAGGCCTGGGCCGGCGGGGGGGGTGGGGTGGACAGGCGCCCCAGGGCCCCTGCTGGGCGCGCCCCGACCCGCTCACGGTGGCGCGGGAACCCAGAATCGGTGGCCCGACGGGGGTCAGGGGCGCGGGGGAGGCCCGCCGCGGCCTGGGGCTCCCGGGCTCTGGGTTCCGGGGTCCCGGCCCCGCCCCCCCGGCCGGCTCTCAGGTGAGCCCGGCGGATCCGGATCGGGTTCCGTGGTTTCATGTCCTGCATTGTTCTTGGCCGGGCCCGGCTTATGAAACAGTAATGAGGGGCCCCGCGCTCCCCCGCGCGCCCTCTAAGGTTTCCGCTGCCGCGGCCGCCGCCACGGCCCGAGTCAGGACCTGGGAGGGTGGCACAGTGGGGGCTGGAGCCGCAGCCCCCCGGGACGAGGGTGCTGACAGCCACCAGTCGCCGCGGCCGGAGCTGCAGCCCAGGTAACCCGAGAGGAGCCGCCGGGCGCAGGGCGCGGTGCCCCGGGGTGGGGAGGAGGGGGGGACCCGTTCCCCCCGGGTGAACCGCAGCAACCTTCCCCCCAGGGTGGCCGTGCCAAGGCCCCGCCGGGAGCGGGAGCGGGGAGTGTGCCAAGGCCCCGCCCCCACGGGCCTCACCCCGACCTTGGCGCCTAGAAGCCCCCTGAAGCCCCGCAACTGTCTCCTTTCCCCCCAAGATTATAATTTCCAACCCCTGTCCACCTGCCCCCCCCAGGACTCGGCTTCATCCTCCTTCCTCACCCTCCACTCCGGGGCCACAGCTGACCCTTGGGAGGGGGTCACTAACTCATGTGCTCGCCCCCAAGCACACACATACACCTGAGCACACACATGCACCCACACACACATGTGCATATATGCACACACACATACACACACACACACACACAGGTGCATGCCTATACCTTGGCCAGCCCCCAGCACAGGTCCCCAGGGGTGTCTGTGGTGTGGTGGCCTCCGGAGGAGAGTCGCCGTGGGGGAGGGGCCGAGGAGGGCGGGAGCCCCCACGTGGGCCCAGAACTGTCTCCTCTCTCTTGTCGTCTCTGCACCAGGAGCCCAGGAGCCCTCCGAGGCCCGAGGTGCCTTACTGCGACCTGCCCAGCCGCCCGCCTGCCTCTGAGCCCCCCGCGGGGGTCACCATCTCCGGCTGCACAGCTCCAACGGGCCCGGGCCCCCGCTCAGGCACCCCCGAGAGGTAGGTAGCACCCAGCTGAGGTGAGAGGCCGCCCCCTGCCTGCCCCGACCCCGCCTGTGGGCAGCATCTGTCCCGCCGGGACCTGTCAGGGGCTCAGGACACAGATCCCGGGCACAGGCGGCATGGGCATGTTTCGGGCCTGGAACGGCCGGGTGCCCACCTGCACGGGGCATGCCCGCAGCTCGTTTCCCTGCAAAAGGGGCCGGGAGGGGGGTCCTAAGAGTGGGAATGCGGACCTCGTAGGGGTGCCTGGTGCCACAGGGTCCCTTAGCTCCACTGGGAGTGACCCCAGGCACCAGGAAAGGGTCCCAAGGACCTCGGGGCCTGCCCCCGCCCCTCATGCCAGTGCTTTGGTCTCGCTCGCCTTAGGCTCTGGGGTCCTCACCTGCCCGTTGGGGTGACGGTCCCCAAGGGAGTGGCTGGGAGTCTGGGAAGCCGGGCTCTGCGGCGGAAACTCCATCTCTTTCTGGGCTCTGCCCCCTCCGAGGGCAGGAGAGAGGCACGGCCGAGCGCACGCGGCATGCAGGAGGCCCGGGGTCCATCCTCGGCACCTCGTGGCCCCTGAGCACGGAGCCTGGAGCAGTCTACGCCCTGCTGGGTGTGGCCTGAGAAGGGGATGTAAAAAGGAGCAGAATCCGTTCGGCCCTGCTCTGGGAACGGGACTGGGCCAGTCCCGCGATTCGACACGTCATCAAGCCTCAAACCCCAGCCAGCTCTGATGCCAGCCACGGTGCCACGGTTGGGAGTCGGGAGCACTGTGCTCGGGGGCGGGCAGAGGAATATTCCAAACCAGCTTGACCACAGACCACGGTTTCGTCTCAGAGTCGCAGCCATCAGTGCTCAGGGCTTCCTCCGGGCTCTGTGCTCAGGGAGAGATCCCGAGTGGGCCAACGCCCTGCCTGCTGTACTCTCCAGCCGTGACCGTAGACCTCCTTTCGGGGTGTGTGGGGTTTGGACCGTACCCGGTGGTGCTCCCGGATCGCTCCTGACTGTGCTCAGGGGACCATCCGCAGTGCCGTCCCCCCCAGGGCCACCCCCCTCACCTCCTTGGGGGCCCCGCTGTGGGTCTCAGTGTTGGCAACTCTCAGCCCGCCCAGCCTGCAGTCACCCCCGTCCCTCGCGACCACACAGCAACGGCTCCTCTACAGCTGGTTCCCTTGGCATCCAGGCTGGCAGTGCCCTTTCTGCACCTGGAATCCACCTTTCCTGCACAGCTCCCGAGCCCCCCAAAGCTCAGCACAATCCCCTCTTCTTTGTGGTCTGTCACACAGCCCTCCCCTCAGTTCTTGGAGGGCTCTGAGCCTCGGTTTTCTCATCTGTGAAATGGGAACCTTGTGTTGCCTATCAGAGTGAGGCTTTGGAGAGACAGACCCTCCACCCTGCTTGCAATCACATTCCCATTGTGTCTCCACCCAGAGCGAGGGGTGTGTGTGTGTGTGTGTGTGGGAAGGGTATTACCTTAATTCTCACAGCGGCAGGTAGGACGTTTGCCTTGCACGCAGCCAACTCAGCTGGCCCGAGTTCAATTCCTCCGTTCCTCTCAGAGAGCCCAGCAAGCTACCGAGAGTATCTCGCCCGCACGGCAAAGCCTGGCAAGCTCCCTGTGACGTATTCGATATGCCAAACACAGTAACAAGTCTCACAATGGAGATGTTACTGGGCCCGCTTGAGCAAATCGATGAACAACGGGAGGACAGTACTACAGTGTTCGTTACTTTGGTTTTTGTTTGCTTGGGCATTATACCCATTATACTTGGGAATTACTCCTGAAGGTGCTCAGGGGACCCTATGGAATCAAACTTGGGTCAGCCATGTGCAAGGCAAACACCGTCCTGCTATCGCTCTGACCCCAATTCTCTTTATTTATTTATTTATTTATTGCTTTTTGGGTCACACCTGGTGATACATAGGGGTTACTCTGGCTCTGCACTCAGGAATTACTCCTGGCGGTGCTTGGGGGACCACATGGGATGCTGGGAATCGAACCTGGGTCCGACGCATGCAAAGCAAACGCCCTCCCTGCTGTGCTATAGCTCCAGTCTGAGATATGCTTCTTCTTCTTTTTTTTTTTTTTTCTGTTTGGGTCACACCCAGCCATGCACAGAGGGGTTGCTCCTGGCTCTACACTCAGGAATTACCCCTGGCGGTGCTCGGGGCACCATATGGGATGCTGGGAATTGAACTCGGGTCAGCCGCATGCAAGGCAAATGCCCTCCCCACTGTGCTATCACTCTGGCCTGAATCTCATTACTTTAGAGGAGAAACAGTATGGGTCTGTCTCCTGTCTTAGGGACCCAGTGGCCGAGTGCCCCAGCGCCTCTGGAAGCAGAAGCTGGGACCCCGAGTCTGTGCCCTATCTAGAGGGCCTGACCCCGGCCCCGGGGGGCAGCTGGGACCAGGACGAGGACAGTGACTCCACTACCAGTTCCAGCTCTGACGGTGGCGACGCCCCTGATGATACCAGCAACTCCTCTGTGGTGAGTTGGGGCAGGAGGGGGGCATGCGGGTTGCTGACCCTCCGTGCCAGCCCTGGGGTCTCCCTCACCCCTCCAGCCCGGGGCTGAGTCTCTCTCTCCACCAGGATCGGGGCCAGGGGCTTAAGGGGCCGAGGAGGGGCTGAAACAATAGTACAGGCACTGAAGAAGTACAGGGGAGGGCGTCTGCCTAGCATGCAACCCACCCGGTTCCATCCCCGGTGCCTCATCTGGTCCCCTGAGCCCGCCATGAGTGATTCCTGAGTGTGGAGCCAGGAGTCAGCCCTGAGCATCGTCGGGTGTGACCCAAACACCAAGAAAAAAAGCAAAAAGAGACTGTGGAGGCCAAACTGGTGCTTGGAGTCACCCGGACGTGAAGGTTCAGGGTTTCTGCAGGGCTGGCCCCGGTGCTGAGGCTTGGCTGGAAAAATGGAGAAGTTTCCGTCGGTGGGGAGCTCTGTGAGCATCACGGGACAAGGGGGAGGGGGAGTGCTTGGGGAACCGTCTGCAGTGCCAGGCATGGGTCAGGGTCAGGACGGCTGCAGAGCCAAGGACTTACCTTTCTTTTTTTTTCTGCTTTTTGGGTCACACCCGGCGATGCACAGGGCTTACTCCTGGCTCTGCACTCAGGAGTTACTCCTGGCGGTGCTCAGGGGACCATCTGGGATGCTGGGAATCTAACCCGGGTCGGCCGCGTGCAAGGCAAACGCCCTACCCACTGTGCTATTGCTCCAGCCCCAAGGACTTACCTTTCTTCTTCTGGTTTTGGCTTTGGGGCCACACTCAGTGGAACTCGAGCTTATTCTGGACTCTGCACTCAAGGGTCACGCCTGGCGAGGCCCGGCGGACAATACAGAGTGCCAGGGATTGAACTTGGGTCAGCTGCGTGGCCAGCAAGCGCCCTCCCTGCTGTACTTTTCACCAGTCACACGCTCCTCTTGCTGCTTTCAAATCTGAAGATAGTCCAGCGGGGAGGGTGGTTTGCCTTGCACGCAGCCGACCCGGGTTCGATTCCCAGCATCCCATAAGGTCCCCTGAGCTACCGCCAGGAGTGATTCCTGAGTGCAGAGCCAGGAGGAATCCCTGAGTATCGCCAGGGGAGACCCAAAAAGAAAAAAAAAAAGAAATCAGAACTCAGAGTTGAGGGGTGCTGGGCTTGGCATACTGGTGCCCTGGCCCAGACCCCACCAGCCAGAAAAGATGGGACCGGGGGAGCCCTTAGCCTGGGGGATTCCCGGGCCCCATCTCCCAGTGCTGTTGGGGGTGGGAGCACAGCAGGGGGATGCTTGCCTTGAACACAGCCGACCAGGGTTCAATCCCCGGCACCCCCTGGGGTTGATGGTCCCTCGGGACTGATTCCTGAGTGGAGAGCCAGAGGTAACTGGCCCCCTCCTCAAAAAAGTGCTATTGGGGCAGGCCAGAAGAGGCAGGTCAACCTGAGACCCTGAAGGCTTGGGGCACTTGGAATAAACCCCTAGGGAGTGGGCGTGAGCCCCCCAGGTGCCCCCTGCATCTCTGACCTCCAGGTCTTATGCCAGCCCCTTCTGGTGCAGTCACGGTGATCAGGACCCTGGCCCCGACCCACCCCCCTGCATTTGGGATGACTGGGACGCTTCATCTAGGCCAAGGGGTTGGTTTGTTTGTGGCATACCCGGGCTGCTCAGGGCTTACTCCTGGCTCAGGTCAAGGGACCACAGGGGGTGCTGGGTATTGAACCCAGATTGGCCACATGCAAGGCAAACTCCCCCCTGCTCTGTCCTGTCGCTGTGACCCCCGTTTAAGGGCAAGGAAAGGGAGTCTCAGGAGGGAAAGCCACACAGCTGGGCCTGAACCCCGTGTCCCTTGGCCTGGGACTGTAGCTCAGCGGCAGAGCTTATGAGGCCCTGGACTCAATCCCTGGCCCCCCCCAAAATAAAAAAAGCGGGACTGGAGTGATAGCATAGCGGGGAGGGCGTTTGCCTTGCATGCAGCCGACCCGGGTTCGACCCAGGTTCCCAGTATCCCATAGGGTCCCCCGAGCACCACCAGGAGTGATTCCTGAGTGCAGAATCAGGAGGAACCCCTGTGTGTCTCCGGGTGTGACCCCCCACAAAAAAAAAGAAAAAAAAGCAAGGTGGGAGATGGCGCAAAGGCTGAGGAACGTGCCGTGGCCTGGACCCTGGTTCCAATCCCAGCATCCGAGCACGGCAGAGGGCGCCCTCAGCGCTCCGGGCGTGGCCCCTAGGCACAGCGTTTACCAGAGAAGGATCTTTGGATTCTGTGTGTGTGTGTGTGTGTGAGTGTGTGTGTGTGTGTGTATGCGTGTGTGTGTGTGTGTGTGTGTGTTGGGGGGCGGGAAGTCCTATGTTAGTCGGACCCCTTTGGATTAAAACCAATTCCCTTACCAGAGAAGGATCTTTGGATCGTGTGTGTGTGTGTGTGTGTGTGTGTGTGTGTGTGTTGGGGGGCGGGTAGTCCTATGTTAGGACCCCTTTGTATTGAAACCAATTCCCTCTCTGGGTGGGATGAAAGTAAACCCACTTAGCACCGGCCTCAAGCCAAGTACTGGGTACACAGCGGTGCTATTTCTTTTAAAATTTTTTTATTTATATGGGGGCCAGAACGGGTAATGCGTTTGCTTGCACTCCCATGGAGTCCCCCAAGCACTGCCAGGAGTAACCCCTGAGCATCACTGGGTGTGACCTGAAAAGAAAAAAAAGTTTTAATTTATTATTATTTTGGCTTTTTGGATCTCACCTCGCGATGCTCAGGGGTTTCTCCTGATGGGCTTGGGGGCCCATGTGGGATGCCAGGGATTGAACCTGGGCCAGAAGCATGCAAGGCCAATGCCCTCTCTTGCACAATTTTCTTTTTTATAAATTATTTTATTTATTTATTTTTTGCTTTTTGGGTCACACCCGGCAATGCCAGGTTACTCCTGGCTCATGCACTCGGGAATTACTCCTGAGGTGCTTGGGGGACCCTATGGAATGCTGGGAATCAAACCCAGGTCGGCCGCATGCAAGGCAAACACCCTACCCGCCGTGCTATCGCTCCAGCCCCCCTTTTTGTTTTGTTATTCTGGACGCATCCAGGGGTGTTCAGCGATGTCCCGGCGGTGCTTAGGGGACACTGTGTGGTGTGGGGAATCGACCCTGGGTCTTTCCTGCCCGCCGGCAGCTGCACTTCCCTGTCGGTTCCTTTCCCTTCCTCCCATCTGCCCGGTGTGGGCAGCTCAGGCCCCGGGCCCTGTCCTGCCTTTCCGACGTGGGTCCTCCCTTTCCCTAGGGGTGGCAGGAGAGACACGGCTGCGAGCATCTCCCCACCATGATCCCGAGGAAGACGCAGGAGGGGCCCAGAGCAGACAGTGCTCGCCCAGCTGCAGTGCCCGCCCGGTCCCCCGCGGGAGAAGACGCCTCTGGACAGAGGAAGGAGGGTGAGTCCTCGGGCCCCGGGGCGGTGATGGCAGGTGCTCCTCCTCCTGGTGGCCTGAGTCCTGCTCTTTGTCACGGCTTCTAGTGCCTTTGCAGTGGTGCCTCATCTAAGCCAGGGGAACGTTGCTCAGAAAATGGGTGCTTGAGGGGCCAGAGCGATAGCACAGCGAGGAGGGCGTTTGCCTTGCATGCGGCCAACCAGGTTCAATCCCCAGCATCCCATAGAGTCCCCCAAGCACCACCAGGAGTGATTCCTGAGTGCAGAGCCAAGAGGAACCCCTGAATATCGCTGGGTGTGACCCAAAAAATCCATAAAGATAGGGGGCTGGAGAGATAGTACAGCAGGGAGGGCATTTGCCTTGCACGCGGCCGACCCGGGTTCGATTCCCAGCATCCCATATGGTCCCCTGAGCACCGCCAGGAGTAACTCCTGAGTGCAGAGCCAGGAGTAACCCATGAGTATCCCCGGGTGTGACCCAAAAAGCAACAAAAGAAAAAAGAGAAAAAAAGAAGAAGAAGAAGAAGAAGAAAGAGCCAGGGGCTGGAGTGATTCAGTGATAGTAGAGTATTTGACTTGCATGTGGCCAACCCAGGTTCAATCCCCGGCATCCCCCGCATCTCATATGGTCCCCTGAGTACTACCAGAAGTGATTCCTGAGTGCAGAGACAGGAGTAATCCCTGAGCATCGCTGGGTGTGACCTAAAAAAAAGCAAAAAAAAAAAAAAATGCTGACATAGATGGGATGACCTGGAAGTAAAAAGTCTGAGGGGGTGGGGGGCTGGAGCGATAGCACAGTGGGTAGGGTGTTTGCCTTGAACACGGCCTACCTGGGTTCGATCCCTGGCATCCCATAGGGTCCCCTGAGCACCGCCGGAAGTAATTCCTGAGTGCAGAGCCAGGAGTCACCCCTGAGCATCTCTGGGTGTGACCCAAAAAGCAAAAATAAATAAATAAATAAAAGTCTAAGGGGAGGGGCTGGAGAGATCATACAGTGGTTAAGACACTTGTCTTATACAAGGCCTATCTGAGTTTGATCCCTGGCACCCCATACAGTCCCCTGAGCACCACCAGGAGTGATCCCTGTGCAGAGTCAGGGGTAAGCCGTGAGCACAACCAGGTGAGTCCATTCCACACAAAAAAAAAAAGAAAGGCTAAGAAACGAGGCATCAGGCATGGTGGGATGGTGGGAATCCAGGTACTCACAGTCTCTGTTGGACCCTCTCCTGACAGTGACCACAGGCCTGTGGCTGTCCACTCCCGCTGGAAGAGGCCGCAGCTGCCCAGGACTTATGACCCAGGGACCCAGCATGGTCCAATGGTCCATATGCCCAGCTTGGCAGTCAGTGAGGGGGCCTGCCCGGCCTCCCCACACCCCAGGGCCTGAGAGTAAGGGAGGGAAGTGGCCCAAAGGACATCAGGGTGGCGTCCTTCCCAGTAAGAGGTAGCTGGGTGCTGTGACAGGGGCCCTGTAGTGTGTGGCCCCAAAGTGGTGACCGCTATCCCCTGGACAGTGTCAGTCTCCTGCTGTGCCCACGGCAGTGTCATGGGGTGTGGCCAGGGTTTCCCGGTCCTAGCGCTGGTGGGCGGTGGGTGTGGCCCAAAAACAAACAAAAAAAAAAACCAAATAGACCCAGCCAGGACTAGAGAGATAGGAAAGTAAAGAAATCACTGGCCTTGCACACAGCCGACCTGGGTTCAATCCCCAGCACCCCAGAGGGCCCCTTGACCACCACCGGGAGTGGCCCCTGAGGGCAACGCCACGAGTCAGCCCTAAGCACCAAAGGTTTGGCTCAGCAACAACAAAGAAAGGGAGTTTGGGCTCTTCCTTCTCTGGCCACTGGGAGCCTGGAAGGTTCTAGAGGCGGGCAGTGACGCTGCGGGGGCTTACGGTGCCCAACTGGGGCGACAGAGAGACCCCAGGCGTGGGGCTGGGGGGGGCCCACCTCGTGCTCTCTGCGCTGGGCAGAGTCCCCAGGGGCGACGTTCAGTTCCTCCTGCAGAGCCGTCAGGGAACAAGATATTCCGTCTCAGTCTCAGCCCTCAGATCACGCCTCGATTACACGGGGAGGTACCTTGACCAGTCGGCACCGGGCCCAAGAGCCGCCCTGCATGTCAGCCAGGCGCGGGGGACACCGGGGACCCTCCTAGGAGGCACGTGTTCCCCGGCTTCATGGGCTGGTCCTGGGAACGTCAGACAAACCCCAAAGCAGTGGTGAGGTGGGGGCAGGGAGGAGCTGACCCCCTGATTTCTCACGGAAGGGCAGAAAGGGCCAAGAGCTGTTCTCCAGGGAAAGCGGCTGGGGGGAGGTCTCTCCTGGGGGGGCCCCTTGGCACCCCATTCCATTCCATCCCCAGCACTGTAGGTCTGAGTACCATCAGGTGGGGTCCCCAGGGCAACAAACGCGAATGAAGGAGTAAAACTGGAGGTGGGGAGGTGGGGGGGATGGGAGGGCGGTGGGGGCCAGAGCAATAGCACAGCAGAGAGGGCGTTGGCCTTGCACGCGGCCGACCCAGGTTCGAGTCCCAGCATCCCACAGGGTTCCCCGAGCACCGCCAGGAGTAATTCCTGAGTGCAGAGCCAGGAGGAACCCCTGAGCATCGCCAGGTGTGATCCAAAAACCAAAACCAAAACCAAAATCTCGAGACGGGAGATGCGTTCAGAGCGGCCACAGCAGGGAGGGTAGATGCATGTGTGGTCACGGGGAGGACAGGACAGTCCAGGTGGCCACAGGCGGCCACACGGTGGACATGGATGGTCCCGCGAGGAAGGGGTTGTGTTCCTTTGCTTTTGGGTCACACCCAGCGGTGCTCAGGGCAGATTCCTGGCTCTGCGCTCAGGGATCACTCCTGGCAGTGCTGGGGGGGGGCAACTGAGCGCTGGGGATCGAATCAGAGTTGGCCACGTGCAAGGCAAGCACCTTAATAACCCCTGTACTATCTCTCTGGGTTTTTTTTTAAATTAGTGAAACACTATGACGTACACTTGTAGACTTACAATGCTTGGGTTTCAGTTATATAATGATCAGTACCCACCCCTCCACCAGTGCCCATTCTCCACCTCCAATGCTCCCAGCAGCCCTCCCACCCCCACCCCATCCCCCCCACCCCACTCCACCCCACTGTGTGGCAGGGTATTCCCTTTTGCTCTCTCTTTCCTTCAGGGTGTTGTGGTTTGCAATAGAGGTATTGAGTGTCTGGCCCCTAGAGTTTTAAAATGCTCTTTACGTTTTGCTGGGGAGGGGGACACACCCAACGATGCCCAGGGGTTGCTCCTGGCAGTGCTCCCCGAGTCCCGTGGACCATATGGGATGCTGGAGATCGGACCCGCGTCAGTGGCATGCAAGGCTGAGCATCCTCCATCAGTACAATCACTCCAGCCCGAGTTTGGTTTTGTTTTCAGCGGTGCTTTTCAGGGCTTACTCCTGTCTCTGTGCTCAGGGCCCACTCCTGGCAATGAATAGCAGTTGGCCACGTGCAACCCTTACCTGTACTTATCTCTCTGACCTATGATTTTGTTGTTGTTGTTGTTTTGGGACTACACCCAGCAATCATCAGTGAGCAAGGCTTAGCCCTGGCTTAGTGCTCAAGGCTTACTCCTAAGGGACTCAGGGGACCATATGGGATCCCGGGGATCGAACCTGGGTCAGCCGAGTGCAAGGCAAGCCCCCTCCCTCCTGTACTAGGGCTCCAGCCTCATGATTTTCGGGGTTAATTTCTTTTTCTTTTCCTTTTTGGGTCACACATGGCGATGCTCAGGGGTTCCTCCTGGCTCTGCACTCAGGAATTACTCCTGGTGGTGCTCGGGGGACTATATGGGTTGCTGGGGATCGAACCTGGGTCGGCCGCATGCAAGGCAAACGCCCTCCCCGCTGGACTATCACTTCAGCCTCTCCTGATTTTATTTGTAAAGGGAAATAGTTTAACTGAGGGCGGCTAGTTCTGAGGACTCCGTGGGATTCTCCAGGGAGAGAGACGGGAGGGCAGCCGGGCCGGGACCCCTGGACGTCCTCCCTTACGTTGGGCTTCCCCCCTCTCCAGATCCCGGTGGCGGGTGCCGGAGTGCTGGCCAGCGCTGGGCAAAGCTCCGGGGAGAGAGTGGCCACTTCCTGGACCGCCACCGGCCCGCGCTCAGCCCAGCCCCCGGCACGGATGCCCCAGGGGGGCCGCGCAGTGGCACCACCCCGACCCCTGGTCACCGTGGCTCTGCCCACAGGGACACTGTCCCGGCTGCTTCCACACCGCCTGAGGCCCGACCCTCCCCGTGGGACAAGGCCAGGACCTTAGTCACCCCCCAGGAGCCCTCCCGGGCCTCTGCCACCCAGCACAGCCGCCTTGGAGCCCCGTCCCCCTCCAGGGTCGCCCAGAGGGACAACGCCAGAGCCTCCTCCGCCCAGCGCAGCGACTCGCAAGGTTCCTCACCCACCAGAGCCCCCCAACAAGAACATTCTAGAACTTCATCCCTCCAGCAGGAAAACCCTTCAGACCCTTTTCCTCACCCACAGGACAGGCACAGAACAACTTGTAGCCAACAGGACCAGCCCAGAGCCTCCTCACCCCACAGAACCCCTCAAAGGGGAACTTCCAGAACATTCTGTGCCCAACAAGACAGCCTCAGAGCTTCCTCGCCCCACAGAACCCCCCAAAAGGAAAATTCCAGAACATTTGGTGCTCAGCGGGACAACCCCAGAGCCTCATCTCCCAACAGATCCCCCCAGAAGGAAAATTCCAGAACATTCTGTGCCCAGCGGGACAACCTCAGAGCCTCATCTCCCAACAGATGCCCCCAAAAGGAAAATTCCAGAACATTCTGTGCCCAACGGGATAACCCCAGCACTTCTTCACCCATCAGAAGCCCCCAAAAGGAAAACTCCAGAACATTCTGTGCCCAGCGGGACAACCCCAGCACCTCCTCGCCTAACAAGTCCCCCCAGAAGGAAAACTCCAGAACATTCTGTGCCCAGCGGGACAACCCCAGCACCTCCTCGCCTAACAAGTCCCCCCAGAAGGAAAACTCCAGAACATTCTGTGCCCAGCGGGACAACCCCAGAGCCTCGTCTCCCACCAGAACCCCCCAGCGGGACAACCCAAGGACTTGTGCCCCGCAGAGCAGCCCCAGGAGCTCCTCGACCTCACGGGACGCCCCCAGACCCTCCTGCGGCCAGCGGGGTAACGGCCGGCCCTCGCCCACCCCCCGGGAGCCCCCGCCGGCCTCTCCCCCGGGGAGGGACAACCCGGGGGCCTCCCCGCCCGGCCGACCCCGCCGGGGCGCCCAGCAGGGGCCCCCCCCGGAGCCACTCCCCGCACCGGACCAACCGGGACATCCCCTGGGCCTCCTTCCCGCTGCGGCCCACCCAGGGCGACGGCCCCCGGCCCGCGTCCCCCGCGCGCGCCAAGCAGAGCGAGGTGCCCTGGGCGTCCATCGCGCTCCGGCCCACGCAGGGCGACCGCGCCCCCCGCCGCCGCGTCCCCCGCCCGGCCGGCCCGGACCCCCTGCCAGCCCCCGGGCCCGCCGGGCGCCCCCCCGCCCCGCCGCCCGCACTGCGCCCCCGGCCCCCATGGAGCCGCCGCCCGCCTGCGCCGTGTGCATCGGGCACCGCGACGCCCCGCGCGCCTCGTCGCCGCCCCGCCACCTGCAGCACGACCCCTTCCCCTTCTTCCCCGACCCCCGCGCCTCCGAGGGCGACGGGCCCCGCCACGAGCCCCCCTACGTGCCCCCCGCCGTGTGCATCGGCCACCGCGACGCGCCCCGCGCCTCGTCGCCGCCGCGCCACGCGCAGTTCGACCCGTTCCCGTTCCTGCCCGACGGGGCGGGCGCGCAGGACGCGGGGCCGCACCACGAGCCGCCGCAGTTCCCGCCGTTCGCCTGCATCGGGCACCGCGACGCGCCGCGGGCCTCGTCCCCGCCGCGCCAGCCCCCCGAGCCCGGCCCGCTGCTGCGCGACCCGGCCCGGGCCAGCGCCGAGAGCCTCGCGGCCGCCTCCGCGGACCCCCCGCACGCGCCCGGCCCCGTGTGCATCGGCCACCGCGACGCGCCCGGCTTCTCGGCGCCGCCGCGCCAGGGCCCCGCCGCCGAGCCGGGCCTCTGCCTCCAGGACGCCCCCGGGGCCAGCCTGGAGAGCCTGGTCGCCGCCTCCGACTCCCTGCGCGGCTCGCCGGGGCCGCCCGTGTGCATCGGGCACCGGGACGCGCCGCGCGCCTCGTCCCCGCCCCGCCACCCGCCCAGCGACCTGGCGCTCCTGGCGACCTCGCCGCCCCCGGGCGGCTCGGGGGGCTCCCGGGGCTCCGCGCCCCCCGGGGAGACCAGGCACAACCTGGAGCGGGAGGAGTACTCGGTGCTGGCCGACCTGCCGCCCCCCCGGAGGCGGGTCCAGCGGGAGCCCCCCCAGCCCCGGCCCCCCAGCCCCGGCCGCGCCGAGGTGGAGCGCCTCTTCGGGCAGGAGCGCAGGTGAGCTGGGCTGAGCCTCGGACAGGCCACGTGACTGACGTGGGGGACCTCGGGGCCCCTCGCCGTCCCCCGCGTCTGCAGAATCTGGCGGGGGCCGCGGGAGGACCCGGGGTCAGTCTGGCGGGCTGGGTTCCAACGCTGGGTCACCTCCAGGCCTGTGAGGTCTGTCCGCGTGATCGCGCCTCCCTGAGCCTCAGTTTCCTCGCCTGTGAAATGGGTAGATCGCTAGCACGCTTGTTTCAGAGACTCGACTCCCAAGGGCTTATTCCCTCCCACAGCGACAAGTTTCCTTGTTCCTCCTTGGACACGAGGGAGAAGAAAGTCCCCTAGGTTCTCTTCCGCCTTAACAACGAAAACCCCCAGGCATTTCAGAAAACAGAAATGGCAGTTCTAGTATTATTTTTGGTTTGGGGTCCACACCCGGTTGTGCTCAGGGATCACTCGGGGGAGGGGGGCTTGGGGTGTGGGGTGCCAGGATTGAATGTCCATCAGCTACTTGCAATGCAAATGCCTTAACTGCTGAACCAGTTCTCTGGCACCAGAAATAGCAATTTACTTTTATTTTCTGTTTGTTTGCTTTGGGGCCACACCCAGCGATGCTCAGGGCTTACTACTGGTTCTGCGCTCAGGAATTACTCCTGGTGATGCTCGGGGGACCATATGGGATGCCAGGGTTGAACGCAGGTCGGCTGCATGCAAGGCAAGCGCCCTATCCACTGTGCAGTAGCCCTATACACTGTAAATATCTCCGGCCCTTAGAAATAGCAATTTTTTTAGGAGTGCGGGGGTCACACCCGGCATTGCACAGGGGTTACTCCTGTCTCTGCACTCAAGAATTACTCCTGGTGGTGCTCAGGGGACCATATGGGATGCTGGGAATCGAACCTGGGTCAGTCGCATGCAAGGCAAACGCCCTACCTGCTGTGCTATTGCTCCAGCCCCGAAATAGCAATTTTAAAAGCAGAACCAACCCACATGTTTGTTTCCTTTTTTTTTTTTTTTGGTTACACCCTGCAGTGCTCAGGAACTACTCCTGGCTTTGCACTCACGAGTGACCGCTTGGTGGGGTTCGGGGGATCCTATGGGGTGCCAGGGATCAAGCCAGGGTCTGTTGCATGCAGGGCAAGTACCTTAACTCCTGTACTATCTCTGCAGCTGCAATTATGTGTGTGTGTGTGTGTGTGTGTGTGTGTGTGTGTGTGTGTGTGTTGGGCCATTCCTGGCAGTGCTCGGAGGTCTTCCCTAGCAGTGCTCAAGGAATCGTGGGGTGCGAGGGATCCATCTGGCGGCTCTTACGCGCAGGCTGACACTTGGCCCTTGCGCTCTCTGCCTGGCCTCAGTTGTGTGCTTCAGACGAAAGCTCCCAGAATCACAAGCCTTCTACAGGCCTGAAGCCTGGGTGTCCTGCGAGGCCCCTGGTGGGTGGAACCAAGGCTCAGACCTTTGTGACTCAGCCCAAGGGCTGAGTTCCCACACGCCTGGCCAGGAATGTTTCCTCCTGGTCCGTCTGAGGTTTCTCCCTCCAGCACTTCCCGCTCTGAGCCCACAAGGATCCAGGCGCCTGGAAATCTGTCAGGGCTGAGAGCAACAAAAATGTCAGTCTGAGACCAGAGAGATAGGAAGGAGATAAGGCGAGCGCCTCGCACGGGGTTGCGACCCCAGTTTGGCCAGTCCCCAGCACCACAGAGGGCTCCCCAAACACTCCAGGGGGTCTCCTAAGCGCAGAGCCAGGAATAGCACCTGAACAACGCCAGGTGTGGCCCCAAACACCACAAATAAAAAAGAATAAGTAGGGTCTGGAGCCATAGCACAGCGGGGAGGGCGTTTGCCTTACACGCGGCCAACCAGGGTTCGATTCCCAGCATCCCATATGGTCCCCCGAGCACCGCCAGGAGTCATTTCTGAGTGCAAAGCCAGGAGTAACCCCTGTGCATTGCCAGATGTGACCCAAAAAGGCAAAAAAAAAAAAAAGTAGGTTGGGAGGACTCAAAGCTTTTGGTGTACCATTGGGTAAATTGTGGTATCTGCACCCAGACCACATGGCACCGACCCCGCACCTATGTTTTGGTGTCTTTGGTATCTGGAATTCTTCCTCTCTTTTGGAATTCCTGCTCAGACCCCATTTTCTTTCTTTCTTTCTTTTGCAGGGAAGGAGGGGTACAAAGGGTCTACTTCTGGTTTGGTCTGGGGTGGTTGGGGTTGCTCTTGGCAGTGCCTGACTACCTCACAGGGCCCCACCTGCCTGAGGCCAGGCTTTCTCTTAGATTTGCATCTGCATGAGAAAACTTATCTCTTACTGGCCCAATTTCCTGCCCCACTAAATGTGATCCATTTCCTGTCTAGGTGACAACGTGTCTCCTCCCTAGCACCTTTGGGCTTTACAATAAATACCGAGGTGGGGCCATAAAGATAGCACAGTGGTTAGGGCAGGGCGCTCGCCTTGCGTGGTCCGCTAACTGGCTTTGAGCCCAGGTACTCCATATGGATCCAGAAGTGATTCCTGGGCACAGAGTCAGGAATAAGCCTTGAGGACTGTGGGTTGTGGCCTCCCCCAAAAAACAAAACAAAAAACACCAATATGTACAGGGCAGGGACTCTACAAGCTTTGTATACAGGAGGCTGGGTTCAATCTCTGGCACTGTGTGGACCTTGGGCACCCCCTGGTTCTCCCCCCCCAACACACTGTACACACAAAGAAATACACCTCAGCCCCTAGTTGGTCCTTTTGTTCTTGAGCTCTGGACCTCCGACCTCCTGGTTATCTGTGTCTGTGGTTGGTAGCGGGTCCCCTCTGTGGAAATGTGGGGTTAGGTACTCGCTGTGACAGGATAGACCCAGTAGAGTCCCAAACACCCCTTTTGTCTTTGCCCCTTTTTTTTTTTTTTTTTTTTGCTTTTTGGGTCACACCCGGCGATGCACAGGGGTTCCTCCTGGCTCTGCACTCAGGAGTTACTCCTGGTGGTGCTCAGGGGACCCTATGGGATGCTGGGAATCGAACCCGGGTTGGCTGCGTGCAAGGCAAACGCCCTGCCCGCTGTGCTATCTCTCCAGCCCCTGTCTTTGCCCTTTGGATGATGAGTATTTTTGTTCTGATGAAGTATGCGTGCTTTTTTTTTTTTAACGGAATCACGGTGAGATACACAGTTACAAAATTGTTCAGGGTTGGGTTTCAGTCATACAATGTTCCAACACTAGTCCCTTCACTGGTGTACAGTTCCCAACCAGATTCCCGCCTCTAGAACAGGAACGTTTCATCTCTTCTCTCTCTCTCTCTCTCTCTCTCTCTCTCTCTCTCTCTCCCCCTGCCTCCTTCCCTCTCCTCTCTTCCCTCTTTCCTCTTTCCTCTCTCTTTTTCTCCCTCTCTCTCCTCTCTCCCTCTTTCCCTCTTCTCTCTCTCCCTCTCTTCCCTCTTCCCTCTCTCTTCTCTCTTCTCCTCTCTCTCTCTCTCCTCTTAGGCATTGTGGCTTGTGACACAGTTCCTGAGAGGTCCCTTCACCTCCTTCCAACACCCAGTTCTCGTCCAGAGCGATCATTCCTGACTCTCATTGTTCTACTTAGTGGTCCAACACGCATACCGTTATCGGCATCTGCTAACCCAGCAGAATTAAAACCCAACAGAAATTCTTTCATTTTCTTTTTTTATTTTGTTTTACTTTGGGGGGGGGCTGGAACGATAGCACAGTGGATAGGCTATTTGCCTTGAACCTGGCCGACCCGGGTTTGATCCCTGGCATCCCACAGGGTCCCCTAAGCACCACCAGGAGTCATTCCTGAGTGCAGAGCCAGGAGCAACCCCTGAGCATCACCGGGTGTGACCTAAAATGCAAATAAATAAATAAATTTGGTTGTGAGGGGATTTCCCAAGCAGTACTGAGCGGGTCTGGGGGTGACAGTATGACCGAACTGACTCGTAGGCCAGCCCTGGGTGCTGGTTCCGGCTGGTTATCCCAGTGGTGGTCGGGGGTCTCCAGGGTCAGTCCTGGCAGTATGGAGTGGGGGCTTGTGGGATCTGGGAAACAGTCAACATTGGCGACCTTGCCCCCAGTGCATTTCCCCCCCGACTTTTTGGGTCATATCCAGCTGTGCTCAGGGGTTCCTCCTGGCTCTGCACTCAGGAATTACTCCTGGCGATTTTTAGGGAACCAGATAAGATGGCGGGGGTCAAACCTGGGTGGGCTGTGTGCAAGGGAAATGCCTTGTCCACTGCACCATCACTCCGGCCCCCCAGGGCATTGATTTTTCTTGCTTGGTTGGTTGGTTTGGGGGCCACACCCAGGAGTGCTGAGGGCTGGCTCCTGGCTCTGTGCTCAGGGGTCACTCCTTGGAGGTGCACAGGGCACCATCACTGATGCCAGGAATCAAACTGAGGTCGGCCTTAAGCCCTGTTCTGTCTCTCCAGGCCCAGTGGTGTTCTTAAACCTATGAACGCTTCTGTGAGGATGGGGCAGAAGTTGGGGGCTCGGAAAGGGGGGTGGGCATCTGTGCGCTTGGCTTTCTTTTCTCACTCCTCCTTTCCATGGGCATTTACTGAGCATCTACTGTCTGCGCGGGGCTTGCCACAGCTGGGGATGTTTTCCAAAAGGGCTGTCACCTTAGGCAGTCAGATTGGGGCCTTTCGTCCTCCCCTGTGCCCTGCTGACCCCAGATGCCTTGGAAAACAATTACTTTTCTTTGTTTTTTCTTTGTTTTTTTGGGGGGCCGCATCCGGTGTCGCTCAGGGCTGACTCCTTATTCCTGGTTCTGCACTCAGGAGGGACCCCATGGGGTGCTGGGGGTCGAAACCAGGTTGGGTGCGTGCAGGGCAAGGGCAAACCCCCTGTCTGCTGTACTATCTCCCCTGCCCCCATCCTTTGGAATTTCTTATCTTAGAATCGAGTAAGCCTGTCCTGGCCTCTGGAATTCCAAACAGAGCCTTCATGGAATGTGCCGGAACTGCTGGGTTCTGTCTCTTCAGACTCTCTGACCCAAGGTCCAAAGCGAATGCGAGTCCCTGGTCACTGTCACATGGTGGGGGCAGACACAGGACCTGGTGCCTCCTGCCCGGCCACCTGAGACCTTCCTACATCATCATAAACGCCTATCTCTTGGGAGGCATCTCAGAATCTTCCAGAACACTTTCTGAGTTGAATAAACCAAAACAAGGGGTGTACGCTGGAGTTAGTCCAGAAAGCGCTTCTCCCCTTTCTTGTTTTGGGTTTTTGGGCCACACCAGGCAATGCTAAGTTGTTACTCCTGGCGGTGCTCGGGGGACCATAGGGGATGCCGGGGATCGAACCTGGGTTGGCCGCGTGCAAGGCAAATGACCTCCCTGCTGTGCTGTCGCTCTGATGGCCGTTGCCTCTTCTCTTGGCCTTGCTTAGAGCAGTTTGACACAGCACCGAGATGACTTGGTGTTTTTAAAGGCAAAGGCTGGGATCAGGGAAGCGAGCCCTGGGAGGGGGGAGGCGAGCCTGGGAGACCCCAACCTTACCCCAGGGACAGGAAGAATCGAGTAGGGGGAGCTCCCATGGCCCGCCCCCTCCCATCCCTGCCTCTCCAATGAGATGGACAGCAGTTTGGCAGGTACTGTGTTCAATAAAGGCTTGCCTGGGCGACACTGCCTCCAGCACGGAGTACATAGTAGATGCTCAATAAATCTTCGTTCCCACAAGAACCAGTCTAACCTTTGTCTGGGCAGGAGCGGTGGGCTGGGCTGTGAGCAACAGGGTGTCCTGCTATGGCTGGAAGCACCCAGCCGGGTGCCCCTACCTGGGGTCCCCCCCTTTTCCCATTCTCATTCACAGAAGCCTCATGAGCTCAGCAGAGGGGGGCAATCCCATTTTTCAGAAGGGGAAACTGAGGCTCGCACTAGGTGCGCGGGGTGGCTCCCAGAATCTCCTCCTGGGGGTGAGAGGAGAGGAGCTGGGTGTGGGGTGCTGGGGGGGCCCTCAGAGGGGTGCTTGCCTTTGCTCTTAGGAAGTCTGAGGCGCCGGGGGCCTTCCAGGCCCGGGAGGAGGGGCGCTCGCGGCAGTCGGGCCCCGGCCAGATGCAGCTTCTCCGGACACAGTCCAGCCCTGCTCTGGGCAGGGAGGTGAGCGCTGCCTGCGGGCGGGGTCCCCTGCTCCCCCAAGGGCTCACCCCTTCCCCGGCACCACCCGAGGAGAGGCCCCACCGGAGTCCTGCCCCCCCAGCCCCCGAGGGCAGCCGCTCAGCCAGCTGAGCAGACCCCCAAGTCCCCCTTTCCAGACAGCCCTTCCCAGCGCTGAGCGAGGCCACCGCAGGGCGGCGCTTGCCTTGCACGCATGTGGCCCGAGTTCAGTCCCCCGCCCCCGAGGGGTACCCTGTGCCCGCCCGGAGTGAGCCCTAAGGCTGCTGGTGTGGCCCCCAAACGAGGCTGCCCGTCCCTGCGCAGTCAGTGGGGCCCGGGGGTGGGCAGTCTTTTAAAGAGAAGCTCATAGGACATGCCCAGTCCAGTGGCATCTGGGTGGCAGAAATGCCAGCCCCAGACCCCAGACTCTGGGATCCGTGGGTGTGTGTGTATGTGGGTCCGGAGGTGTGTATGTGGGTCCATAGGAGAGTGTGTTGGCCATAAGTGTGTATGTGGGTCCATAGGTGCTCGTGTATGTGGGTGTCTAGGTGTATATGTATGTGAGTCCGTGTGTGTGTGTGTGTGTGTGTGTGTGGATTCGTAGGTATGTGTGTATCCATAGATATGTGTGTGGGGGGTCCGTAGGTGCATGTATGTGGGTCTGTAGGTGTGTATGTGAGTCTGTGGGTTCGTGTGTATGCGAGTCCAGATGTGTGTATGTATGTGGGTCCGTGTGTGTGGGTCTGTGGGTGTGTATGTGAGTCCACATGTGTGTGTGGATGTGGGTCCGTAGGTTCTTGTCAGTGGGTGCATGTGGATGTGGTCTGTAGGTGTGTGTGCCCATAGGTGTGTGTGTATACAGATTCATAAGTGTGTGTGGGAGGGTCCACATAGGTGTGTGTGTGTGTGGGTCCGTTGGTGCGCGCGCGCGTGTGTGTGTGTGTGTGTGTGGAGGGGGGAAGTGAGCGGAGGGAGGGCGGCATTTGCGAGAGGGAGCCCCAGGGAGAGAAGATGAGATGAGCCGGTCTGGGTTCTTCTCTCGCCTGGTGCCAGGGATCGAGCCTGGGGGCTCACACATGCGCAGTCTCTGCACCTCACGGGGGTCCCGGGCCTGACCCTTAGTGCGTCCGAACCTGCTGCAAAGACGCGGCCGCCTCGCCCGGGGCCACATCCCAAATTCCTCTCCTCCTTCCACGGGGCCCCGACCCAGGGTCCTGGGGCCTCACCAGCCCCTGGCCTCGTTCTCAGGTGACCCCACAAGCAGAGCCTGCCCGCCGGAGCCGCGCAGACCCCAGGAGCCCCCAGAGGCGACCCCCAGACACCTCACCGCCCCCGAGGACCTCAGCCAGGACCCCCGAGAGAGAGCGGCGGGCCGAGAGCGTGCGGGGGCGAGACCCCGCAACCCCAAGACAGCCTGTGGGGGGCTGGTCGGGGCCGGACCCACCCACAGGCTGCCCGGCTGCCCACAGGCGCCCGGAGGGAAGCTGGACCAGCCTGGAGGAGGCGGCCCTGGACCGGGGCGCGCGAAACTGCACCATCGGGGCCCCGGAGGGAGCAGGGCGGGCTCCCCCCGGGGAGTCCGGGGGGCGTTGGGGGGAACTGGGTGCGCCCCCCTGCCACGGAGGACATTCAGGGGCCTGGGAGGCGGCCCCCCGGAATGGACCACGGGAGCCCCCGCACAGGACGGCCCCGAGGGGCTGGGGCAGCCTTCAGGAGCTGTTCGGCCCCCATCAGCCCAGGGGTCCCCCGGACAGCACCCGCGGGGGCCCCGCGGGGTTTTCAGCATCCCGGTGGCCCGAGACCCCCCCAGACAGAGGGCCCGGGGTGGCGTGCCCGCACCAGCCCGGCACCCCCGAGAAGCGCCCCGAGTTTGACTGGCGGGACCTGGTGGGCCTCCTGGGGGCGCGGGAACCCGCGGGGTCCCCCAGCCTCCCGCGGCTGTGCTGGGACCGGCTGCTGGAGCTGCTGCAGGCGCCGCTGCCCCGCAGGGACCCCGGGCCCACGCACGACCCCCAGGCGCCCGTGCCGCACAGCCAGCCCGAGGGCGCGATCCTGGCGCCCCTGCTCAACGGACACGACCCAGGCCAGGGGCCCCCGGGCGAGGGCCAGGAGCCCAGCCCTGCCTGCACCCCCGCCCCGTGGCCAAGCACCGAAGTGGACACCAGTGGCCAGGAGACGACGGTCCCTTGCGACCTGGAGGAGGCGCCCAGTTTGCCAGAGGAGAAGGTAAGTCCGGTGACCGCAGGGGCAGCGTCCTTGGCAAGGCTGCCTCTGCCCCCCGTCCCCCCCATGCCCCACCCGGCTCAGCTGAAGCCCCTTCTCATCCTGCCAGCGCCTGGGAAGGGGTGGACAGGGCCCACTCTGTGGGGGCCACGGCCAAGATGGGCGGTTCCCTGGAATGCTTCCCCCCTGGATTCTCCATCTCAAGCTCCTGAGAAAAGCTAATTGGCAGCTTCCAAGACACAGATGGGGTCGGGGTTGGCGGGGAGTTGCTGGAGCGATCATACAACGGGGAGGGCGTTTGCCTCGCATGCAGCCAACCCAGGTTCAATTCCCAGCATCCCATATGGCCCCCTGAGCCCACTTGGAGTGACCCCTGAGCTCAGAGCCAGGAGTCAGTCTCCCTGAGCACTGCTGGGTGTGTCCCCCCCTCAAAAAAAAGCCCGGAGCAATAGTACAGTGGGGAGTGCATTTGCTTTGCACCAGGCCGACCAGGGTTCGATTCTCAGCATCCCATATGGTCCCCTGAGCATCTCCAGAAATAATTCCTGAGTGCAGAGCCAGGAGTAAGCCCTGAGCATCGCATCGCCAGGTGGGACCCAAACAAAAAAAAACAAAGAAACAAAAAACCAGAGACCGTCAAAGCTGGTCCTGGCCTGAGTGGCATCAGGCAGTTCCCTGGGCAACTCTGGGCAGCAAGGTGCTGAGTCAGCCCATGGGTGCGGGGGCACCCCAGACTGACCTGGCCAAACAGGGGACAGATCAGAGCTTCCTTATTCTGGGGCCAGAGCCTTCGTACAGAGGGGAGGGCACTTGCCTGCCCACGGCTGACCTGCGTCTGCGCCCCAGCACCCCGCTATGGTCCCCTGAGCACCACCAGCAGTGATTCCTGAGTGCGGAGCCAGGAGTCAGCCCTGAGCATCACTGGGTGTGGCGAAAAAAAAAAATCCATCTTCGGGCCAGAGACCTTAGTCAGAGGTTAAAAGTGCTTCCTGGCACAAAGCCGAGCCAGGCTGAATCTCCGACAGCATGTGGATCCCCCCACATTGCTAGGGTCACTCCTGGGCACTGTAGGGTGTGGCCTGAAACCAAACCCAACACTGTCTGAGATCAGAGCCACGTTTGAGCACCCACAGACCCCGGGCCACCCACTGCGAGGCATGGCACCAATTCCTCCTAAGGAACGGAGCTCCCCAGCGGGTGGTGACTGGAGAATGACAGAGGTTTGTGGGAGGTGATGGGAGCAGGAATAGGGACAAAGAATGTGTGGGCGGGCGCCAGAACGATGGCACAGCGGGAGGGCGTTTGCCTTTCACGCGTCTGACCAGGGTTCGATCCCCAGCATCCCATAGGGTCCCCCAGCACCACCAGGAGTGATTCCTGAGTGCAGAGCCAGGAGGAACCCCGGAGTATTGCCAGGTGTGACCCAAAAAAGCAAAAAAAAAAGTGTGGAAGTGGATGATTAGATGGGTGATGTGGGACCCGGATGGCTGGCCCCCAAGAGCAGGCGTTGGCTCGCAGGGTGGTAGGTGGGTGCTCAACCCACCCAGGGAGAGATTCACACGACTGAGTGATGGATAACGGACAGACGGATGGACAGTGACGGTCAGTAGAGGCCAGATGGCGAGATCCGGGGTCCAGAAGAGAAGATGCGCGTAGTATGGGGTCACAGAGGTCGGGCAGACGAATGGGCAGTGTAGAAGGTGCTGGGTGGTCTCATGGGAACATGACCTAGAGCTGGAGGCGGGCTGGGCGCTGAGCGCGTGGCTGAGGGTTGGAGCCCCTGAACGGTTTCCATGTTTTTTTCTTGCAGTTACACTCAGAGGAGCCGGAGGAGTCAGACCCGAACCAAGGCCCAGATGCACCAGAGCAGAAGCAGAAGCAGGCTGACTCGGTAACGGGGCGCGGCGCGGGCAGCGGGGTGTGGGCATGGGAGAGTCTGGGTGTTCCCAGGTCAAGCCAAGGTGCCTCAGGGTCCCTGGTGAGGCCCCACGTCCAGGGCTTTGGGCCTGGGGGAGCTGGCTAAGGGGGCGCTGACCGGTCAGGCCTCTGCTTCCCAGTTGCTCAGTGACCCCTATAGAAGTTCCTGCCAGGTGCTGGAGAGATAGCACAGCGGGTAGGGCGTTTGCCTTGCATGCGGCCGACCCGGGTTCGATTCCCAGCATCCCATATGGTCCCCTGAGCACCGCCAGGAGGAATTCTTGAGTGCAGAGCCAGGAATAACTCCTGTGCATTGCCGGGTGTGACCCAAAAAGAAAAACAAAAAAAGAAGAAGTTCCCGCCAACCCTGGGGCTTGCTCCTGTGGGGTCCGAGGCAGGACCCCACTGTTCTAGGAATTGTCTGGGAGGAACTGAGGGTTCCCGGGCACTGGCACGGAGGGTGCAAAATGGCCTGGACGTGCGGTCAGCTGGGCCTGGAGGGTCCCCCGGAGCTGGGACTGGAGATGGAGCAGAGGGTGGGACCCGCCAGGCTGCCTTGGCCTCTGCAGTGGCCCTGCCTGCTGCACCCCGCCCCCCTCGACCTGCCAAACCCACAGTTCTCATCACTCACAGCCTCTGGGGAGGTGAGGTCACAGCTGAAGGCTGGGGGCAGGGCGGAGGGGGGGCAGGTTGCTGTTGTCCTGCTGTGTGTGCGCGTGCGCACAGTGCTCTCACACATGTCACCCCGGAGGGTCCCCAGTTTCCCTGCACGGGACCACATTGGGGGGATTCTCCCCAGCCCCTCACAGAAGGGCTAGGGGTTATCCCGGGTCAGCAGCCAATCAGTGGCCAGACTCAAGCTGGGAACCAGCCCTCTGCCCACGTTGCTGCCCCCACTCTGTGTGGACACCCCCGTCCCCCGGTGCTGATGAGTCCATCTCGCCTCACCCCTGCTGCGGTTTGGAGGCACAGAGCACTTCCAGCTCTCACGGGTGCCCTGATAATGCTGCCGTTCCTCTTTCTGGCTGATTTCTCCATACTTCCTGGGGCTACTTTTGTGAACAAAGAGGAACCAGCCGTCCAGGAGTCCCCTTCAGCTATCACAAAATAGTCGCATCGGGGCTGGAGAGGTAGCACAGCAGGGAGGGCGTTTGCCTTTCACGCGGCCGACCCGGGTTCGATTCCCAGCATCCCATAGGGTCCCCTGAGCACCGCCAGGAGTAACTCCTGAGTGCAGAGCCAGGAGGAACCCTTGAGCATCGCCAGGTGACCTAAAAAGCAAAATAAACAAATAAAAATAAAAAATAGGCGCATCCCAGCCACACAGGTCCAGCCTGGGGAGAGCATAGAGGTCCCGGAGCTTCTCTGTCCGTGGCCCTAGCTCGATGCCCCATCTGGGGAGCACAGCCAAGGGTGTTCCCTGAGCACAGAGTCAGGAGCAAGCCCTGAGCACCGCCAGACATTTTGGCGGCCAGACTTTTGGCCCCAAAACCAAAAGAAAGAAAAGATTCTACCGCCAGGCAACTTGGAGTGGGCTGCACTGGTGGCCGTGGACTCACACACTCGTTCACTCACCCACGCACGTGTTCACTTCGTCATTCATTCATTCATTCATTCTTTTGTCCACCATTCACATTCACTCATTCACTTACTCATCCGTTCATCCCAGGACAGGGAAAGATCTAGTCTAGTCTGTGCAACTTCCTCTCCTCTTGCATTCACATGCATTTAGGGAGCCTGTAATTTGAGACCCACAAATTGGGACCAGAATGATAGTACAGCAAGAAGGGCGTTTGCCTTGCATGCAGCCAACCCGGGTTCGATCCCCGGCATCCCATATGGTCCCCCGAGCACCGCCAGGAGTAATTCCTGAGTGCAGAGCCAGGAGTAACCCCTGAGCATCACAGGGTGTGACCAAAAAAGCCAAAAAAAAAAAAAGAGACTCACAAATTGGCCCAAAGCTCCCAGCCTAGTGGCCAAAGCCGTCCTGTTTTGTGGCTTCATGTCCCCTCCAGAGAATCTCTAGACTCTGCCCAGCTGGAGCGTCCTCTGTCCCCTTCTGCCAGAAACCTGCTGTGTGGCCTCAGTTTCCATGTGCCCAAAGGGGACGCATTTGGGGACCTATTTGGTGGCCCTGGCCATCATGGGCTCATTCCTTCCCAGAGTGGACCATAGAGGACTCAGGACTGGGGCTGTGGGGGTGCCTGTGTGACCCCTTGGCTCCGAGAATTGTCGCCCTGAGGAGGAGGGGCCCAGGGCTTGTACACTTAATTTCATGTCACTGTATTTTGGGTTCGGGGCCCCATCCAGCGGAGCTCAGGAGCCGCTCCTGGGGACTCAGGTGTTGTGGCGGGGACTGAATCCAGGTTCGCGCGTTCAAGGCCAGCCCTGCCCTCTGTGTGCTGTCGCTCTGCTCCCGCAAAATAATCTGAGATTCTCAGGGAGATGCACCTGTAGTTTGGCCCCAGGGGGTGACGCTGTGTCCATGTGTCGGCAGGCCGCAGGCTGGGCAGCTGTGGGCCTGGGGCAGGGGGAGGCGGCCATGAGGGTCACCCGGGGCACTAGGACCAACCTGGACCCTGTTTGACAGGCAGACAAGAGGCCAGCCGAGGGCAAGGCGGGCAGCCCACTCAAGGGCCGACTGGTGACCTCATGGCGGATGCCCGGGGACCGCCCCACGCTGTTCAATCCGTTCCTGTTGTCCCTGGGGGTCCACAGGTGGCAAAGGGTAGGCTGAAAGGGGGGAGGTGGGGAGGGAGGAGGCCGGTGCTAGCTCAGGAAGAGAGAGTGGGGGCCAAGAGGGGGGCGCTGGGTCATCCCCGCCCCCTCCCAGAAAGAGGGGGTGGGGCAGAGGTCATCCTGTGGTGGTTGGGTGGGGGGTCCCTCCCCAGGGCGGCACCTGAGGCTTTTTCATGCCCAGGGAGTAGGGGGGTGGGCTTAGTGGATCCCAGGCTGCCCTGGGGCCCTGGGGGGCGCCAGGCCGGGGTGGGGGGCAGGGGCCCGGGAAGGGAGGACCTGCATGGCTCCGTGCTTGCCAAGTGTGGCTTAACCCTGGGCCTGTGCCAGTTTCGTAAACATCTGGCGTTATGTAACCGCCCTGCCCAGGCAGGGCTGCGAACACTCAGCCTCCGCTTGGGGCTTCCTCACAGGCCGCGCTGGGGAAGGGATCAGGCGTGTCTGGGGGCCACCCCGCTGCTGCCGGGGGCCTCTTCCTGTCCACCTCTTCTCCTCGGTGTCGTGTCCAGTCTCAGGCTGGGTGCACGAGAGACCATGTAGCCGTTCTAGGGAGGCTGCAGAGACCCAGGCTCAGAGAGGGCACAGGCTTGCCTGAGGTCACACAGCGGGGCTTCAGCGGGGCCGGCATCCGACTGATTCTCCTTCTGAGACGGAGAGTCCGGTGTGTGTGTGTGTGTGTGTGTGTGTGTGTGTGTGTGTCCTGTGGGAAGTTGTGGCAGACTCTGGGTCACAGGAAGGGCTGTGTGCAGGTAGCCTGTGGTTCCCTATGCCAGGGGGACACAGTGGCACCTGGATACTTAACGTCCAACCTCCATCCCCGTCCACTTCAGAATTTTACTGTTGTTGGGGTTAAGGCACAAGGGTGATTTGGCAAACACCCTTGGTTATCTGGATAGGGTGGTACCTATCCAGGAATAGGCAGGAATCAGCCTTATCAGACTAAAGGTCACAAACATGCGAAATGTCTACGGGGAGTGCGGGAAGTCCCAAGAGGCAGGAGTTGGGAGGGGGGTTAGAAAGTCCCAGCCAGCAGCATGGCCCCGACTCTGCTCAGGTCAGCGGCATGTCGTCTTGACCACCAGGCAGGTTAAGTGGACACTGTCCGTCTCGTGCAAGAGGAACCGAAGTTCCTAGAGGAGAAATCCCTAATCCTGGGTCACACCAGGACCACAGCCGAGGGGGGCAGCCCCGCTGTGGATGCCCCCAGCATCCTGGTGCATCCTGGGCTCCCCAAGTCGTCATGGATTCTTCCTCCCTCCCCCGCCAATGTTGGACGGGTGTGGTCACTGGTGAACTTGGAGCCCGCCGTCCCCAGGGACGGAGGACAGCAGGAGCGGACAGACAGAAAGTGCAGTGAAAGGGCTGGAGCGATAGCACAGCGGGGAGGGCGTTTGCCTTGCACGCGGCCGACCCGGGTTCAATTCCCAGCATCCCATAGGGTCCCCCGAGCACTGCCAGGAATAATTCCTATTGCATGAGCCAGGAGTAACCCCTGTGCATTGCCAGGTGTGACCCAAAAAGCAAAAAAAAAAAAAAAAAAAGCGCAGTGGAGACTCACGGTCATGTTGAGTGGCTTAAAGGTGTCTCAGATGGGGGGCCGGAGCGACAGCACAGCAGGGAGGGCGCTTGCCTTGCACATGGCAGACCTGGTTTCGATCCCCGGCATCCCATAGGGTCTCCCAGAGCCTCTCCAGGAGTGAAAAACAAAAGGGTGTCTAGCACTGGGTGGTGACATTAAGAGCCACGGCTTGGTTTCTGCTCTTCACTCGGGCACTTGTGGGCCATTGAGTTTCAAGCCGCCGCTGTCCACAGCGATCAGCAGTCCTGGCTAGACAGGCTTCCCTTAATCCCCAAGCTTGCAGGCTCTGTGGAACAACTTGCTCCCAGTCCCCGAGGCTCCGCCGTCCTGGTTTCACCTGGTGAGGTGTGGGGAGGGGAGTCGCCACCTTTGAACTGTGTTAACTGAGAAGCTGCTCTACCTGGGAGTTAGGGTAACAATGTGACCGTGTCGGGGTTAAGGCACTCGGCCTTGCACACTGCCAAGCCCAGTTTGATCCCCAGCACCACCCATGATCCCCTGAGCACCACCAGGAGTGATTCCCGAGGGGCTGGAGAGATAAGACAGCAGGTAGGATGCTTGCCTTTGCAAGCTTCTGACCCAGGTTCGATCCCCGGCATCCCATAGGGTCCCCTGGAGTCATTCCTGAGTGCAGAGCCAGGAGTGACTCCTGAGCATCTCCGAGCGTGTCCCCACCAAAAACACAAGTGGTTCCTGAGTTCAGAGACACCTCGTCCATCGGCCCCCAACATACCCTAAAACCAATCCATCCTGGTTTATAAGAAATCAGCGTGGTGGACACTGACCTGTAATTGACTAGGACACACAGTGTCATAAGCCTTAGTGTGGGAGTGAAAGTCAGAAGCTGGAGATGATACAGGAAAGTAAATCTCGGGACAGATTTGCAGGGCGAGGAGGAGTGAACTTTCTAGGTATTCGAAGGGAGGTGGGAGAGGGGGCAGGGATGGAGCCAGGGACGTTCAGAGGATGGTTTCTCTCGGGAGTCCCCGGGATGGGGGCATGCCTCACATGGACAGTGTGTGCGCCTGAGCAGTGCTAGCAGGGTCCAGGCCTCCACGGGCACCCATTTCCTGCAGCTGGAGCACCAGCTGGTCCTGCCCCTGGCGGTGCCACCCCAGGAAGCCTGCTGAATGCGGGCGCTGCCCCGGTGTGGGGCGGGGACACCCGGGAGTCTGGACTTATCCTTGGCCTCATTCCTCAGGGAGGAGAGTCAGTCCCAGGGGAGGGAGCTCCAGCTCCTTATCTGTGAAATGGGCAGTTTCTATGGCTGTAACAATGGGGACAGGAAGTTCCAGCCAGGCATTCCCGGGGACACTCACTCGCGTGGGCATCTGGGCCAAATGAGTGGGCCCCACAATTCGGCGCTGCCTGGGGCTGGCCACCAGGTGCCAGGGAACCAAGTGGGCTTTGCACGCCAGGCACGTGCCCCCCTCTTTTGAGTCCACTTCCTGCCCTATTAATAAATTTTGGGGTGAGGGGTGGCACACCCAACGGTGCTCAGGGATCACTTCTGGCTCTGTGCTCAGGGATCACTCCTGGAGGGGCTCAGGGCACAAGATGGGGTGCAGGGAATTGAACTAGGGTCAGCCTCTAGGGCTGTACTTACTATCTTTCTTAACCCATTAAAAGGTAAAGGTAAAGGCCCTCCCGTTGATCATCGATTTGCTCGAGCGGGCCCAGTAACGTCTCCATTGGAGACTTTGTTGTTACTGTGTCTGGCATGTCAAATACTCTCGGTAGCTTGCCGGGCTCTCCGAGAGGGGCGGAGGAATCGAACTCGGGTCGGCCATGTTGGCCGCTTGTAAGGCGAACGCCCTACCCGCTGTGCTATCGCTCCAGCCCTTAACCCATTAGTTATTGCTTTTCTTCTGGGCCCACCCACGCCTGGCAGTGTTCAGGGATTATCCTTGGCTCTGCACTCAAGAATTACTTCTGGTGGGACTGGAGTGATAGCACAGCGGGTAGGGCAAGCGTTTGCCTTGCAAGCGGCCGACCCGGGTTCGATTCCCAGCATCCCATATGGTCCCCTGAGCACTGCCAGGGATAATTCCTGAGTGCAAAGCCAGGAGTAAACCCTGAGCATCGCCGGGTGTGACCCAAAAATAAAAAATTTAAAAAAATTTTTTAAAAATTACTCCTGGTGGTGCTCAGGGAGACAGTATGGGATGCCGGGGTCCGAACCCCAGTTGGCCACATGCAAGGAGCTACCCCCAGGAATAGTAATGTTTGAATCCTAAACTGAGATAGCCGAATAACTGAAATGGAAATGATTCCCACCCTCCCCTACTTCTCTACCTAAGGAGAGCTGGTTAGGGTGAAGAGGTAGTTCAAGGTACTTAACCCTTCTTTTCATTTAACTATTTAACACCTCATTCTTGCAGTTCACCCAGGAGGCATTATTCAGCCTCTCCCCTGAGGGCGAAATTGAAGCACAGAGAAGCTAATTACCCTACTTTAAGTAACACAGGATCTGAATCACTCTCCACATTTAAGCAAGCGCTGTCCCCAGGGAAGCTCCTGCAGGCAAAAGGCCTCTTGGAGCTGCCAAGTGCTCTGGGCACATTATGAAATAGGGTATAATAGCGTGGGGGCCCGGGGACCATAGTAAAGTGGGGAGGACGCTTGCCTTGCACACAGCCAACCCTGGTTCCAGCCCCAGCAATCCCCAGTAGTTCCCCGAGAGCACTGCCAAGTGTGATTCCTGAGTGCAGAGCCAGGGGTAACCGCTGAGCATCGCTGGGTGTGGTCCAAAAAACAGAGGGCGATGGGGGAGGGGGGGGGAGAGAGAGAGAGAGACAGAAACAGAGACAGAATAGATCATGTGCCCAGGAGTGGCTCAGGGTGCAGGTTCGATTCCCAGCGCCGCCGTGAAGCAAACGGGGTATGCCCGCGTGCAAGGCGAGGGCATTTGGGGGGAGCCCCTTAGCATTGCGGGGTTTATTTAGTGCGAGAAATCCCGCCTCTTCTGACCGTGCCCGCGGGCCGGTGGGCTCCTCCCTCGACTTGTCTCCTAAGGACCGGTCTGTGCGGCGGGGGGCAAAAGGCAATGACAGGGTTTGGGAGGGAGGCGGGGTGGGGGGCTCGGTGGGTGCGTCCGTCGTGGGGTTTGGGGGGGTTATAGTCCTCCGGGGATGGTCCGCCAAAGGCCCGGGCAAATGCACTGGCTGAACCCGAGTGGCCCCCTCGCGGCGTCCCGCGGCTCGGCGCGGCCCATGGGGGTGGCCACACCCGGCCGGCCGGGGCCGCCGCACGGCCGGGTGGTGTGGCCCGAGCGGGTCACCTGCGCGCACGGCCCTCCCCGCCCCGGCGCGCGCCCGCGCCCGCCCCCGCCCGCCCGCGCGCCGCCCGCCCCCGCGCGCCCGTCCCGTTTGGCAGGCCCCGCCCCCGGCCGGGCTCGCGCTCCCATTGGCCAG